AGTGGATCATTGTTTGGTTCGAGTTCAATTTCATGTCAATCCTTCCTCAAAATTTATATTAATTATTATTATTATAGATTTTAAAATGTTTTTTAAATTAATATATTATATATTATCTCTTTAGTTATTGTAAAATATTGCGAATACGCTTTAGATCATTTGTTGATACTATGTTATTTAAATTTTTAAATAAATGAATGTAAACAGTAAGCCTATTGAACCCATTACAGAAAAAACCACCATCATGATTATGGGCTAAGTTTTCGCGGCTTAAAACAAAAAAAAATAGCCAAATTTTTATTTGACTATAAAATTTAGTTCAATGAGGCAATATGTTGCTATTAGACATGACCATCTAATTACGTCTTTTGCCGATGGTCATGTTTAGTTTCTTTACAGTCTCAGCCAAAACGACCCCTAATAAAATTACCGTTGTGAAGTTCGCAGCTAAAAGTTGATAGCCCAAAATTACGGAAAGACCCGAACAAGCAATGGCGGAGGAGATTTCTAAGCCAATTTAGGAAGCAACTAATTCTCCGTACCCCGTACGGGGGTTGCTATGGGGTGAAACTAAAAATTTTAAATATTTTTTTTCTATTTTAATCGAAATTTACACACTTTCATTTTCATTTCACAAAAGTTAGCTTTCGTTTCCGGTAAAAATATTCCCTTCCCTCCCGTACGGGGCTGCAACCTAATATTTTCTCTGGAAACGAAAGATCTAGTTAATTTGAATCAGTTTCTTAAGCTTCGTAAACTGCTTTAGAAACCTCCGCCGCCACTGGTTATTCGGCTCTTTCCGTAATTTTGGCTGCCAACTTTTAGCTACTAACTTCACACCGGTAACAAAATTGAAATAAATTGGAGAAATTTTCCGCTGCATTACCATATACGAAATTACTGTACTCAACCAACTTAGTAATGCAAGTAAATTAATATACCGCGTAGCAACAAAGCACTTATCAGATTATTGGTTTTATTATGCAACTTCCTATAGGGGATTTATCCCGCTGAGATCTTCATTGCCATGCCTGTTAAGATCCCTAATAAATAATTTTAAAAATAAGACTTTTAATATACCCATTGACGTTCTGCCTAACTACTAGAATCGGATGCCTTTAACGATCTGTAGTATTTTTGTGTAGGACGGAGGTAGTTTCGTCTTTCCGATACGAAGCGAAGAAGTTAAACAATTTCCACAGATTATTATAATCTTGTTTGATGCAACATGAAGATATTAATCGGAAAGAAGGCCAGAAAAGTCATTTTTGAAATGCCTAAAAATAACCTACATAGAATATACCTTGACAAACACATAAGAATTTTTCTTTGTGAATCTACTTCACTTCTCCAAGATAAACGCAAACACAAAACAGACAACAAAACAAATGCGTTATGGAAGTGTCAAAACTTGTTCAAATTTTCAAATTTGAGCCAAGGGTATTCTTCTCTAGATCAAATAGGCTATGACAGTTATAAATTACAGAGGAAACGATACAGCATATATAAGTAGACTAGTTCAAATTATATGTTACAAGAAAATACACTAAAAATGATACATATTAGAAGAGATGAATACCGCCTTTGACGTAGTCTAAAAGCCTCAAAGCTCAGAGCAAATAATAAATCAGGAGACTCGTTTTCGACGCTTTTATGCGTGCTGGTACGTCTAATAATCGGAGAGTTGGAAGAATAGTTCGAGTAGGATCTAGATAAGGCGAAAGTTTCCTTGTTTCGTAGTAAAATAATATGTCTTTACGAACACGCTTTATAAACAACCACTAAATCAATATTTATCCTACGATTTTCGAAGGTCTTATAAACCTTATAACCATAAAATGAAATATATAATTTTGAGCATTAATTTGCCAAATGCTCACGAAATATTTTTCCGTAAAAATTAAAATTTAATTTTAATTAATTGAAATGCATTTTTAGACGAATATGCATCCTCTCTATATTAAATCCAAATATAGACGTTATCAATAACGGAAGTATTCGATACTTCTATATATCTGATTTATGTCAATCTGACTTTAAACTGTTTCTTATATCGGTACTTAAATTGATGTATGAGTATTAAATGCTAATTCTCAGCGATTTGTCTCTTATTTCCAAGTTTTTCTGTGATATGCATAAATCCCACGTTTTATTAGGAGATGTCCCCCCATTCGATTTAAAACGTTATACTTTATGTTTGTGTAGGTAAGAATAAATTTGTAATAAAAAATTATATAAAGTTAGTCAAAGCCACGGCGTAAATAATCGTATGAATAGAAGCAATTGGTCAAGCGAAATAAGGAGTAACTAAAAATTAATTAAATAACTCAAAACTACAAATATCACCGGAAAATTAGTCAAAGCAATTAACTATCCCATCCCATATACTCCTCAAGTATTGTCTACATCTACTGCAAAGTAAATTGTCATATGTACTCATATAATGCCTTGGTTTAATTTTATTTACAAAAAGTTCTACATGACCTAAAACTTGATATTGAGCCACTATGTTTTAAAACTATTCTTGCGCATAATACATGGTAGAATATATAGCAAATTAGAAGCGGTGCAAGTGCCGATTCAGAGATGTCGAGACGTGAATTATGATGTATACCTATGTAGTATTGATTTTGAAAAGGCTTTTGACAAAGTACAACACGATAAACTGCTTCAACTTCTTAAAAGGGCTTAGTTAGATACCAGAGATGTCCGAATTATTCAAAATTTGTATTGGAATCAAAAAGCAGTAGTAAGAATTGGACCGCATCTCAGCGATGATATGAAGATCAAGAGGGGGGTGCGTCAGGGATGCATTCTGTCGCTTTTGTTGTTCAACCTGTATTCTGAAGAAATTTTTGACGAGGCCATGAGCGACAACATGCCAGGAGTGATCATAAATGGTAAAACTGTTAATAACATCAGATACGCCGATGACACTTTAATCATTGCAAATACCAACGAAGATCTGCAATTGTTGATGAATCAGATTACTAACTCGTGTGCTCAGTACGGACTTAAACTAAATGTTAATAAAACTAAATATATGATCATTAGTAAACATGTCTCACCTCAGGATGATGGCATATATATGTAAGGTGCACCTCTGGAACGAGTTGGGAGGTTGACGCACTTGGGCAGTAACATCAACGATAAATGGGACCCATCGAATGAAATTAAAATTAGAATAGAAAAAGCAAGATCAGCATTCGTAAAAATGAAAAAAGTTCTCTGTAACTATAATCTAACATTGAAACTGCGAATGAAAATGGTTAAATGTTACGTACTTCCGGTTCTCCTATATGAGATGAAGTCATGGACACTCACTGACGCGACCAACAAGCGTCTAGAGGCGTTCGAAATGTGGATGTACCGTCGTCTACTCAAAGTCAGCTGGGTGGATAGAGTGAATAACGCAGTAGTAATAAAGCGAATGAACAAACATACAGAGATAATTTTAACCATCAAGCACCGTAAGCTAGAATACGTTGGACATATTATGCGTCACCCTGAGAAGTATGCCATACTGCACCTCATAATGGAACGAAAAGTGAATAGCAAGAGAGGCCCTCGAAGGAGAAGAACATCATGGTTGAAAATCTAAGACAATCACTCTGGATCGTTCGAGAGACAGAACCTAGTTAAAGATCTGGCTCGATTCGGAGCTCATATTTACATATCACATTGATTTTATGACTAGCAGAGCTATTCGATTGCTTGGGTTTGTTTTGCGGACTTCGAAGGGTTTGGAAAACATCTTTACGTATAGGGAGCTGTGCGTTCAATTTTAGAGTATGCTAGCTGTGCCTGGCAACCATACTATGCAATACCCAAGGAAAGAATAGAGCGTGTGCAGCGTAAGTTCCTTAGAGAGATAGGTTTTAAATTGGGAAATAAACTACGAGGAGATTATGAAGCTTTTGAATCTGACACCTTTGGAGAATAGGCGCATATTTTTTGACATCGCTACATTGAACAAAATCCTTAATAACTTCATGGATGCACCAGATCTTTTGGGCATCTGTTGGTTTTCATATTTCTCCTATTGATGCAAGAAATAAGGCTGTTTTTAACATTGATTTTCATAGGACCAACTATGGCGTTAACTCGCCTATGAATTGAATGTAAAAGCTGACGTATATCTTACTCACAAATAACGAGCGTATTGATTTATTTTCTGACTCTCTCAGTAGTTTTAATTGCAAAGTAGAGTGTTTTTAATCAACCGACCGCCTTGCAAGCAATTGTAAGTGTTGTTTGTAAGTGTTGGTGTAACTATTTTACTTAGGTTAAACCATACTGTAATGATAATGTAAATGCTAAATGCGTGAATAAAAATTTTAATTTTAATTTAATCGAACATTGTTACAGAACTTAATAGTGATCAGAAGGGTTATCATTTTTTTAGGGAAAATAGCTGTGTAATTCACAAAATTTGCTTCGTTGAAATTATACCGAAACTTTCACATCAGTAGTTTTCAACCAATTGCCATAGAAACGCATGAATTTTATAGGAAATTTCCGTACCCATAAGCAAACGTTTATATACCTATATTAATAGTTTACAGTTACAATGAATTTTTTTTAATAACGATGGTTAATATTTTCATAACACATATTCTACTCATTCATAAAATTCCTTTTTTTTTGAAAACTTGGATATAGGTCTCAACAAAGTTTATATGAAGGTAGTACTTTAAGTTTTAGGATATGCAGAATTTTTTATTGATGGAAATAAGTATGCAGGAACTAAACATTTTTTAACTTGTTTTATTTTTTCGAGAATTTAATCCACGACCCCAAAGCTGACACTGAATTGTTCCTTTGAAGCCAGTAAAAGCAGTTTAAGTCAGCAAACTTTACAACTTCCACAGGCACACCAGCTTAGCTTGCAAATCGACACACACCACACACGTCAATCTCCACATCAACGTGTTATCAAATAGACAGCTTCAAAAAATCACATTCTGAACACACAGCAATAATTTATTAGTAACAACACACCTCCAAGTATTAATTTACTTAATAGAAACCAAGATTTGGAGTTCGACGATATTGTGTGAGAGGAGATACTTTTATTCCATTCATATAGTAAAGCCCATTCTATCTCCACAGAAGTGGGAAGCAGTATAACTCTACTAATGTTGAGCTAGTTCTCGATTATTCTAAAACATAAAATTAATAGAGGTTGAAATTATGCACCAATAAGTGCATTGAAAAAGTTACTATTGTTTCGAGCTCCCTTTCTGCCTTGGGTTAAACGCACCGCACATCACAGAAACGCCAATTTGAAAAATTCGACAAATGGTAATTAATGACGCATAACATACTGTCTGGCACGAAAAAGTAACATCTGTCAAACGCCCGGTAAAATATGTCTCGGCGCACGTATGGCAGTGACGTGATACACGAGCCACAACCAAAGCCGACGTTAGAAGAGCTACTGCCGCTAAATTTATATGTGCATCGAGGACCGAGATATAGGGAGACCCAACTGCCTTGCTGATTTGAATCCCAGCTGAAAAGAGACACCCTTATAAAGCACAGGACTGGATTTGGCTCACAGTGACCGGAACACTCACTGAAGTTTGGACGGCAGGATAAATAATTTTTTCACAATTGCGTTGCCGGTTTGACAGGTACCTCAAAATTTTCAAATGACCCTCCCCGTAGGTATTTTTATTTATTTTTAGACCGAGAGGTGTTTAATCTAAGCTGGATCTAAAGTGAAAACCATACCACGTTTTACATTAAAATTCAAAAGTATCAAATTTAAAGTATAAATTAATATATTTTAACATTTTATGTTATAATAAATATAGCTATATCCTAATAACTTAAATCATTTTAATTCGCAAAAATTTAAAATTTCAGTTCAGTTCAATTGACAGTATTACATTTTCTATAATACATGTAAAAAATAAGCAAAATAATTAAGATTAACAAAGTCGCCGTTTCGGGTAAATTTTCTTGAGCCCTTTGTAAGAGGTTTTGTATAAAAATGTTAATAATTACTATTAATTAATTACGAATTTATTAAATAATAGAATGAACATTTAATAGAGAAAGTGGAGAGAATATGTTTTTCACGTTAGCTTTATAATCTATGTTTTGTTAAGAAAACCAAGAGGTGATTCTTGACATATTTATTACTTAGCTTTGTTTAATCTAAGCTGGACCTAAAGTGAAAACCATAAATGCGTTTTACATTAAAATTTCTAAATAAAAATTCAAACTCATTTAACTAGAACATTTGAGTATTGAAGTCACATAGGCCTTAATTTAAAGTATAATTTAAAGTATTGTAACATTTTGTGTTATAATACAATATAGCTATATCCTAATAACCTAGATCATTTAAATTCTCAAAAATTCAAAATTTCCCTCGCACATCGTGCACTGCCATTGACAGTATTATATTTTCTATAAAAAATAATTAAAATTAACAAAGTAGACGAATCGGGTAAATTTTCTTGAGCAGTTTGTAAGAGGTTTTGTATAAAAATGTTAATTATTACTATTAATTAATTAGGAATTTATTAAATAATAGAATGAACATTTAATAAAGAAAGTGAAGAGAGTATGTTTTTCACGTTAGCTTTATAATCTATGTTTTGTTATGAAATAAGTCAAGTGTTAAAATATATTTTTTTACAACATTCATTATCATGGAGTTATATCAAGCAAACAACAATTTGACAAAAAAAAGAAAAAGGAACACATGACAAGAAGTTAAGTCAATATAATTTTTGAAAGATCAGGCACATAGCAAGAATCAGGTTGTCATTTTTGAAATAAATAATATCAATATTAATATTGCATATTGCTCAAAAAATTTTCGGTATAATACTCCTTCACATACATAGAAATTTCCTTATTTCTGGATACGTTCCTGAATAATATACATCTAAAATAGACCCGTTTTTCACCCCGCCTTCGATTTTTGGGCGAGAGACACTTGGGATTGTCATTTATCGCCAACAGTCACAACGCCTAAATATTTTCGTTTTTACGAACCGGCAATGACAAATATGTGAATGAGTTCCGAAAGTGTGGTTAAACCCGGTCCGTTGTCATTGCGTAGACTAAGTTCTCCATAAAAATACAACCTTTAGGTTTTCTTTTGCCGAGTTTTTAATATTATTAAAACAAAAACTCACCTCCTAGATATTCTTGTCAGTGTTCTGCACTTCTCCATTAAACTGAAGTAAATTGCGGAAAAACTACCCTTTAAAATGTATGTTTTCGATATTGGCCTTTGTTTTCCAGTTTCTGCTTTTTTGCCGATGATTTAAAAGTAAAAAAAGAGATTCGTTTACATTTGGATGTATTAGAGCTTCAGAGCGATCTTGACAGATTTGCTGATTATTGCAGAAACCACAGATTATTCTTAAATCTTGATAAATATCGATATATTATATTTACAAGGAAAAGGGATTTTATAGATATTAACTTAATACTTGATAAGAAACAACTGAAAAGAGTTAAGCAAGACTTGGGAATTGTTCTTGACTCACAGCTAAAGTTTGAGGCTCATATCGAAACTATTTGCAAAAAAATGTTTAAGAAATATGGGCTTCATTTTGAGAACTACCAAAGGGTTCAACTAGCATCAGTCAGTAATAATCGTGTATAATAGCATGTTAAGGTCTGTACTAGAGTACTCATTCATGGTTTAGAATCCTATTTATAGAAAATACCGGGTGACGCAAGAAAGTGAGAACACTCCATAACTTTTTAACTGATTTAGATAGCGATTTGAAATCTGGAAGGGTTAATATAGACTGAATGTCCAATTTTCTAACGGTCAATGGTTGCACTTCCGTTTTGAGCTGAAACGACAGTAACTTTTGAATTTTAAATGGCAGCCTATATTTTTTTGCATTTTCTTTTTCTTAATCATAAATACGTCTTCATCATAAATACTTAATGTAATGAACTATTGTTTTTTAGGTTAACCTAGTTTTTTCAAATAGCACCATAGTAGGAACAAAAACTTTTTAAAACCGGTACTTTCTTTGCAACATTTTTACACCAAAATTTTTAAAATCCGTTAAAAAAAAGCTCATAAAAAAGAAAAGATCAGATGAGAAAAAACATTTTTATAAAAACAAAATATTACTTAGGTGGCTTTGCTTCTATTCATCATCAAGTTGAAAATTCTGAGAGTTTGTACATTTTTATCTGATTACAATAAAGTTAATTGATTTTGTCGTGCTATCGATGTGGATTATCATGGAAAACAATTATCAATTTACAAATGGAGAAAAAGTTGTTATGTTATGTTTATATGTTATGATATACGGGAAATGCAGAAAAAACTCTGCATTGTATGTAGCCGCTTGACAATTAATAATAGAAGCAGAGCCACGTAAGTAATATTTTGTTTTTATAAAAATATATTTACTTATCTGGTTTTTTCCTTCCTGTGAGCTTATTTTTTAACGGATTTTTAAAATTTTGGTGTCAAAATGTTAAAAAAGTACCGCTTTTAAAAAGTTTCCACTAGGGTGCTATTTAAAAAAACTAGAATATCCTAAAAAAGTAATAATTACATTAAATGCTATTTGCCAAAGAACAGTTTGATTCACCATTTTTCCCATGATCAGCTGACTCAGTATAGAGTTTATGATGGTCACAGATTCCTAGACACGATTTTCAAAAATTAAATAAAAATTTAAAAAAATAAAAAAATAAGAGAAAAGCTTTGACGATATATTGTCAAAAAAATTGGGCATTCAGCCTACATTAACCCTTCTAAATTCCAAATTGCTATCTCAAGACGTTTAGAAGTTGTAGAGTGTTTCCACTTTCTTGTGTCACCCGCTATATCATTAAAATTGAAAGCATACAAAAAAAACCTTTTAACAACTTAAAATTTAGATTCAAGAGAGCACTTTTGCTCGTACGAAGAAATCTTTAAATTTTACAATTTCAAGTCGCTTGCAACTCGAAGAAATTGTTTTGATGTTGCTTTTCTTTACAAAGTTGTAAATAACCTTGTGGATTCTTCTTTTTGCTTTAAGTTTAACGCTAATCCATATCACAAGCGAACGAGACGGACCTTTTCTACTGAGCGATTTAGGTCGAATTACTTTTCTAACTCTCCTATAATAAAATGCGCTCGGACGTTAATAATTGTGTTTTTATAAACGGATATAGATGTTTCTAATTTACGCCTTAGTTTATTTAAAGCAAACGTAAATAAAATTCTTTAGCTGGTAGTTATAATTTAGTTAAACCTAACATTTGCTTTCATTGATTTTGTTAAATAGTATAAGCCTATATTGTGCCACTCTGTAATTGGGTAGCTGCGTCTGTTGAATGGAATAAAATAAAAATTTTAAAAAATGTCACCCCTCTACTGCAAATTTGAATCCATGTTGAAGGTTTCTGAAATAGTACTGTAGCGGATATAGGAGGCTAAATGTAGTCTTGGTTTTAAACGAAGGTAGATTTGAGTTTGAATAGAAATTTAAGTATTACTCCCCGTCAATTCGGTAGGGTGCAAGCGGATGATAACCTACTATTTAATAAAGATTAATTTAATAATAAAATTCGAATAGTTCTTAAAAGCAAATATCTTCCGATTGCTGGCATAGATTATTTGTCATACACCACATTTTCGAACATTATACAGGATGATGCATACATACGTGTTTATGAACAAAGCTTATCCCGTGGGTCTGAGCTAACTAAGAGTTCGTCAAGAACCCATTAGATACTAACCCGCATGTAGCTTTTCAATAGTAAATATGTTTTATAAAGCTAAATAATATGGCAGTCGTATAAATGAGGAGGAGTACAAAAATATTCATACTTTAAATACAGAGAAACCTAACAAAGGCTTTCAAAAAAGATAACAAAGAAAGTTTAATTGTAGTATATTATGCAACGAGTTATAAACGCCACGAGTTTTTAGACACGAGCAAAGCGAGTGATTAATAAACGAGTGTATGAAGTATGGTATACTTTTTCTAAGACCATTAGATTTCGGATAAATTTTTGCAAAACAGCACGTGACTGAGTCACTGAGTGACATGTGACGTGACCATCAGAACTGACAAACGTCAAAATACCATCAGTGATATGAAAAACCTATATTTTTTTGCGATGTCGAAAATATATTTTTAAAATTTAATTAAATTTTCTCGTTTCAAATGTGCATGGGTTTAATCAATTTCGACGGTTTGGTAAGCACAAATGCGCGTAGGTATTCGATCGACTGACCTCTTTTTTTAATTACTGGCGGGGGTGCCCAATAATCCGTAAATTTGAGCAATTAAAATGTTTTCGGTGACTTTCGTGTAAACGTCTTTTAATCACAATCAGAGAATATTTAACATCATGTTTGACGCTACAAAACTATTTTTTTTCTAAACTTCACAATTAAGTAAAAAAGATAGATTAAGAAAAAAAGAAAACCAATAAGTTCATTAATAAAAAAATTGCTTATGAACTACTGCTACTGCTACTGTCTCTACTGTTTCTTCTTCAAAAACGTTAGAAAATAAATAAATGCTGAATTGAGTGCTGAACAAGCAGAGGCGTAATAACCCACGAGGTCCATTTTGTTGCGCCTATGTCTTAGTAAAGATACAAAGTGTAAAAACAATATTCGAATTGTGCACAATAGATGTATTATTATTCACAGGGCAACAAAGATTTTGTGATTTGGTGATTATCTTTCATTCATTAATTCTTTAAATGTTGATAGAAATCGTTACGTAATAAAAAAAATGCTTATCAGATTTAAAGTTAGCAGTCCTAAATTCTACAGAATCATATGTCAAATCAAAATCAACTTCCAAAATTTAAAAATTGTTGTCCTGTGTTTAACATTGAGTAATACGAGTCACACTAAATTCGTATGAAATTAATGAAAAACTAGGAACGTGAAGAAATTGTTTCTAAAAGTATATATCTTCATCAAGAGCATATTACCTTTACTACTTTACTAAATCAAATATGTCATGATTTAAACTGAATAAAATTATTTTATTATTATTAAACGAAGGTTTTCACGAAAAATTTGTAGGTTACATCCCACCGGTCTAAGAAACTAATAGCCGTTTTAATTTTAAAACCATGCGATGACGCCAATTTTTAATTAAAACTATTAAATGTGTTTAGTATGGAAGTATCCTAATTTAGAATGGCACGATCCGCTGAACATTTATTACGCCTTCGGTGACACATTCTATCATTTTAATTTCAGTTAGTTATGATCATTGCGAAACATGCGAGCGTTGTGGGTGTTTAATTTGATGTCGCTAAATTTTCTCCCTTGGGAAAGTAAGTATTCATTAGCGCTCATCGAAAATTTTACCTATTGTCAAAAATAGACGCAAATATGATTATTACTTTACTAGGTGGCCCATTAAAGAAGACGCCGTTAGTCCTACAACTTAGACAGAAAAATACTTATAAGATACTTATAAGATTCGACTGGCATGTCAATATCACGATATTGATAAAACAGCTATTTTTATTATTTTCTCGAAAATTTTAAATATACATATAGACACACACACACACACACACACACACACACACACACACACACACACACACACACACACACACACACACACACACACACACACACACACACACACACACACACACACACACACACACACACACACACAGATATATATATATATATATATATATATATATATATATATATATATATATATATATATATATATATATATATATATATATATATATATATTAGTATCGAAACTTTACTATAAATTATCAACCCGTCATAACATGTCATCTCTTGGTTAGTATTTTTTAATTATCTTTTGTTTATATCTCACTACTTGCTGTGTTTTTTTTACGCTCTTTCATCCAAGCTAAAAATATTTATACCATTATATTTGAAATTTTCGAGAACATCATAAAAATAGCTGTTTTTGAGATGAAGCGCCTCCCACGGAGTCGTAAAAGAATTAATATCGTGATATTGACATGCCAGTCGAAGCTCCTCGAATACTCTTTGAAGCTAAACTAAGTTTGTCGAAATCGCATTAGCCAAAAAAAAGTTTTCACAAAATAGTTCAAACAAAAAAGTTTTCTTTTATTACGTTGATATAGGTTAATTTAGAATATTTTGAGAAAATCCGTATTTTCAATTTTTTTCTTGGTCGATTTACCTAGAATTTTTTTTTTCTAAGTTGTAGGACTAACGGTTTCTGAGATATGGCCAGCGCACGGTCGGCCAGTGACAGCCCAAACTATTGAAATGAAGCCATAATACATTTCGTACAGTGAACGTTTTCCTTGTCATAGACTAATTAAATAGACCACGAACATTCACAAAACAAGCGATTTAAGTTTCTACATTATTTTGAGTCATATTAAAAAAATAGCCCAAAAAAGTATGTTTGTAATTTATTAAGGACTATCTTACAATTTTAACATAATTCAGGAATGCTGTTGATACTATGTAATATAGTAACATATTGTCGTGTTACGTGCAAGATATAATCTTGTTACTACCTGCTCCATTTCATAAAAATAATTTTTAAAGGACATACCGGGTGGACGAAAAAAAACGGAAAAAAATATTTTTCGTAATAAGTTTTGACCTATTAATATATAAATTTGTTTTCTTTTTTTTATAGAGCGATAGTGTAACTTAAGTTTGATTAATGTAAGACATTTTTATTATTTTTGGCATTTCAATAGTGATAGGTATTGTCATAACTTTTGTTTACTATGCGATGTCATTGTTTTTGATACTAAGACTAACTATAAATCAAAATCTTGAATGAACGCTCTTATTGCAAAGCAATTGTTTAACTTTTTTAGAGCTGTGACTATTGCAAAAACAGTGCAAAGTGTTTAACTGAATGATACTTCAGATGTATAAAAACCCGGTTATTGTTTTATTTTCTTCATTTTTCTTTCAAGAAAACAAACTTAAATATTTTAAAAAATCCAATAGCAATATTTTGTTTTAGTCTATATTAAAAAAATAACTTTTTTCTTGTTAAATTGTTACTTTTGGGGCACCCTGTATTATTATTTTTTTATTTATTTAAATATAATTTTTGTGTAGTTTTATTAAACCGTTTTCATGATTTAATTAAAAACTGTTTGTAAATATACTTTTTTCTTTTTAATGATGTATTTTTATTAATATTAAGTAAAATTTATTGACATTACAAAAAAAACGAATTCGTCATACACCTAGGGTTTCCCTGGCCCACTGTGCGACGTCTTTTATTAATGGGCCACCCTGTACATTGTTGTTTATAACTGAAATAAATGAAGACTCATTTGATCAATTGACTCTTTACAAACAAATACCAAAGACTTTTTCCACAGTATTTTTATATTGCAGGTTATGCTATTCGATGTTACCAGTGCGATTCGAAAAGTTCGAACCAATGTTTCAATCCCAATGAATCGGTGTTCTGTAACCAGTCATTTGTAGAAAAAACCCTATCCTATGCAAATAGCATTCACGAGAACTACACTGCAATTTTTAAATTTGACGAGTCTGATCTTAGCGAGGACTTAAACTTTGCATGCCTGAAGATTTTGTCAAAATGTAACTCGGGCTGCAATTTTACAATATCCTATTCATCATCCAACATTCTTTGTTATAGATGGGAATAGAAATGTCCTTTTTCGGGGATGCCAATTCGTGCCACAAGAACCTGTGGTAGATATTTGCAAGAGAGTGGAAATAGCGAACGGCGACTATCTGAAGAATATACACTGTTCACATTGCGACACTGATTTGTGTAACTCGGCACATAATTTTATTAGTTGTTGGAATTATGCTTTCGACATAATTTTCACTGTATTACTCCTTGTCTTAAATTTTGGCTTGTTTATTTGTTAAATATTTTTAATCCATAAAGCCATCTGCAAAACATAAAACTTTTCTAAAAAATGCTCCGCCATCAAAAGGCTCGCACAAAAAAAAGTATAATAACTTAAAAAATAGAATGAATAAACACCTAATGAATTTGATACCCCGCTCGTTCAAAATAATGAGGGATCGCTTTTTGGGCTAACATCAAAAGTCCTAAACATAATAGAAACGCGTGGCCATTAACGTCTTTTGTAATCCGCACCAAAACGTTCGAAGAAAAGCACATAGCTTTTACGGAAGCTTCACTCGAAGGAAATTTTTAAATAGTTTTGGTTACTGGTTATTCCCAATTTAGAGATTATAGAAGGAAACTTGCCAAACGGAGCCATACTATTGAGTTGTTGGAATGCATCGTCGTTGGTGCTGGCGGGTCACGTCCACGCGCATGTAGTTTGCGCCGGATCAGCAGATGTTTGAATAAGCCAAAGTAATTTTACCCGGGTAAACGTCAAAGCCTTTTCCGCAACGTTTTATGCTTTTTGCTCTACGCCATATGGAACTGCCGATATGCATTTAATACCAGATGTACAAAATAGTTTCATTAATCTGCAGTGTACCTAGTACTTAGTCCGAACTCCTGTTTAAACGGTTGTAATGTTTAGTTTTGGTTACTTTCAGGTAAAGACGTTCATTTCTTCTTCCTCTTGTTCCTTTCACTTTATTCTTAAGATTGACAATAGGCAAGTATTTCACTTTTTGAATTTTAAACTGTGAAATAATATTGTTGATGTGAAAAATACAATATAATTATTTATTATTCCGTAAATGTTCGTTTGCTGGGGTTCAAATTGTGTCTTAATAATTACCGCAACGAAAATCCAAAAATAATAAGGACTTAGAACTTTGTATAAATATATAATAAAAGAACTATGTTTTGGAAATATGCCATTTCGTTCTAGAAAATCTAGAAGCCATTCTGCTGACGGGCTTTACAGTGCTGGAGAACATATTAAATTCGTGTTGATTAATTCATCAATACATTTGCATGTGGCGATAATTCTGTGGTAAAGGGTGAAATAAATATCATTAAATTCAGATTTGTTGGACACTATCAGCAGCTGCTTTGAGCAGCATCAATACAAATAAAATACATTTTCTTAAAAAATAATTGCCACGATTTAATTTTTATTGCAATAAAAGATAAGAATCCACTATGCTGTAGACAACTGCATTTCGATATCGCTTTCCTTAACCTATAATCTCAGTAAAAGAAATAAAGACTTGAAATATTTTTCATAATATTTTCACTATTAAATGCTTTTAGCAACACATATAAATTGGCTGTTAAAATACCAATACTATATTTAAAATGTCACTAAACAATTAATAATATGTCCACGTGTGTCAATCATAATAAGATTGCAGCTATTTTTAATGCATTTTGGGGGCCTTATATATACCAACAGAAACAGTTATGTTTCCAATGTTTTGTAAATAAACACGAAACATATTAAGCATATCTACAGGTGGAAAAGATATTTTTTTACACATACTGCCACCAAAATACACTATAAATAGCTGCAATCTTAATATCGTTGACACTTGATCATTGTATGTTTCGCTATTTTGTTTTCCAACGCAAGACAGAATTTATACAGTGTTAAAACGCAAAGATCGTAGTGCTTTGTCTGTGTTTGTTGTTTGCTATTATTGTAATATGTTGTATTGTAATATTCAGTTATATGGGAATGATTATTAATTACAATTGGCATTTCCAACATTCAACAGTAAATTTCTTGGCTATCTATTATTGAAATAAAAGTGATATTTTTGCATTTAATTATTTGTAGTTATGTCGCGAAACGCCATCTGGCGACGATACAAGCAATCGAAATCAATCTGTTCAGTTCAAAAGTGATACCTTAAGGAGAGCCCTTTTCAATGACTATACGTTTGATGAAATAAGGGAAATAATTCTACTTAGGAAGAAAAGTTCTAATAGACTAGCAAGTTTGTCCTATAATGCGTTTTGTATATAACGAACGGTCAAGCGAAAAAAAGAATTGCCAATTTGTTCATCTTAGAAGAACGTGGCATTTCGGCATCCAAAAAAGATCTTCTGACAATATTCGTTTTTGCAAAGTCATATTTAAATTGCGAAACAATTCCATACACCTGACTTAATATATTACTATGTAAATGGCAAGCACATTTTTATACTGGTCGTTGGGCAGCGTGTAAAACTTTGCGTGGCACTTTGCCAATTTTCTTATGACAGAATACTCAGTCGAATTTGCACTTGAGTGGGTGAAACTTTCATTTTCCTTGAATAACTTTAGCTAAGGCACTGGATTATGAATTCAGGTTGCTTGAAACTTAAACAATGGCAATTAAATTCAATGCGAAAGTTGTTATTTTGAAAAAAAAATCGTCAAAATTAGTCCAGTTTGGTTGGCCTATATACGGGGGCAGAGCCAAAATTTCCCGGCCTGAATATGAAAGAAACAAAGTAGAGAAACAATTTTTTATTATTTTTCAATATAACTTATTATATCTCTTTATTAAGAACTCAATCCCTTTAAAAAAATATTCTTTTGGTTTGTCTACAAAATGAGCTAAACCAGCCTCTTTTAACTTAACTTCGCCGTTAAACCGCCGTCCACGTAAGTCCTTTTTCAAATATCCAAACAAATAATAGTTGCTGGGGGCAATATCTGGACTATAGGGAGGATGATCTATCTGTTGGAACCCACACTCTAAAATGGCAGCTTGTGCAACACCAGCAGTGGACAGGTGCATCATCGTGCAAAAGACGCACGCCTCTGGTTAGTTTTCCTCGACGTTTTACACGTATGCCGTCTCGCAATTTATGTAATAATATTGCGTAATATTTACTATTGACAGTGGCATTAGTTTCTTTAAAATCTATAAAAAGAATTCATTCACAATCCCAAAAGATCGTGGCCATCACCTTTTTTGTTGACTGGCAGACTCTGAATTTTCTTAGAGGTGCTTCACCCCTTCGACGCCACTCCATTGATTCTTTTTTCGATAGAGGGTCATAATAGAGAACCATAGTTTCATCTGCCGTCATAATAGTTTCTATCACAGGCTTCGGTTCCGACCCGCAGAATTCCAAAAAAGACCGCGCACACTCGACACGGCGTTATTTTTGAATAGCCGAAAGGTTTTTAGGAACCCATCTTGCACTAACCTTATGCATACCTAAATGATCATGCACGATTCGACGAACACTTGTATCAGAAAGCTAAGTAATTTCTGAGATTTCCTTGACCTTTAAACGTCGATCACTCAATACCACCTCTTCCACAATCGCAACAATATCTTCCGTTATGACCTCCACTGGTCGACCAGCTCTTGAATCATCTTCAAGGGACTCCGGCCCCATTCGAAAACATTTTGCCCATTCTTTCACTACAGAATACGAAGGAGAATTTTTGCCGTACACACCCTCCAGCCTTTCTTTAATAATTTTAACCCTTCTTTTTTCAAAAACTTTATGACTGCTCTGTTCTGAATTTGCGTTATTTGCGAGATTTTTTCGGACACATCTTGTTTAAAATGCTGTGAATAAAAAACTATTTGACGCAAGACTTCATTTTTTTCCGCAGCCTACTAAGATATATATTTATATTTATATATTTAAAAGAAGACAAAGTTTTATCGTGATACTGGAGCTGCATCTATGTCAGGCCGGGAAATTTTGGAGCTAACCTTGTAATATCGTTTTGTGACCAGTAGCAAAAAGTGTGATTGCAAAATATAACATAATTTATGTATCTACCAAACATTAAAAAAGGATTAAATCTTTAGTAATATGATGCTCGAATGCATAAGTATAGCGTAGTATAGAGGTTTAACTAAATTTGAGTAAGAGGGTTCGGTCAGAAACAAATATGACTGAGATTAGCGTTCCCCCAATAGAAGTTTCTTTTGCATTATATGAAATAAACGGAACTGTCGCTTAGTACCAAATTAGCAGTTCCAATTGCAAATCTAATAATGTAGCTAGCTAATACACATAATTAACCAACTCTGGAATATTATTTGTACATGAACTCACCTCTTATACTATCCTCCGATCTGTGGGTTGAAAACATTAGATTCTATTTAATAATAAATTAAACTAATACACACTCCGTTTTCACAACCATGCGCGACACAGAATCACATGACACTTTTGCTGAATTTTTGAAGATGCATTGCAGCCTGCTGAAACATTTTGAGTCATTGGTCTTCAGTTCTTTATAGGGTGACATTTTCACCACCGGTTACGGTTGTACTACTAGTGGGTATATTTACAATTTAAGGTCCATGAAAATTTTAAAGGTCAAAGTGACATTTTCCTGACGACGTAGACAAAATTTAGTTCTCACGCCTCTATTATTCTTTTGTTTTTCCTTTGTCTAATAGTCACCTAGAGCCAAATCATTATGTAACAGCAGGTCAGATGAACTATTGGTGGAAATAGATATTTATGCCGTGTGGCGCAGGACTGTTAGCCAGGCGATCATTTGCGCACGTCCTTATCGATTTTCGAAGAGAAAATTTTGTGATACAGCAGGAAAGGAGGAGATGCAATTGCAGAGGAAGGCAGTGTTGCCAATCTGAATGCATTTTCCTTTGACCGGATTATTTATGAACTTTGCTCCCATAGAAAGAGTAAATATACATTATGCAATATACATGACTAGAAACACTTAATATCTGTGCTCATGGACACAACCCCGAACTTATTCTGAACTCTAAACATTTGACTCCAATTAAAAACGTTTATAAGGACTTTAGAACCGGAATTAATACAGCATTGCCTCCGTGAAAAATGTAAAATATATAACCGAAAATTTAGCAATAAATGATAGCTAATTTTGTAAATAATTTTAGTAATCGGGAATAAAGGTATATTTAAATATAAGATGTATCAATGTATGGTTTATCTGATTTTCTTATTATATCTATAAAGTTGTTGAAATTTATTTTTTATCTTTTACCATCCTTTTACATATATATCTATAAATTTCATAGACTGCGCAGGGGTGGGGGCATTTGGGCAATCACAAAGAGCCAAAGCATAAATTAAAAAGAGTAAACACTAGTAGATCTTAGTAGATATTAACCTTAATGAAGTTGTTTTTTTTTGATAGAATTTATTCGTTTTGTTAATGCTTCTGTTTTTATAGCAAATGTGAAATTTTTAATTTAAAAATAAAATTGTTGATGTAATTCCTTCCTTTATTTTTTGCTTACTACAACTGGAGAACCCGATGAATAAACAGCAGGTTGTTTCTGGTATGTTTCTGCCATGTTACTATGTGTTATTAGAGGAAGTCTGCGCAAATGCCCTTAACTAGATTCCCTTCACTGCGTATACGACAGCAAATGGATTCACTTTATGCTCGTTCTGCAGCCTATTATTATCATCATCATGCCCATAGGTTTTTTAGAAAACTCTAAAAATTCATTCAATAAAAAAATATATAAATTTGAGTCAGTGCCTGGGTGCCATTTTTTTGCTTTCTGGATTCAGGGGATAATTCTATGTAGGATAGGATAGTTTTCCTTTTTTTTTTAATTTTTAGTTTCTGAAAATTGTGTCTGGGAAGCTGTGACCATCATAAACACTATTAATCGGGTCAAATGATCATAGAAAAAAATCTAAATGAAACTTTTCTCTACTTGTCTAAGGGCAAATAACATATAATGTAATGAACTATACATATTTATTAGTTTATTGTTTTTTTCGAATAGGACCCTAGTGGGAACAAAAACTTTCTAAACCGATACTTTTTTTTTCAAAATTGTGACACAAAAATTTTCTAAATCCGTTAAAAAATAAGCTCACAGGAAGGAAAAAACCTTGCTTCTATTCATTACTAATTGTCAAGTCAGTAAGATTAAAAATGCAGAAGAAACTCTCAACAAGCTCATGCAGTGGAAAGAAAACAACAGATTAATATTTTTTTTGTGGTAAAAAATTGATATGTCAAAGTCAAAAACTAACGTAAGTATTGTATCTGCTAGAAAATATAACATCCACAATGTTTGCAGTATCTATTTGACAGTGGTTACTGTAAGTTTTACATTGACACAAAACTTCACATTTATTTATTTTGGAGCTATAGTTTTGTATTTATTTCAATTAAATAAGTGCCATAGACATTTACTTAATAAGCAATTTATTTTAAGATGAAACTTTCTAACATTTCTGGAGTTATACTATCAAATTCAGCCGATATTCTTTACTGTAATTCTTGTAGGTCGAACACTGGAGTTATATAAACACGGTCTTTTACGTACCCCCATACAAAAAAATCTAACGGTGTCAAGTCCGGTGACCGTGGGGGCCGATTGACTGGACCGTGTGTTGAGATTAGTCTATCCCCATAAACATCACGTTGGCGTTTAGTGACATCTCGAAAATTAAGGGGAGGCGCGTCATCGTGCTGAAAATGCTTATTTAATGTCATGTCATGACAAGAGGTAAATCATCTAAGGAGTCATCCATTTCATTTCTTAGGAATATAAATATCGTGCACCAGTAAAGGCACCATGAAAAAAAAACAGGTCCAACATTCGCCTTCCTATCACTCCTGCCCGAATATTGATTTCGAACCATTCTTGAAACTGTCCGGGACGAACAATTCTTTTAATATTTAAAAGCCAGTATCAATTGTTCTGTCGGTTAAACAAAGCATTTTTTGAGAATTGTGACTCATCAGTGAACAAAATTAAGTTATCGAAATTATTAGTCTCGTCATATTTATCTAACAGCCAATTACAATAACGAAGTCTTCTTGCAAATTCAGCTTCATAAAGATGTTGATGAAGGTTATACTTAAAAGAATGATAGCCGTGTTTTTGTAAAATTCTCCTCACAGATTCTCTTGAGATAGCAAATTCTAAAGCAATGCAGCTGGATTTACGTTGACGTATCCCACAACATTGATTTCCATTTCTTCAAATGTAATAAAATTATGATGTCGGTTATTTTGTGAATTCCTCATTTTCAATTCCAGCTTTCTAAAGAAAGAATGTGCAGCAAGGTGACGTCCCGGATAGCGGGCTTCATACAATGCACGTGCCTGTAGAGAGTTTTTTCTGCATTCCCCATATATCAGAAACACATCAACTTTTTCTGTTCTTTGAAAACTGATTATTGTTTGCCACGATAATCCAAATCGATAACGCGACAAAATCGATAATCAAATAAAAATATTTCCTATGAGCTTACTTTTTAACGGACTTTGAAAATTTTGGTGTCAAAATGTTGCAAAAAAGTACCGGCTTTTCAAATGTTCCAAAAAACGCACCGATTTTAAAAAGTTTTTGTTCCCACTAGGGTACTATTAGAACAAACTAGGTTATGTTAAAAAATTAATAGTTTATTACATTAAATGCCATTTGCTGTTAGACAAATAAAGAAAAATTTTATTTACAATTTTTCCCATTATCAGTTGACTCGGTAAATAGTATCAGCCAGCCTACTAGACACAATTTTCAAAAATGTAATAAAAATTAAAAAAAAAAAAAAAGCTTTCCTGAATCCAAAAATGCAAAAAAAAGCCATTTAAAATTCGAAAGTTGCTGTCGTTTTCGCTCACACCGGAAGTGCAACCAACCATTGACTACATATTGGCAAAAAATTGGACATTCAGCCTATATTAACCCTTCCAAATTTCAAATCGCTATATGAAGTCGTTTAAAAGTTATAGAGTGTTCCCATAATATAATGCGTCAAAAAGCAGAACTCAATTAAACGTAAAAGTACCTGGAGTTCTGACGATTTGGAATTCTGACTCTTAAGTGACACTTGTTAAAACTGAAGGAAATGTCAAACAAACGTATAAAATGTACCCGATTAAAATCTACGCAAGGGTAAAATTAGAGCCGAAGTTTAACAAAGACGTAATGCCATACCAAGCACGCGCATGGCAGCAATATCATTTTGACGGTTTTAATCTTTCCAGTATTACGAAATCGCAAAAAAATGCGACGAAAAGTCCGATCAACTCATATTCCACAACTTTTCGTCATTGTGTCAAAAATCCGATGCCTATAGGTTTAGGAAATAACGCTGTAAATGTTGCTTTGGTTTCTCCAATATAACGATCGTCTTCATTTTAGGTTTCACGAAGTGTTCGACCAGGATGCAAATCAAATAAAAATTTTCGAATCCGTCGCTCAACCGGTGATCGAAAGGTCCATTTTTTAGTTTGTGGGGAAGATTCAAATTAAAGTTTCTTTTATAGAGTTTTGTGCGGCTTTAATGGCACAATTTTCGCCTACGGACAGGTGTCGTTCAATAAAAGAATTGTTATTTTCGATATATCGCTATATTTTCAGACGGGAAGTGGCAAAACATACGCGATGACGGGCTCACCGAAAAAATACGAGGAAAGGGGTATTATTCCCAGAAGTATAGAGTTCATCTTCGCAAACATTGAAAAGGTATGGTTCCACACACTAGGGATGCTCCCAAAAGTCTAAGAATTATGCAGTCAATGTTATTGGTGCCAGTCAAGTGTGACGACGCAACATACAATACATACACTACAATGTTGTTCAGACTGATATAGGGGCGTTTTCATAGCACTATTTTTGTAACCATGGAAGGCGCCGTAAAATCATCAGGAATTATTCAGCGTCTGCAAGGTTTTAAAGCCTGTAAAATATCACTAAAGACGATCCAAGCGGTGGACACCCAAGTACGTCAAATATTACTACCGTGGAAGACCAAAGGAGCACAGGCTCAGGTCATTCGGAACACACATTACTTTTATGAAAAATTATATAAAAATATTCTCTGGATGCTTTTCTCTGAAAATAAAAACTTACAGCATCAAAAGAAAGAAACATATTAGATCCCTAAAACTGAAAGATATTAAACAGACATGTGTGACTAATTATCTCAAATACAAATAACATTTACAACTCCTTATATAGTAACCCAAAAAAGGCATATGATAAACTTTTTGCTGAAGAAAAAAAAGCAATTATGCCACAAAGAATAGTAAATTCGGATAATAAAATGAAAAGCATGTCGCGAAAGTAAAGAAAAAATTAATTTTTAATTCATCAGAGGATCCCAAAAAATTTGCACAGGGCTTGCACTTCCACTTGGCAACTATCATTCCAGATCATTTGAACTCGCAAGAGCACATTCCTTTTAAAAACAATATCATGGAAAATTAAAAATACCATACTAATACTACTAAATACTATAGTAAAATTCTTAATACCGGAGATAAAGTGTTGTCCTATTTAGTAAATAATTCCATGGAACAAGCTGTCTTTCCACAGCAGCTCAAATTAGCTTTACCACGAAATTTTGATCTATAAAATGGAGAGAGATGATATTAGAGGTAAAGCATCCAGTTGGATAACATCGTGCCTTTCCAATAGAAAGAAAGCACCATGGTATTGTCCAAAATGAAAGAAAGCTATGAAGTAAATAGTAGTAAAACGAAAATGATTTTATATCAAACAAAACAAAATCAATCAGCCCTGATTCTTTATTATATAAAGTTAGCTAAAAGAAATGCTGAGTTTATAGAAGGGTGGGTATCAGAGTAATCGGTAGGTATGTAAGAGCAGAAGGAAGCCTTAAGGATTGTCTATTTTGCTCATTTTAAATCTATTGTACAATATGGCATAACATGTTGAGTAGCGCTTCTAACATACAAAGAGTTTTTATTATACCAACGACGTACCAAAAAATGAAGAACCAGGACTCTTTTGGAGGAACCTTTAAACAATTGCAAGTAAATAAGTTCTCGGGAAATTTACTACATGATAATAACAGTCGAACCAGAATATCATGCTACTTAATCACAGATTTTCGATATTATAGGTGCTTTACCAATTTCTGTGAAATATATTAAAATAATCAGCAAATTTCAGAAAGATTTCAACGAAGAATATTGAAGAATATTTGCTTAATTATAATATGATTTAATTTGTACTTCTATTTGGGCCAAAGATAATTGCAATGAAGAAGTTTTATTGTTGTTATTATTATTATTATTGCTCAATTATTTCTTGCAAAATTTTGTCGTAAATTTTCTTTGCAGACCGATGAAAAGCCGACAATCTATATTTCTTATATGGAAATTTACAACGAGGTGGGCTACGATCTCTTAAATCCCAGGGAAAGCAAAACAGCGCCGTGTTTAGAAGAACTGTCGTAAGTTTTTTTTTTGTGTAACAAAATATTAATCCCGAAATCTAATTGAATTTAATTGTATTACATAATATTTATATATTTTTAGACGCGTGACAGTTCTGGAAGACAAAAAGGGTGAACCCCATCTCAGAAATTTAAGTGTTTTGCCCGTGTCTTCTGAAGAGGAAGCCATGAGATTTTTCTTTTTGGGAGAAACGATCAGGTTTCCGAAACAATAATGTCTTATTTTTTGTATCATTTATTATTCACCTGGTTGCATCCGATGGTAGGGAACCGATAACTACTCAGTTGACTCATTTTTAGAGCAATCGCCGAGACCCCAATGAACGACTATTCTTCGAGGTCCCATTGCATCTTCACAATTTACATAAGTTTTCGGCAATCTGACCAGAAAATGAAATTTTCTAAGCTAAACTTGGTGGATCTTGCCGGGTATGATTAAACAGCTTTGTGTTCCTAATTACAAGTTGGCGATAAAAAAAAAGATTATTTCTGTTGATTTAGATCAGAACGAGTCTATAAATCCCAGATTACCGGAACAGTACTGAATGAAGCTAGGCATATAAATTTGTCGCTACATTTTCTGCAGCAAGTTATTCTCGCATTGTCAGAAGCACGACGTCGACATGTACCTTACAGAAATAGCATAATGACATTTATTTTAAAGGATTCCTTGGGGGGAAATTGTGTGACGGTAATGTTAGCAATGCTGGCAATTAATAGCAATCATTTACAAGTAAATTGGTGACGCAATATTTTGATAAATTGTCCAAGTGTTATCTTTTTAAGGAATCCATAAGTACTTGCAAATTCGCCCAGCGAGTTTCTCGAATTAAAACTGATCCAGTGATCAACGAAGTGATAGATCCGTACCAGGAAATTCTGCTGTTGAGAAATGAAATCCAAGAACTTCAAATGCAACTTGCTGCTCGGAAAACGAACAGGCCATTTATAGTAATTTCGGGTAAATATTTTTTAGCCCATTGTAAAAGCCAATTTTTCAAGGAACACAACGGCTGTCTCAAGGAAAATCAAAAAGTTTTGTGTGAAGATTTGGTACAAAAATACTTAAACGACCCACTACGTTCGGTTCTTCAAGTAGAACCCGATATGAATCAAATACAATATTGTTTTTATTTAATGAAAGCGGAAATTTTTACTTTGAAATCTAGTAAACGTAGCAATGGAACAGTTGGGCACGATTTTAAAAATAAATTTACCCAAACACTACCGTCACAACGTTTCACAGGTAAATATAATATTTACAATGAAATTTGGGAAATTAAATATAAAAGCAATTTACCGTTTGTTCGTAATGCTGTTCATGAAAAAGTAATAAAATTAGTACGAATTAGTACGAACTATTACGTCCGGTGGCCCACACTTAACGCAAACTATTTTATTTTTCTTCTTCTTCTTCTATATTAGGCACTTCTGATTGTTTTACAGGCGATTTATCTCTTGCTATCCTCACTACCCATTGTTTAGACATTCCATCTATATATTGTGTTATATATGTGAATAGGTGTAAATATTTTCAATTCCACATATGTGTCTGATGTTTTCATTTGTTTCTCTATCCCAGAGTGTTTTCCCTACTATTTTCAGGCATTTCTAAGTCTTAGATATTTTCGGTCTTGTTTCAGCGGTATAAGTCATGATTGGTCGAACTGCAGACGTATATATGAGGGAATTTGTTTAGGTTCTTAAGCATTTATTCTCCCATATCGTGTCGTTTAGACATCCTGCTAGCCTATAGGGTTTTGCAGTTGTTCTCTTATTTCATCCTCTATATTATCATCACATGAGAATCTAATTCCTAAATATTTGGTTATCAAGCTCCAGGTTACATCTAATTGGTTCTTTAGAGATTACTAATGATTTAGTTTTTTGGCCTATATTTCTTTGCATTTGTATGAAACTGATGTAGTAATCATCTTCATTCTCGGCTACCAATACAGAATCGTCGGCGTAACACAACAGTCGTATTTCTTTATTACCCATTTTATAGCCTTTTTTGTTTTTACTTCTCTAATTATTTCGTCTAATATAACATTAAATAATAAGGGGCTTAGTGAGTCTCCTTGCCTAATACCTGTATTACATCTATTAGCTCTGAATTTACTCTTGACCCTATTTTATTTCTTTTGTATATATTTTCTATTAGTTTTATTTTATCAAATGGGATATTTCTGTTATAAAGAATATGTATCGCGTCCTGTAGCTGCATTCTATCAAATGCTTTTTCTAAATCTATGAAGCATAAGAACACTGGACTATAATTTGTCTTCTTCTGAACCCTTGTTGTTTTTCAGAGAGTCTTACAAGTGTTGTTATTTTGTTCGTAATAATTTTTGTTTTCAGTTTTAAAATCGTGCATAGGAGGTTAATTCCTCGATAGTTATTTGGGTCAATTTTTTCCCCCTTTTTAAAAAGTGGTATCATTATGCTTGTGCTAGAGTCTTCCGGTATTTGTGTTTATAAACGCTGTTAGTTCTCTAATTAGCTTGGGACCTCCGTACTTCAATAATTTATATTCGGTTTCTTAATTTCTTAAATGCTTCCATTCTTCACTATTTATTTCTAGTATTTCATCTGTTATGGTTGCCAACCATAAAAGTCGTGTTCCATATCTTTTGAGAATTTTTTCCAAGGTTCTGCTTTTTTTTTCTTACCGGTGTGTTTGTTTCGTTGCGGATTCTTTCACATTCTTTATAGGCTTCTTTTGTTTCTGTAGACTCATATTTGAATTAGGCTCTTGTATCCTGTTGACATTTTAGTTTTACATCGTCATAAAACCAATGTGTACTTTTTATGCTTTTTGATGTTCTGTCGGTTTTACGTTCCCCAAGCGCTTCTTTTGCTGCGTTTTTGATATTTTCTCGAATCTTTCTCCAGCTATTTTCTATATCTTCTTCTATTACAGAGTTTTCGTTTATTTTGTTTTCCAATATTGTTTGATAGATATTTTTTATTGATTCATCCTGTTTTCCTACTTTAGTCTTTGTTCCTCAAACAAATGTTAGTTTTTTGATGTTTGTTTATTTTCATTGTTATTTTCTCTAAAACAAGATTGTGGTCACACATAATCATCTTATATCTAGTATTTGTGTGTAATATATTTAATTATTTGTTAAGATATAGTCTATGATTGATCTATCTCCTCGTGTATTTTGGAATGTATATTTATGTTGTTCTTTGTGTCTATTTATTCGAAATTCGTTTTGTGAACAGAAGTGTACTAAAGATTCGCAGTTTTCGTTAGTGACACTTTCATTAAATTTTTAATTCACCCCTGGTATTATTGCGTTCCCTACTCGTGTATTAAGGTCACCTAATATTTTGTAATTTCTCATACAATTTTAGTCTGTCTTCTTCTGGTTTGCAGTTTTCTGATTTTCTGATTTAAGTTTAACTAATATAATTCTTTCCGATACATATTTGCATTCCTGTATATTTTAAAACACTTTTCTATGGATCATGCTACACCCCCTTTTGTTCTGACGTGTCTTTCCATGTACATTAAAATATATTGGCCCAGGCACATTTGTGCCTTTCTTTGTTGTTTCTTGTAATGCACATATCCATATATTTCTACCCCTTAATTCTATTTTAATTTCCTGATGTTTATTATTTAGTGTTTTTATATTGCATGTTGCTATTCGCTTTATAATCTTTTTTTATAGCTACTCATTCTCCTTTTTCTTGCCGACCATAATAATTTTTTGAGATTCGTTTTTTGTTTCAGTTTTTTCAAATTATATCAGTCTCGAATGTCCTCGTTTTTTACCTTTTTACCAGTAGTCACTACAATAACACAAAAAACTGAAGTGGAAAAAGTCATTAAACACTAATATACTTGGTCTATATAAATACATCGAAGTTTTTGAAGAAATTGTTAGTTATTCTTCTTACCATTTCCGACATCCTAAGAGTATGCATGAAATTTCATTGACTAGAAAAAAGGAATACCTTTATTTTCAGAAAATTTTCTTCGTGGAAGCGTTGAAAAAAATTTTGCACAATTATCAGGTTGTCAATGGTGCAAAAACGCTTCAGCCAGCGAAAATGCCGAGAAAAATGCGTTTGAAATGGAACAGTGTACCCGCCAGTTAAATGCGACTTATCGGAAAGCTGAAGTTTTGGCAGACACGATCCAGAAATGTCAAAAACATATAAACCATCTTAGAACGCAACTGGATTATCTTCATCCTCATGATTTTCAGCAAAAAAGATTCTTAGTCGACGATCTTGAACATCAACAAAATATTTACAAAAGTAGCATCGTCGCGCTTAAACAATTAAAAACCGAAACAATGCACTTGGAGTGTAACCTTAAGAGGATAGAAACATCGACAAGGCATCGAAAAGTATCCGATATTAATGTCAACTACGATGTCGATTGTTTCAAATGCAACTGCCCCGAAAATGCTAGTATGAGGATGTATCAACCAAAAAATGACTTGCCGTCAATGCCTGTGGACAATGAGAACAACCATTCAAATATCCAGCATTCTTTTCCAGGATCAGACAGCAATCTTAGAAAAATTGCAACCTCGAATACTTGCGATAATTTCTATGACGGCGGAAGCAATTCCCAATGTACTAACGCTTGGTTACAGAACAATTACATCTGTTCCTGTAAAGATTGTGTTTCTGCGTCTAATAGTTGCGGAGTTATGGAGTCAGAAAAATGTTGTGGAGTTTTGAACTGCCAAAACCAAATGTTGGTTGATACTAGGGTAGATCAATTTCAAAATACGGTTCTCACTTGTACCTGTGATTATTCTGAGTCTTCATCAAAACGATCCATTCACTATCCTTTATGCATTTGTAAAGAAAATTGCGACGTACCTACAAGACTAGAGAAAGACAACGTTAGCAAGCTGGATCGAACCTCCATAACCCAAAGCTTTCGACATTTAGAATCATCAACCGACACATCAAATGAAGCTTTTGTTCCTGATCCATCATGGAGTGAAAACATCCCTCATCAAACATTTTTAAAATCAGTTTGTCCGTCAGCCGGAGAGAAAAAGGAGGTAGTTAGAGCCACCGTCACGCACAATGATTTCCTGAGTGAGGCAGATGGACAAGAATTTAAGACCTTTATTCAAACCGTCAAACTTTCAGGGGACCCAGAAGTTGACAGAGAACTAATTGACTTTTACAGGAAAAATTTTTCTTAATATTCAACCAACAGCACAACAATGTTTTATTTACATAATAGATATTTTTGTAAAATATAATTTGATATTAAAAACAACAACAATTACAATACGTTAAAATTAACATTTTAGATTTCCATTTATTCTGTTTCCCAGCATGATCGCATTTAGCAAAATCACCTCCTTTTTGTGAACCAGGCCTAACACTTTTCTTGGATTCAGGTATGGCTCTATGGGCAGGGTCATTAAAAATAGCGAGTGCCCTGCCATTTTGATTGCTGCTTTATGCTTGAATCCTTCAATTCCTACACATTAAAACACATTTAGTGCGTCTGCCATATGTGATGTTTAAAATTTACCCTTATACTCGTAAATCTGCAATACTTTATTATCCTCCATGAACACTAGCAGCGTTTCTCCATTGCCAAAATCTACGGCGGTCAAAGCAGATGGTTTGTAACAGGAGATTTTATCGAATAACTCTTCTGCAAACGGGTCATCATAAATCTAAAAAAGCAAACGAATTATACACTAAACTAAAAAATAATGCAAATGCCTTTTTACTGACCTCTATTAGATCTAACCGATGCCCAACTTTGGTTTCCCTGTGAGATGCAACTGCCAGAAGGTCCTTTTTTGATCCTTTAATTCCAACTCTGAGAACAACGATGTCTCCGCCGTTCCTTCCAGGAACAAATAAGTTTCTTTTTTCCGAATAGTTTCCTACCGAAACGATCTCAAGGTTGGGGTCGGCGTACTCAATTTCCTCAATGTTACTGTCGTCTAGGTAAATCAGGCTCTTTCCTGTTCGGAGACTGATTACTTTTCCCAATCCTCTCGGCATAAACGCGATATTGTCTACGATTTTAGTTTTAAAATTTAGCAAAAAAAATAAATCAAACGTTTCATCTTTACCGGTATTGACTTCCCATCTTCGACGAGGTCTCACGGCTATTAGTGAATTTGGATGTATCCTATATTCACCAATTAAACCGTCCTTCAGTCCATAAAACGTTAAGGGTAAAAAAGATTCTTGTAGTAATTCCTGCTTTTCTATGGTTTCTACAAACTGTACAGAAGTGAACATCCACTGACATTGTAGAAAAAGGGCTCGACTCTTACCTCAAGACTTTCGTCCTGCAACTTCCATATGGCGGTTGTGTTTTCCAGTTTACACTGAGTATTTGATTGACCGATATTCGTCACTAAAAACAATTGCTCGTCGCTTTGAACTACTTCTGCCTGCTCGACAGAGCCGGTATGCAATTTTTTAACTATCTTGAAGTATTTTGCATCGAATTTCAATAGATCAGAGATACAGTTATTTCCATTAACCAAGAGGTAACGATTGTCGCGATGATCGAAAAACTTGACGTACTGTATGCGATCGTAAAAGGTTAACCTTTGCATCTCATCGAAATATTTGAATTTGTAAATTTGATTTTTCGCTTTTTCGTAGAGATATGATACATCTGCGCATAGGTTATTGTAATCTTTCTGAAAATAGAATCAAATATGACAATGATCACGGGAAATGAAACTCACAAGCGATGTGAGTACAATATATGGATTCTAGCACACGATAAGTCGTCACACTCAATAAAACGAAGAGAAACCAATTTGTATTTGTATTTATATTTTGAAAAACTGCTTTAAAAGACACGAATCAACGTTTATTATAACGTCATAGGGCATGGAAGTTGCCATTAGCAGGACATTTGATTTTGTGTCGCGTAAGGTTTTTTATCAACATTGAAAAAATTAATTAATGAAAGTCTCGGTTTATTTAAACATTATTTTTATTAGTACAAGAACAAAAACCGAATTAAAAAAACTAAATTAAGTAACAACATTTCAAACAACAGTCAAGTCCATTTATTTTTGGAAGATCTCCCCCTCTTGACCGAAAAACTTCAGTAAATTTTCTTGTACATTTTATGGCACTTTTGTCACTTTTCAATAACCAGCAGTAATGCGTTTCACTTCTTTTATATCTTGGTGGAACCGATCACCTTACTCCTCACTCATGGCTCCAAGATATTTGAGAAAGTAGTACAGATGTGCGTGGAAAAAGTGTAGTTTTATACTCATATTGCATCTCATTTCCTTAAATTCTCTAACATGTTTTCTAGAATGGCTTTGCCTTTTGGATATTTGTTGTTTCCTATTAAACCTTTTATTAGTAAATGAAACTCATTCGACCTTTTCAGATTCGATCATGGTATTCACAAAGTCTTGATCTTTCATTAATCGCCTTATTTGAGGATCTACAAAAATTCCTTTTTTTAACTTTGCATTTGAGAGAGCCGGGAATTTTCCACATAGGTATTTATAACATGTTCCATAGTTAAAGCTTTGACGTACTGCCTCGGTAGCCCCAATTTAATATGCAACGGTGCTAAGACTATCGTGAACAATATTTTTTGATCCGGGAGTTAAGTTAACCCTATTTGACCAATTATTTTTCACCCTATGTTGTTGTCTACTGTCCCATTTACACAAAAATAGAGGAACTATTGACCTAGTAGAAATCCCACATTTTTTAAGGCACCACAAACTATAGTCCTTGTATTTGCTTTTCTCGAGCAGTAGTTCCAGATTTTCGTAGCATTCATTCATTTGCACAGAATGAGCAACAGGTACAGTGCATTTCACTTATACAAAGAAGCAGCTTTAAGGCTACTCGGGGATGAATCAATAAAAAGTCTTCAGTCTTCGGTGAAAGAATATCGGTGAAATAAACAAGTGAACCACATTGTTCAAAAGAGCCTATAAACTCTGTCTCGCGCCTTATGAAATATGAAATTTCAACGTCGTGTAGCAGTAAATTTTTATTTCGAAGTCTAGATGCTGAAATTTTCCTCAAGTCCTTCACTAATTGTGAAAATAACTATGGTTGCTGAGAAACACTCCATATATCGCCAACATCACTATCTTTATCTATTTCAGAAAAACTGATTGTACCTTCTTCTAAATTGCCTGGATTCTCAGGCAAATCTGGGCCACGTGACACAGCCCTAATTAAAGACCTAAGGTTCTGATAAACAATGCTTTTTCAAAGTTTGAGTATTATATGAAAGAACATTGCACATGAGGAAATAGAACTCATTAGGGTGATTTGTTGGCTCTCTCCAAAGCATGGGCATTCCAAAAAGTAAGGATCGTCTGGTTCCATTATTCCAATGTCTTAAACCTTTATCACATACCTTACAAACAACATATGTATAGTATTGTTTTTTAAATACTGGTGTAAAAAAGAACTACACGTAAAGCAAAACGTATCTGGAATATTTTTCGTAAGTCTTGACATTTTAAGAAGAAATTTATCTGCACAATGCTCACTAACCTCACCAAACATATTCGGCAATCCCATGAATTATGTTTTACTTTCGAGGATTCCCCGCTAATTTTCTGTTAATTTATGCAAAATGTATGCCAGCGGCTTAGCAATTTCAATTTTTAGAATGTTATATAATGTTCCTATTTTTAAAACAATAGAAATTACTTCTCAAAAATTAATTCAAAAATGTAGCGCTATAGAAACAAACATTGTTTTTCTATTAGTTTAGTCCCTATAAATATTTGTTTGGGATGCCCAGTGGATTCGTAGGGAAGTGTATACGATTACAGTCATGGTCACCTATATATTACGTAACAAGTTTAATAAAGGATACTTTAGGCACTAACGGGTCGCAGCAAAGCGAGTCTTTAATAAGCGAAGAACTGTAGAAGTTTATAAACGTGTTGCATGAGCATTTTAGAATAAAGGGCCGAAAATTATGTAGTCTAAGCAAAATGTCTTTGAAATGCCGAACAGAAGAACAAATTGGAGTTCTAGGTCCTTTTTTTTAAGTGGTTTCCCCAGTAGGACTCTTTAACCATCTGCGTTTGCAAATCGTTCACCTCGACGTAACTTAAACAACTCTGCCCACGACAATTAGTGTGCTGGGCAAACCAACTTTCATACTCTGCATCGCTTTCCATACCTTTTACGCTCACAGGTTATGAACAGAAGAATTATAGTTGGAGCTGGCGTTCGAGTCGTTGTTGATGTTGAAGAATAAATTGATGACAAAATTAGAATCAAAGAACCAGCAAGAATTTCCACTCTAGATTCTAGTTGCCGCAATTATTTAAAACCCGTAGTTGTTGGGCAAGGATCGATCCGGATCCGCCGGAAAAAGACATTCGCTTTTTAAAAAACGTTCATTGAAATATTAGGGACTTATTCAGTTTTAAAAGATTACTGAAGTTAATATTTTATTGAACAATACGTTTAGTGGGAAAGAAAAATCACAGAATATAAATCTAGTGAATGCATCCTTGAATGATCGGCAAAAACATGATTTATACAGAGATGGGAAGAAATTTCCAATTGCCTTAAACAAGGCACCCCGAAATTACAATCGAGTCAAGCAGTCAACTTATACTGGAACCAGGGAAGCCGTTAAAGAATGGGCAGAGGGTGTAATTGCTAATAGAATCATCATCAACAATTTAAGATACGCCACGGTCTTAATATCAACAGATAAGGATGATTTACAGCTACTTTTATCAGCGGTAACAGATCATACCTAACAAATATAAAGAAAACCAAATCGAATGGCATAAGCGAAACCGAAAACATAACTAATAACTTAACAAATATCAGCGTAAATGGCGAAATAGTAGAGAGAGTACAAACATATTTGGCGTGCTGGGTGAATGAAAACTGGGATTCAACTCAAGAAATCAAAAACAGAATAGAGCAAGCAGGAACATGCAAAAGACGTTAACCAACAGAGTATTAAGAATTCCCTTAAGAATACGCTTATTACGTTACTATGCCTTTAGCACATTATTCTACGGAATAGAAGCATGGACCCTCACAGCAACAATGTGTAAGAGGTTTTCGAAATGTGGGTTTACCGTAAAATGTTGAAGATATCATGAGTGGACAGAGTGACGAATTCAGCGGTATTTAATACCATTAAAAGAAGAAAGCTGGAAGTATCTTGCCCACGTAATGGGAAATAAAAAATATGAATTGCTCATATAATCAGGCAAAGAAAAATAGCGGGAAAACTTGGTTCTGGTCGCCGAAGGACGTCTTGGCTCAAAAATCTTCGTCAGTGGTATGGAGTAAGCACCACCACAGTGTTTAGATCTGCTTCGGAGACAGTGAACATCATGCCTCAAAATCACAATTTCAAAATTCACTTGTTCAATTTTCGGCATTTGAAGAAGAAGATGAAGTCATTTTTTCTCGACTGCTGCATTAACACAACATTTATATCGCGGTTCTCATCAGGTTCAATTGCCACTTTCATATTCAGTTCTTCAGCTCATAAGCTATAAAAATGTGATCTCATTATTGTGGACAGAGTTGTTTAAATGCCATCGAGGTGAACAAATTTGCAGAGGCAGATGATTAAATAGTCATATTTCATTAATAGAATAGAGCCTGCCCTACAGGGAAACTACTTTAATAAAAAACAGACCTCAAATCTACCTCAAGGGTGGTGCAGGCCTCGTAGTAATTTCGATCCTGTTCATTTTTTGCTGATTCTAAAAATCCTCGAGATAATCGCCACAAAAGACGGCGCTGGGTTAATTTTTCTCTTCCTGCTGAGAACTATGTTTATTTTCCAAAGTTATTTATAAAAGTTGGGTGGATTGGATTTTATGTAGAAAAAATGAAGATAAAATGTCCTATAATATTTTCTCGTCAAAGTTACGGTTTACGAGCAAAGCCCTGAAAGCGGCTCACCTTTCGGGATGGATTTTATGACCGAACGGGGATGAAGTTCCCACCGAAGAGTGGAAACTGTTCGGATTTTTATTTGGGTTTCTACTCTGGGTTGCGTAATAAAAGTCTAATTATACTACACCAATGATTAATATGCTATCCTGGAATATTTGTTTTTTTATCGGATATTTTCGGAGATATTATCGCATTCGTGTTGTTTTGCAAAAATGTACCCAAAAAACTAACGTTGGTAAAAAAATTATAGTATGCAACACATTTGGTGATAATATATTATTAAGTGTGGTAAACGGCATCCTACGAGTGACTTAAAAAGCTTTTCTACTCCCGTCTGTAAATCACTTAAATATACACCGATCTAGCGTACGGAAAGTATCGTTTTACCACGTCAGTTTTGTTTCCCAGAGATCCGAGTCGCTTCGGACATTTCTGGGTTTAAAGCAATCGGATGTTTTCGGAGATATTACCGCACAGCTTAAATTTTGACGTTTGACAATTCTAACGGCGATGTCAGTGAATGTATTCATGTTGTTTTGCTTAAATGTACCCAAAAACTAATGGGCGTAGAACATGTTTGGTAAACTTTTTAAGTCACTCGTTTGTTAAACACTCGCTCTGCTGCGCTACGCTTATGCCAAATAAACTAGTGACTCATATTCCGTTTATCACACTTGTTTCGTAATACACCTTTAAATTTCAATTTGCATTTAAATTATAGTATGTACAGGGTGGGCCAAATTGAAAAATTTTAAAGGAAAATTGATGAAGATAGGCAACTAACGTATATTGCAATATTCATAAAAAACATAAAAACCAGAATCACACACGAATATCTGTTACCACTTCGGTGTTATAAGGTATATTTTCAAAAAATCTCTAAGTTTTTCTATCGAACATTTTGTGTTTTTATGAAAATATTTTAAGCACCTTTTCTGAAATGTTAGCGTTTTAAAAATTAATAGTTTAATAGTTATCAACAAAACAATCCATTTTTATATAGAACCCCTACATAATTTTTAATTATTGAAGAAATTTCCTATGAGTCAAAAAACAAATGCGTATACTATTAAATGAAAAACTGTGATTGTAACTGTTAAAATGTTGGTTTTACTTTATTCTTTCAAATAACAAATAAATTGTTTATGACATTTTGTTTAATAAAAGTGAGGAAGGCTTCAGAAGCTGCAAACAATTTATATCACGACGAATATCCTGAGAGAAAACAAACTCTAGACATGTTCGGAATATTGCGACACAACTAAACCAACAGTGGTCGGTTTGTGAAAAAACTAGTACATCAGATAGGATTGGGGAGTTACAGGAATTAGATGTTTTAGAACCAATCTAAAATAATCCTCCAACGTCCTCTCGAAAGTTAACGAATATCAACAGTTTTGTCAGTGGAACCTACTTTGAAAAATGTAACGCTATTTCCAGTTGATTTTTCGAAATATTCATGGAAATCTTTAATCAAAAACTATCGTCAACATCACACCGTTCATAGCTAAGTTGTTCAATTTTCAAAACTTGTAAAAATAATTTTAAAAGTCTCTTTCAAAAATATACAGGATGTCCTATATAAGAAACGAATGTTCTGTTGGTGACTATTAGACTATTAGTTATTAAGACCAATTATAGGTAACAAAATTCTTTAGAAATGTTATCATTGATATACAAAAATTTACATAGCAAAAAAGTTACAGCGATTTTTTAAAAACACCAAAAGTTGTCGTCTATGTCATTTCAGAAACACTTTCGGAAATAACTTGTGACGTTGAACATCCAGGCAACTTTTAGCACTAAAAATTGTCAACGTCATGCACACTACTGAACTCGAGCTAGACAACCAACAACGCCCTTTCTATGGGACGCGGTTAATTAATATAGTAAAGCTAATATGGTTAATTAGGATATCTAGTAGAAATGTAGAGAAAAATAGTCTAGAATCCGAAGCACCCAAACTTTCTCTTATTCAGAAAAACTTAAGTACGAAATACAAAAGTATATTATAAAATAGAGAAACGCTTACCAAAATGCCCTTGTTCGTATGATACTCGTAATTTTTTCGTTCTTTGATATCGTTGACCAACTGACTAAAATTTCTTCCATTTATCAAGAGTTCGCTTTGATTCAAGTTGCCAAGGAAGGTAAGGTTGTCTGTAATCGACCATTCGTCGTTCACTTTTTGAACGCTTTGCGCGTACAGTTTGACGCTATTATTTGCCCATCGGGTAAAGTTCACTCCATTTATCAAACCGCTTACTTCAAAAACTTTATTAGTCCATATTTTTTCTTCGAACTGGTATTCGGCTGTCAAGTTCTGAGAGCCATTTGTCGAGACAATTTTTGATGAAGATTTTCCATTTATTACTGGAGCCTTCAAGTTTTCGTAAATAATGACATTGCCTGTGAATTCGACTTCTGAAGCAATGTCTTGATCTCTGTTGGCCTAAAATATTCATTAAACATTATTGAGGCCGCAAACCACAGGCCAACTATTAATTTTAAATTGTGAAACCACTGTTTGTCTCTCTTAGATACCGTTAATTTGCTTTGTTCTACCTCCTACTTTCAGGTATAATACGACCAAAAATATAGTGCAACAGAAGTTTATTCTGCATTAAGTAGATCTTGGCTGAGATGGACCGTAACGAATATTTGTAATAAATTTGAAAAAAGTGTTTTTAGACGAAACATGGTTCGAGACGCTCGACACAGTAAAAAAAACAAGTGTGTCCTTACATGGAAAACGCATAATAATTCTGTATACTGGATGCAAAATTGGTTGCCTTATTTTTGTCTTCCAAAAATGTCAAAGATTCAAATGTGGAGTACCATGAAAACATGACCGCGGAAATATTTGAGGACTGGTTTGAAGAGAAACTGTTGCCCAACTATCGCCAAATACTGTTATTGTGTTTGATAATGTCTCGTATCATTCAGCCCAAATTAGAAAAAATCCAAATACTTCTTCAAGTAAACAAAAAATTAAAGAATTTCTGTACAAAAATGATTTATACACGAAAAAACAACTTCTTGAATTATTAAAAATTAAACATTTTAATAAAGACTATAAAACTGATTGGATAGCACAACAAAACGGACATGAATTCTTGAGATTACCCCCGTATCATTGGATATTTGTATATTGTATATTTGTATATATGGTATTTTGTATATTGAAATGATTTGGTCTGAGTTGAAAGAGCATATAAGAAGAAATAATACTGCACCAAAATTTAGTAATAGTACCATACACGTAATGCGACAAGAGCTAGCTAAAATATCAGTACAAAGCTAATCTAACTGGAAAAGAGAGTAATAAAAGAAGAAAATATTTATGGACAGCGATTAGTGCCGGAGTTGATCATTGAACTAGGTGACGACAGTAGCGATGGTGACGATTTTTTAAGTGGCTGATACTTTATTATTTTTATATTTAATATTTTCTATATTAATTGTGATAATATGTAGAAATGTAATGATTGTTACATTGTTAAATTGTTACTTTGTACTAATATTTTTATGTACATGTTTCGAGAATTACTCGGCGAAAAAGATGGAAAACATACTTGGATCCCGCTTGTTAGTGTAGGCAGAAAAATTCCAGGGTGGTCCGGAATGGTTACGGGTAAGGGGCTTCGGTTTTGGGGTAATAAACAGTAGGCAAAGTTAATCACAAGATCGGTTGTAATACCACTATATTCCTGGTCGACGTATACCTGAGCCAACAATATATTTATTATAAACTGTATGAAATAATATAGGTTTTAGAGAGAGAGAGAGAGAGAGAGAGAGAGAGAGAGAGAGAGAGAGAGAGAAGGAATTTCGGGCGGGAAGCGATGACGTCACTAATAGCTATAGCGACTAATATTTACCAAAAATGTCCTGTTGTATTCGTCTTCCAAATGCTTATCATTGACTTTACCTTTTACGCAAACATCATTAACAACTTTTAATTCATTAAAACGCAACTCCTGTTTAATAGTCTGATCTGTCTTTAACGGCACTATTGCACTCATATTGATGTCATTGATATAATCGGTTTTCAAAAACTGATTAATCACCACCTCATTAAAGGTGTACCTTCCTAAAAACAAAAACGAACAACGGTCAGTACGAAATTCAGGTAAGGGAAAAATATTAACAATAAAAAATATTTTACAAAATAAGTACCTTTCAAAATTCCCCTGTCTAAGAAAATCGCACTGTTGAGATGATCTTCAAAATTTTCACCCATCAACAAGTTGGTTTCTAAGTTTCCTCTGACCTTGAGGAAATTATATATCTCTACCGATTCAGCGAATTGTACCGGTCCCTCTATTGAATCGTCTTGGTTTATCCAGATGATCCTCTCCTCTAAATCTGATAGGTTTACCCCGTTTATATGGTTGGTTACGGATAAGTTTCCCAATATATCCACCTAATACAGAAATTTTTTGCAATTGATTTAATTAAAGCAGTAGATGTACATGTGCATAAAAATAGGATAAATTTCTATATTGTAGTGAAATCAATGCGAAAGAAGACCTTGTGGATTAGATAGCTATATGTCTCATGAAGGAAATAAATAATCCCGACGTCATATTTGTCATCTCTGGCATTGGCTATAATTCGATGCTACAACCCTTTTCTGCTATAGAAAAAACTATAAAAATACATAGTAGGCTTTGTCAGTTTTAAAAACTTATGAAAGAAGGTGATGTATAAAGTATAATTATACACAATACTTTGTTTTTGAGGGAATTGCAGTTGAAATCATTTCCGGACTCCCTGTGTGACAAGCGCAGAAGAGTATGGGACTGCCTGGTGAGTTGTGCAATCCAGGTTTATCCTCTAAAACACCTCCAATCCACAGCATCGGCTGCTGAGGTCCTTAGCTGTCAATCTCTATTGGATGCACACACGTATGTCCCTCGCTTAGTCATGATATTTTCTATATATTGTTAAAAATGTTAATGCCTTTTAAATACGCCAGTGTGTTGAATCTGTTCCTTTTTCAATTTGTCTTCGGTTTCATTTTATGTTGTTGCCTTTGCAAACCATACATTGGACATTCACTGATTTCCATTTCTTTATATATATCACACTTAGGACACTCGAAAAGCTCGTACTCCTTCCAGTCTGCAAGCAATGTGTTTCATGGTACCAAGTTGTTTGCAATTGTGATCTCATCGATGCTAAAAGACGTGTGATACTTCTTCTACCGGAGTAAGCATTTATATGGGAAGGAATGAGGGATAGAAAGTTCAGCATCATTTTCCCGGAACGTTGGTAAATTTATATAGACGCTTTTAGATTCTCATGGTTCGAATCTTTATATTCGCTAGGAAGCGAGTTATAATAGTAAATACCAACCTCATAAGCATATTTTTTAACAAATAATTTATTACATTTAGGAGTTGGAGTTGACTTATTTTACGTGTATTGTGACGTGTATGGACTTCACCTTTTTTAAAATTTGAATTGTGACCGTGGATGTAGATAAGGAGCTTGTAAAGATATAGAACATTGACCTAAAAGTTTCTTTGCATGATTGTACTGGTGATAGGTTAAAAATTAATCTAATTATGATTTTTTAAATAAGAAATATTCAATCGTCAATTCAAGCGATTCAATTTGCATTTGCATAATATAGGTTCAAAAGACCACCAAAAGAAACTTTATCTTTTTGGGTTTTCGTTGCAAAGCAGGTTTCCTTTAATTTCAAACACATATAATCAATGACAGTTTCCCGTCCAAAAAGGTACCAATTCACAGATATTTCGATTGTTATTCCGTTAAAAGTTAAATTAGAGTTTTGAAGTGGCTGGTATTGCCCAGTAATTTCTACTACTGATGTTTTTTCAAGGTTGACAATGAGTTGATTTTTTGACATTAATTCATAAATGTGACTATTATATCACAGGTGTCATCGCAGTATAAAAAGTTTACAGTCTTTTAGTATCTTTCTAAGTCATTTGCATATCAAATAAAGATGAGAGGACTAAGAATTCCTGCTTGAAGAGTACCTAACTCTCCACTAAATGTAATGGATAACTCAATGCCCACCATTACTTTAAATTCAACATAGTTAGTGTATAAAGAAACCCATTGTTGCTAATGCTGACACGCATTTAGATTTAGGGTGTGAAAAGCTCTTAATAAATCGAAAAACATTCTCACCATAATCTCAGACTCATCTAGCTTGCTACAGATAAATTGTGCAAGCTACTGTGGATAAATCCCGGGCGAGGACCATGTTGGCAGTTAGTAAGTAGATTTTCATAATATAGGAATTGTTAAAGACAATTGTGAAAAGCTCTTTCGAAAATCTTTGAATTATCTGTTGGACAAGGGCTCCTTTTTTAATTTTTGATTTTTTAAAGATTTCTTCGCAAAAATTCCTAATTAGAAAAATTTATTTATTAAGATCATGAGATGTGGTAAAAGAATATCCGCTCTTTATTATTATATGGTGATTTTCAGATAATGTAGAGTTTATGTTGTTTGGAAACAATCTGCTAACTTGATTTAAGACACTAAAATCTTCCAAATAGTTCAGAGGTTTTGTTTTCCACGATCAGAGAAATTTTTGTTAAGGTTTTATATTTTTATATTTTCTGTAAATTTTTCTTGAAAGCTCTTGGAGTTTCTTTAATAGTCGTGTAAGTTCATCAGAAAAATTATTTTTTTAGGTTTAGACAGTAGGTTGTAGCCTTGAAAATATTGTCAATTGCCGGCTATAAGGGAACAACAAAGAACAGATATACTAATCAAAACATTTCCCAATACACTATAAAACTCTACAAAAACCATTATTAGAAGGGTGTATAATATGTACAATAAAGACCGATCTATAACCAAAATGTAAAGGATGAGCTACCTGATGAATTTTATTTCCACCAAGGGAATAAAATAATTTTTTCTGACTTTACCGAACACTATAATGCTGGAAAAAAACTTATACAACCTTTGCTTACCTGGTTTTCAAAAACTATGTTTCCATCTAATGAAAAATCGCCATCTAGATAAACGAAGCTGTTTCTAAGTTCTTCAAAATTGTGACCATTCACAGAACCATTGACATTTAGATTTCCAATATATGGCAGCCTATTGAACATGACCTCGCCTAAAAATTAAATCCGAAAATTTAAAACAACAAACCAAAGAAAAAAAATTCGAGCAACCTGGAATGGTGACCATGGCCCCCTGTAGATCGAAATTCGTTAAGAAATCATTTATATGGACACCGTTCAGCGCGCCACGAAGCTCCAAATCCCCTTCAACTATAACGTCACCATAGATTACGAGCTCGCCAGCAATTGATTGCCGACCCTCTTTCCGAAGTATGTGTTTAACGCCCACAGAATTTATTTTATTGGTTTCCAACAATTTGTGTACCCTGACTTGGTCTGTGAATCTCACTCTATCTTCAAGTTCTAAAACTTCGTCATCTTTGAAGACGACGCCTTTGATGTATTCCTTAAAATTTACTCCTCCAATATTTTCTATTTCTAAGGACTGGAAGTGAACATTGCCCTAGAAAAATAAATAAATAAAGTTTTTGACAAAAGAAGGGTTAGCACCTAAAATTATTAAAGAAAGGCTAGATGGTATGTACGGCCAAAGTTCTCCTTCGTATTCTGTAGTGAAAGAATGAGCAAAACTTTTTCGAATGGCGCAAGAGTCCCTTGAAGATGATTCAAGAACTGGTCGACCAGTGTAGGTCATAACGGAAGATATTATTGCGATTGTGGAAGTGGTGGTATTGAGTGATCGACGTTTAAAGGTCAGCTAAGCTTTCTGATACAAGTGTTCGTCGAATCCTGCATGATCACTTAGGTATGCATAAGGTTAGTGCAAGATGGGTTCCTAAAAACCTTTCGGCTATTCAAAAAAAAAAAAAAATTCCACCAATAGTTCATCTGACCTGCTGTTACATAATGATTTGGCTCTAGGTGACTATTAGACAAAGGAAAAACAAAAGAATAATAGAGGCGTGAGAACTAAATTTTGTCTACATCGTCAGGAAAATGTCACTTTGACCTTTAAAATTTTCATGGACCGTAAAATTGTAAATATACCCACTAGTTGTACAACCACAACCGGTGGTGTAAACGTCACCCTATAAAGAACTGAAGACCAATGACTCAAAATGTTTCAGCAGGCTACAACGCATCTTCAAAAATTCAGCAAAAGTGTCATGTGATTCTGTGTCGCACGTGGTTGTGAAAACGGAGTGTGTATTAGTTTAATTTATTATTAAATCGAATCTAATGTTTTCAACCCACAGATCGGAGGATAGTATAAGAGGTCAGTTCATGTACAAATAATATTCCAGAGTTGGTTAATTATGTGTATTAGCTAGCTACATTATTAGATTTGCAATTGGAACTGCTAATTTGGTACTAAGCGACAGTTCCGTTTATTTCATATAATGCAAAAGAAACTTCTATTGGGGGAACGCTAATCTCAGTCACATTTGTTTCTGACCGAACCCTCTTACTCAAATTTAGTTAAACCTCTATACTACGCTATACTTATGCATTCGAATATCATATTACTAAAGATTTAATCCTTTTTCAATGTTTGGTAGATACATAAATTATGTTATATTTTGCAATCACACTTTTTGCTACTGGTCACAAAACGATATTACAAGGTTAGCTCCAAAATTTCCCGGCCTGACATAGATGCAGCTCCAGTATCACGATAAAACTTTGTCTTCTTTTAAATATATAAATATAAATATATATCTTAGTAGGCTGCGGAAAAAAAATGAAGTCTTGCGTCAAATAGTTTTTTATTCACAGCATTTTAAACAAGATGTGTCCGAAAAAATCTGGCAAATAACGCAAATTCAGAACAGAGCAGTCATAAAGTTTTTGAAAAAAGAAGGGTTAAAATTATTAAAGAAGGGAGGGTGTGTACGGCAAAAATTCTCCTTCGTATTCTGTAGTGAAAGAATGGGCAAAACGTTTTCGAATGGGGCCGAAGTCCCTTGAAGATGATTCAAGAGCTGGTCGACCAGTGGAAATCATAACGGAAGATATTGTTGCGATTGTGGAAGAGGTGGTGATCGACGTTTAAAGGTCAAGGAAATCTCAGAAATTACTTAGCTTTCTGATACAAGTGTTCGTCGAATCCTGCATGATCATTTAAGTATGCATAAAGTTAGTGCAAGATGGGTTCCTAAAAACCTTTCGGCTATTCAAAAACAGCGCCGTGTCGAGTGTGCGCGGTCTTCTTTCGAACTCTGTTGGTCGGAACCGAAGCCTGTGATAGAAACTATCGTGACGGGAGATGAAACTATGGTTCTCTATTATGACCTCCATCGAAAAAAGAATTAATAGAGTGACGTCGTAAGGGTGAAGCACGTCCAAGAAAATTCAGAGTCTGCCAGTCAACAAAAAAGATGATGGCCACGTTCTTTTGGGATTGTGAAGGAACACTTTTTATAAATTTTAAAGAAACTAATTCCACTGTCAATGGTAAATATTATGCAACATTATTACATAAATTGCGAGACTGCATATGTGTAAAACGTCGAGGAAAACTGACCAGAGGCGTGCGCCTTTTGCACGATAATGCATCTGTCCATACTGCTGGTGCTGCACAAGCTGCCATTTTAGAGTGTGAGTTCCAACAAATAGATCATCCTCCCTATAGTCCAGATATGGCCCCAGCGACTATTATTTGTTTCGATATTTGAAAAAGGACTTACGTGGACGGCGATTTAACGACGAAGTTGAGTTAAAAGAGGCTGTTTTAGCTCATTTTCCAGACAAACCAAAAGAATATTTTTTTAAAGGGATTGAGTTGTTAATAAAGAGATGTAATAAGTGTACTGATGTTAAGGGGGATTATATTGAAAAATAATAAAAAATTGTTACTCTACTTTGTTTCTTTCATATTCAGACCGGGAAATTTTGGCGCAATCCTAGTATATCAGAAAGTGCGTTAAAGTGGAATGATAAAAAGAAGGTTACTAGAACAATATTAAAGATATACCTCCGTGTAACCTTTAGTAAAAAGAAAGCAAGCCAGGGTGATAAAATTGAAGATTATATAAATCTAGGAAACTATGATCAGTCATAACTCACCTGCAAATTTAAATCCGTATCGTTGGAATGTAGATTTTTCCAAAAGCTATATAAACGTTGTTCAAAATCTTCATTATTTATGTTATGAATAATCAAAGGCCCACTTACACTAACATCTGAAAGCGAAAAATTAATTGAAAAGTGGAGGTCACAAATTCCGCACCGTTTTTACTTTGAAAATTCATATTTCCGAGTTCGATAGCTCGAATCAACTCGTCTTCAATATGTACACACCCAAATAGTTCATCGAATTTCATTCCATTGATATTTTCTACCTTTAAGTTGCTAATGGAAGACTTTTTGATAACGTAGGTTGAATTTACCGTTTGATCTTTCGTCAAACTTAATCCGTTCTCCAATATTGGTTCTATATTTAAGCCCATTTCACCAGTAAAGTTCCCTTCGACGACGAGATTGTCCACTTCGATATATTTGATATTTTCTTCGAGTCCTTCGTCTGGCAACTCGTACAGATATTCCTCGGGAGCCAAGTCGTTCAACTTCTCGGTTATTTCTAATTCCTCCACGAATAAATTTTCGGAAAAAATTAATTGAGAAGATACATTCGCATCTACGTTTACTTTCACAATACTGTGATTTAACGTGACTATGTTTTTACCGTCGAAAAAACCATTCACTGTCAGATTTTCGAAATTCACGTCTCCGAAAATTTCATTAACGTACAAGTCCTGGTCTGTGTTTTTTGTAATAATGTCCATTAGTAGGGCGTCGTTAATAGCATCGGACTTTATATTCAAGTTTTTCAGAACCGTGAAACCTTCCGAAAATATTTTGGCGGCTGCAATGGATATCTCTTCGTTTTGCTAAAACACATATTGGTTGTACTTAACTGTTTTATTTCTGGAGTTAGGAGAATAGCAATAATTCTACGAAACCAAAACCAACTGGAACTAACCAGCAAAGCCTTAAAGCGTTTTAAAACTAGTAATAGTCGTATAGAACTTTACTAATGATGAATTGTGGCCGAAATACAAGATTTTCAAAATGTTTACTTCTGAGATATGTGAAGTCCTATTATGGTTGCGTTTTAAACTCACTTTTATGCTAACACAGGCTTTTCCAAAAGTGTTAAGAGTATCAAAGTTGTATTTTTTAAATGGAAAGCGCTTTATATTATAGCATTTTTGGATTCTATAATAAGCACGTGTTTTTTAAATAATTTAAGGCAACCAAAAATTTTTAATTACTTAAAAGTAAAGTAAGTGAGAGCTCTAGCTATCTCTTCGAGCATAGAAATCTATAGGCAACCCAACAATCATCCTTTAGCTCCGCCCCCCTCAGATGATATATATTAAGCTCTGACAAAGTCAACGAGATGATTATTGAAACGTCAGCAATCCACAAAATTTGTAAATAGTGGATAAGTAATAACTTTTCAAAATTGATGAAATTTTTAAAAATCTAATACATTACACATTGTTATTTTCCATGTTATTGTTTATAACACCTAATTAATTATTGTACCCCCGTTGGTCTTTAAAGAAAGACACAAGTTGTAACTTTTACTCTTATTCTTATTAATAGAATTTGTACCAATGCCAAGTCATGATAAATTGTCAGAAAAAATTATAAATGCATTCGTAACATTAACATAAAATTAACTAATGGACAGGTTAAACCATTTGAGTCATTTTTTCAAAGAAACTTCCACAGGCTACTGTAATATTTTTCATATAACTTCTGGATTCCTCCTGCGTCGGTTTATGTTGACTCGAACTTCCTAACGTTTCGCCAATCATCCTGTTGGCTTCTTCAGAGCTTGACTGAAACTGACTCGCATTTTACCCTGTACCTGCTTATATATTGTTTGAGTGGGCGGAGCTAAATAGGGGCATAAACACCGGCTCGGATGACTGATTCTCATATTGGTGACAGAGTGAGTCGCGGTTAAGGTTATTAGGTTGCTTATACATTTCTATAGACTCGAATTTTTCGTTGGTGGAAAAATTGATTATATGCAAGAATTTTAGTTTTATCGCATAAAATTGTATGTCCAGTTTCGTGATTGTGTTCGGTAATTGCTGCTACCAAACTTTCGAAAACGGAAAAATCAGTTCTTATAAAAGGTTCGAACTTCGTTCTTGCCCCACGTATTATCCCAAAAGAGGAAATCATTTCAAATGTCGAGTCTATCCTATATGACAAACTGTCATATCAAACAGCTAACGAAATTCCATTTGAAACCGCAAAAATCCTTAAAAAAACAAATCTTTCTAAATCTAATGATGCAAAGCCTGAACGCATTGCCCTTAAATCTCTAAAATCTAATCCCCACCTCGTAATCTTAAAAGCAAAGACAGGAAATTCTACGGTGGTCATGAACACAAATGAATATCTGGAAGAGATTGAAGATATTCTTACAGATGGATCATATCGTCAACTTATCGTCATCAATGGAGCGCAACCTTAAATCTGTCATTAAGGCTTCTTCTCTATCAGACTCCGTTAAAAAATCTGCTACCCCTACATGACTCTAAAATTCCTCGTTTCTAGGGACCGTGATTACCCCTCCGACCAATTGTCAGCACCAATAGTTCTCCAACATATTCTCTAGCAAAATATCTAGCTTCTATATGACTTCTTATGACTGACAGGGAAAACTGATAGTACTTAATCCCTTTCACTTCACTGAATAATTAAAAAGCATTACATTAGATATCTGGAAGCAAATCTTCTCACCTTTATTATTATTATTATTTGAACAAACATCGGGAACAGCTATCACAAGTCATCGCGAATATATTTATGGAAGCATTTGAGAAAAAAGCTCTCGACACCTTCCATCTAAAACCAAAATTATGGAAACGGCCTCAAGGTCAAGAATCCCTAGTAGATTTTTTTAAACATTTAAGCTCTATACACCCTAACATAAGTTTTACCATTGAATTAGAAACTAATAACATCCTTCCATTCTTAGATATTATTATCAATAGAAAATCGGACATAACATTGAGTCATTGTGTTTACAGAAAACCTATGCACACAGACCGATACCTTAATGGATTGTCACATCAGCATCCCACCCAAAAATCATCGGTTATGAACTCTCTTGTTTACAGAGCCGTAAAACTATATCAGCCCGAGCCACTGAACCTAGAATTAAAACACCTTATCTCTGCTCTTCTTTCTAATAATTTCCACATTCCACCATAACCTTCCAATAGCAATGAAGCCGAAAGCAATCCCACACTTACCACTGTTGTCCTTCCTTACATTGAAAACACCACTGATCACATATCAAAAGTTCTAAAGAAATATAACGTCAAAACCAGATTTACCTTGCCCAAAAATCTCTCAACATTTTCGATCCGTCAAAGACAAAATTCCATTTGAGATGTCAGAAGTTTACAGCATTCCATGCATATGCAGCAAAGAATACATTAGAGAGAACGGACGACAAATATCAACTAGGCTCAAAAAACATGAAAGAGCCTTAATAAACTTATCAGCAGTTGCCGAACACAATCACGAAGCCTGACAAAATTTAATTCGATAAAACTAAAATTCTTGCATGTAATTTATTCTTCTACCAACGAAAAATCCGAGAGTTTATAGAAATCTATAAGCAACCATCCGAGACGGTGTTTATGCCCCTCATTTAGCTCCGCCCCCCTCAAACAATATATAAGCAGCAGGTACAGAGTAAAATGCGAGCCAGTCTCAGTGAAACTCTGAAGAAGCCTACAGGATGATTGGCGAAACGTTAGGAAGCTGGAGTCAGCAAAAACCGGCGCCGGAGAAATCCAGAAGTTTTATGATAGTGAATTAAAAAGTACACCCTCTTTAAGATGAGAAGCCTTTTATAATTCAGATATTAAATATGGTATAGTTCACACTTACCTATCGATTTCGTTTACGTACCTTAAATAATTCTTATGTATTGGAAAAAGGTTACATTTTGAGAAAATTCAAATTATTTAAAAAACCTTAAAGTGTAGTGTATAGTGAATTCCAATAATATTAATAATGCTTTAAAAGAAAAAAGTGGAGATATTCTGACTGCCCACCAAGAAATGTGAAAACCGATCTGAGATAACAATTCAGTATATAAGAGATCTACATAATTTAAATAAAAATTGAACTAACGCATAGTTCTTACGAATAACCAAACTTGTTCCAAAAACTAACAGAAAAACAATTGTCATTAATCAATGGCAATCTGTTGAGTTAACACCAACAGTCAACGATTTGGAGATCCTTCTGAAGAAAGTGTCAGACATCTTGATTACGGACAATTCTAAATATTTCATATCACCTGCAAATTGTAATCATTTACTTGACATACAAGTAATGTAAACGTCATTTAAAATAAATACTTATTTAATTTTGTATTTAACATATTTGGGATAACCCCTATGTTCTATAGCTAATTTTAAAACGTTATCACTTTTTGAAATCCTTGTATTTTGGCGACAATATTTCGTGCCGTATACCACCACTGACTCTGTATATTAAAGTTAGCTAAACTAGTAATCGAAAATTGTTCTTTTTTAGTTTCTTTGTCATTTTATTGCTACAGCGTCTGGAAATTTGACTAAATAATATAAGAAAAATATTTCCCAGCGGTTTGAGGAGAGCCAGATGAGTGTAATTGATTAGCTCCAACTTCTTATGTTTTGGTTAGTTTTGGTTGATTGATAAAATTCGTAGATGGATCTGGTCACATATTTACAAGGTGATTAAATTGATATTTAATGAAACTCACCTGATATAATAAATCTTCAAGCGCATTAGCCAAATCAACACCGTTAAGTCCGTTTCCGATAACTATTTTTCCTTCAACCTCGAGGTCATAAAACTCAACATTGGATTTGATTCTGTGAGTGTCGGTTAAACCACGATTTGTCAAAAAATTTGCTACCTCTTCTCCTTTAACTTCTCCTTTTACCTTAAATCAACAAACCGCAGTCAAGCCTCACGAAGATATTATTTAGCATTACAGAGGTCATTTCTGCTCACCTCAAGATTAGACCCAACTTCCAATTCATTGAAAGTTATATTTCCGGTGATATTTTGGTTGGTGGAAAGTATTATGCACTGATCTGGATCGATTTCGATTCCATCTATCGTGCTTCGCGTTTGAACTTTGTAACCCCTGACGCCGTGGAGAAATATTTTTTTTCCTAACGCATATAAACAAGTAAATTTTACAATTTACACAGATAAGTTTTTGTTAGTTAGAGGCATTAGATACTAAAGTGGCCCTACTACGATAAAAAAGTATGCCTCGGGAAGCTATAATACGTTAGTAGAGATGTGCATGCCTCTAAAATAAATTTAGAGCTATTGTCTTTCCACACAGCGATATTCATACACTTAACATCTTTTTGCTGAAAATTTAATGGGATCTAACGGACCATTCTCAAAATTTTAGACGGGGCTATACTAGAGATATAGAGAAGTTTAAAATTTCCGCGTTCGCCATTTTGGTATTTGCAATATTGCGAAGCAGCGATTCTGAAAGAAGTTCCTTGAAATCTTCGACACATTTAAATGTTTAAGAAGACCATTGATTTACTTTTAATGCATATTTTATAAAACGAAGCACATAAAGACCCAGTTGTCAAGTGCATTGAAAAAGTACCAAGAATATGAAGGAGACCAAAAAGGTATTTACTATAGTTTCTGGATTAAAAATTTAAGTATTTTATAAATTTTTATGCTGATGAAATTTTAAGCAACAGTAAATAATGATAATTTTATGGTAAAATTTGAAATATTTTAGCTCAATTGCCAAGTCCGTTGTTAGTTCAACAGTGTCATGGTGCCCCATAAAATTAAAGTAATAGGTACGACGCTCTTCTAATACCCGAATGATGATTAAAGATATTTTCAGAATTGTTGACTATCTAAATTTGTTTTTCCCGGCTTATCCGATCTCCCTAGATAATTGCTTTTACTTCAGAATCCTAACCATTTTGGTACAAAAACATAGAGTATTATATTTAAAAACCCCCTTTGACAGATTCTCTGAAAAAATGATTTTCTGCCATCTTTCAATCAATGGGTAAAATAAAATTTGAAAATTAAACATAAGGCGAACCACAGCAGTAACAAAAATGTTTTCAATATAAAAAGAATAATCAGAAAGGCACTATTATGTAAGATGTACCATTAAAAATAGTACAATTTCTACGTATTATAAGAAACGGCAAATATTTTACGTCGTCGTAAACGACAAAACTTTCAGGACTATCTACACCTCTAAATCAGATTCCTTCGAAGATTTCAAGCAACTCCTTTTAAAGTTTTAACTCGATTTGAAACATTTTTAAAAAGACAAATTTCATGATTTTAGTTTTGTAAGTTTTAAGTAAGTATATTTAAGGATTTGTTACCCGATACGTTTATTACATCTTCTGAGGAGCGTGTGGACACGTAGTCTTCAGGAAACTTGACTCTGTTGAGATATTCCACGATTGCGTTGCCAGTTATATTGACATTCTACGAAAATGGCCACGACAGCGTAAATTAAGATACAGTTAAGAATTAAATATTAAAAACCTCAGCTTACCCCAAGAACTTTAAGCTCGGGTAAGTAACACTTTAAACTTGTAATGCACAGTTTCTGAAGGAATTCTTCAAAAGAGCGATCATTAATATTAACAACTGTCACATTTCCAGGTATAAATACGCTATCTCTGTCGCTTATATTTAATATCTTCCTCGAATTCTCAAAATCCAATATTTCAATATTTTTAAAGTGTGCTTGTTTATCATTTATCTGGTCCGCTGAAAATGATTCAACTTCTACCTCTTCCAGCTCCACCGTATCTAAAACAGTAAATTTTATTTAGTTCAAACAAATTAATTAAGAGTCACCGTTCAGAAGTTTCGAAACATCTATCCACTCTCTATCCATCCTTATATCGTTAACCGTTCCTGAAGAAACCTCCAACGTGCTGGCGATAACTAAACCATTAAATGTTACATTTCCTTCGATTACAAGATCTTCATTATCCTTAACCAATAATTGTTGGCTGGAAATTCCATTAATATTTTGAAACTCAACATCATGGGTTGACAACGATACAAAACTTTTTGGTACACTAATATGATGGATATTGTGTTTCCTGTAACATAATGGCTATTAATTTTTGCGTCAGCATTTTCAGAAAAAAAAGAAGGATAACTGAATTTATTACAAAAACTCGCTTTTACTTATTCTTCTACTTAAAAATATTATGATAGCAGATTTGAATGCTTTTTTTGCTGATGATTATGATCTTTTGTTTCTGTGAATATCAAAATTACTGTATATTTAGCACTCAAAATATAAATTACCGCACAAGGTCTGCAAGTAACCAGTCTGCTTCCTCTTCTCCAATGTTTTCTGCATATAACTTTTCGGTAATAACTTTCTCTTTTATTTCAACGTAATTGTTAAAAATGAGATTTGTATTTGTTATATTTTCAAAACGCGCTGCAGTTGAACCAAATTCCAATTTCACTTTTTCTAGTTCTCGAGTCAATTGTTTAATTTCGTCAGCAAGATGAGAGAATTCCAACCGAACAGGAACTCTTTGCTTTACCATTAAATCTGCTGGTCTAAGTTGAATAGACGCAGTCGCTTCTGCAGCAAATTTTGGTACGCCAGACAGTTTGAGGTCGGATAATTCTTTCTTTTGAGCGTCCATGACGTCCTTCAAAAAAAAACAATCCTCCATAGTAAAAATGTTTATAATAACTACGATTTTCAACTGCGTTGTACAACATTATGGCGTTACATAGAGAAGTAATAATGAATTTTTATGGCATGTGAAAAAGTAGATATACAGGGTAATTTTTGAAAGAAACTTCCACAGACTACTGTAATACTATTTACAAATCTTCTGGATTCCCCCTACGTCAGTATTTAGTGTACGTCATAAGACTCATAGAACCGCCAGAAACGGACTTGCCATTGTTTTTCTTTCAATAACGTACTCAATCTAGGTCCATTAATGAGATAAATTAATTTACTTTCTTATTTTTTATATGTCTAGTAGTCATAATGAGTAGCCTTTTAAGGAAAAAAATCTATTACTATTAATGAAATCCGTTTTCAGTTTCATAAAATGACACCTGTCAACATTTTGACCCCCAACGAGTGTGGTGGTAACTCCGTTGCTAACTTCCATAAACATGTGAAATATGTACTGTGGTAAGGTTGGTGAGTATCTGGCCTACACAAAATACTAAAACAAAAATGTAAGTCATTTGTGACCCGTACATCCGTTGAAGGGAGTTTATGTTTTTTTTTTGCATAAACAAAAATAAATAAGTACAAACATTTTTTTTTACAAAATAAAACATTCCAAACACTTTTAGATTTACTGTTTACACTTAAAATAGCAACATTTTGATTTAACTAAATTCGTTATCATTGCAATTTTATTATTCAATGGCAAAAAAAAACAAAATAAAATATATAATTTAAATAAAGCTAACGAAAACTTTATATTTAAAATAACACTATGATATTTATATGATAGCTACAATATTTTACCATAGCTGCTTGACATACCTACTGGAAATATTTGCCTTTGCAAAAAACTAGATTAGATTAGGGAAACATACGTTTTGACTCTTTATGGTAAATAATAAATTAAAATACGTTTGTAAACTTAATATTTCCATACTTTTTACTCGGCTGATAATAATAAGATGTTCTCAAATATGAATGAAAAGAAATAATGCCGAATGAACATCAACCCTGAGCCATATCTCTAAAGTTATATTATCACTAAGTATTATTGGTAACTGCAGGTTATTAATTGGCTGTAATGTAATAGAAACAGATAAAAGAAAATAAGTTATTTATTTTGTTTTGTAGTTTATTCCTACCTGTAATCTGGATTGTAACTCCAAAAATTTCTCCATTTCATTCTTCCATGCATGTGGTAAGGATTTGATGGACGCCCTTACTACAAAAAGCAAGGATACACCTTCATTACATCTGGGAAGGATCACTCCAACCATGTTTCCAACAGCTATAAAGGCAGCACCAATTATACCACGTTTGGACTCGTATTCTGTCAGGCATTTGAGGCCGGTTTGTAACTCGCCGAAAAACACACACGGAACGTCCTCATGTTCATCAAATTTGTTACCATTATAGGAAATAATATCTACATCGAACGAATGATGTGTGCCGTGGTCTAATCGTCGTTGAGTCAACAAAATCGTTTCATCTCTATAGGTTTTCACCGGTATGGGCAGCCAATATTCAATTCGTTCGAGGTTGGAGTTAATAAGTTTTTCCTCGACCAAACCATGTTTAGTAAATTGATAAATGCCTGCGTTCAAGCCATTGAAGGCTATGAACGACTTAAATCCGATTTCGAACGAAACGACTTGGTCTACGAACGGGCTTATTACGTTCCAGCTCCAGGTAAAATGGTTTTCAATGAATTCATAAATTTGGAGAACACTGACGGATTTTTGAGGTACGGCCAAATAAAAACTGTCTTCGAATTGAACCAGTGCGGATGAATTCGAAAAGTCCGTGAGTTCAATTTCTTGATGAAACCTATCAATATAATAAATTAAATAGGCGAAAAAAGAGATAAAATAATTAAAATCAAACGCAAAAAAATTACAAAAAAATTAAACGTGGTTATTAAAATAATGTTTTTTAATTGTTACTGGGACGGTTTAATGAAATTTAGACCACTTCCGTTTAAGTCAGAAAACTTAGTGCTCACAAAATTTACGTTCAAAATAATTTTCAAATTTTTGGCTTTATGGTTGTTTCAAATTATTTATTAACTCGGCCAGCATTACTTGCTAACACTTCAATTAAGTCTAAAACCAATATTTTTTGACTTTACGCAAATGGGTTGAAGCATTGTTTGAGAAACATCATTTTCGACAAAAGAATTAAAATATCCTCCTAAAAAAAAGTTGGAGGCGACAAAATTCGAGGTCTAAATTTTAAATAAAGTCTCTCTATTTATTTAAAGAAACAATTTTTGAGGCCCACAAGTTAATCAAAAAAGTTATGTTCTTTTTTAATATTTATTAATAATAATAATTTCATAACATTTCCGTATATCCATACTTTCTATAAATAACCGTTTTCTTTTACAAAATGAATATATATATATATATATATATATATATATATATATATATATATATATATATATATATATATATATATATATATATATATATATACATATATATATATATATATATATATATATATATATATATATATATATATATATATATATATATATATATATATATATATATATATATATATATATATATCCATATATGGATAACATCAGTATGTTAGCCACACTGATCTATTTAACCCAACGGATTGAGAAACAATAAATGTTTTTTTTATGGCGACAGCGATAGCACAATACCAGAAAAAAAAATTACTTCTTCTCACACTTATTAATGTATCCTATTTTGCTTACGTTTGTTAAAGATATTCTGTGCTTTTTTTTATTAAACTTTACTTTTCGAAAAAATATCTGAAAGCATGAAATTTAAATCCACCTGGAGTCAGGGCTTTGAAGTTATTAGGAAGACTATTATACAATTTAGCTATATTAAAGGAAAAACCACGCTCAAATAGTGTACTAGAATTAGCGGAATGTTTTTTGAAACACCCAGTATGAAGCTGATAGTTAATTGTAGGAGTTTGAAGTATCTTTACGATATGTTTAAATTGACATCATTGTGAGAAGTAGGGAAACTAGTGTTTTAAAATAGCGTTAGTTAAAGTGTTTCTCGTCCCTCATTTTCTATTTGTTAATTGTTTTTTATAGTATTTACTCTTTTCTCTACCTCTTAAAATTTGATAAAACCATTTCTAAAAAACTTTTAATGATACTAATAACGATGAGATGAAAATTATGAATTAATTAACCATAAGTCCTAATTTTTAAATAATTCATAACAATACAGAGATACAATTTTTGAACCTACGTTTTATTGACCAAATAAACAAATCAAATCGAAATATATGAAAATATAATATGAAACCAAATAGCTGTGGATCGAATTCATTTCTTTAATTAGAATAGAAATATGCTAATTATAAAAGCAGGAAATAAAAAAACAACTTTCTTACCAATATTGTGTGAAACTCCAATCAAATTGATAGATTATGGCCGAACTTCTATTATCTTTACCAACTAACATCATAAGAAAATCTTTGCCTCCTATTTTGAACACGTTTAGATGAATTACATTTACTTCCAAATCCCAAGACCAAAGTTTCTCCTAAAAACCGATATAAGAGATTCAAGCTCCTTTGCTCACCTACTAATTACAAAAAGGTTCAAAATCATTTTTTCGTTCTCAAAGTAGGCAATTGTCAATTTTAGTACTATAAAATGAAGAACAACTATACACTTTCGTTTTTAAGTAAGCAGGTTCGATCTGAAAAGAAATTAAACAGCAAAACAAGCAGAAATTAAAACATTTAAGGAACTTAACTTAATGACCTTACAGAAAAAAATCATCAAAGGCACTTAAATATTTTAAATGTCAACATCAGAAGCATTTAAAAACATCATCATGAATTTTAGGTTAATTTTTCACAAATAACCTTTATATTTACGGAAACATTTCAGATTCCAGGCACATCTTAATATACAATATCCGAATACGACTTAATATAAAATTTTGGTGATATAACTAAGGATGGAGGCAGTACAATCTTCATTAAGAAAAATTGTAGTTATAAAAAAGAATTGTTTATGCTTGGAAAATAAAGGTTATTGAAATTTTAGTTAAAAGCTTGTACGTCCGTCCAAGTCGGAAAATGCATTTTTGGAAAACTTTGGTCAACAACTTGTGTGTCGCTGTTTTTATCATTTCATCCCGTTACATAAAACTAAAAGAGAGTTTAAAAAATCTAAATTGCAACACAATATACCAAGAAAATAAAGTAAGCCTTTTTAAAAAATATTACACTAAACACTACTGTAGCTGAAAACTCAACTTAAGTTGAAATAAACACTAGTTATAAAAAGAAAAAACTATGACTGATGTATGGCCTTATACAGTCAACGGGGTTTACCGAATTTTAACAATGCAGTACAAACAATATACAATGATCACTAATAAAGACGACAGATAAAACAAAATATTTCCTGAAAATCCTTTTCCAAAAAAACGATAAATTACTCGTCTCAACAGCTGCTTATTGAGTCGAAATGTTTTACAATAAGGCAATGATTTTTTAAAACAGCGGTTTTACAATGCAAGAAATAAAGACAAGGAAAATTAGATCTCACACAGATTGATAATATTAACATCATTAAGTGTTTTTAAAAAATATCTTTGCACTTTGTGAGCTTCGAAGCAAAACGTACCTTAATAAATATACATTCATAAAGAACAAAACGTAAACGAAATATTAAAAATTATATATAAATGGGAAACAATAACAAAAGCGGAGAGTGTGAAAAATAAAAAGTATAATATTTAAATTTAATCAAGATCAAATTTAAAGTAATGTTGGTTTATTTTAAAAATTTTATATTATTGTTAGACTGTATTTTCTAAAAATGTATGAAGAAATTTCTGTAAATATTTATTAGCAGTAGTCTCTGCAATATCTGGCAGGGCTGTGGATGGTAAAGTTGCTTTAATTCGGAAGATAGAACGGGGAGAAAAGAAAAGTGATGTGGGACGTCTATACGAACTTATACCGTTGACTGTATCGACGATTTGGAAGTGCAAAGAAAAACTAATTCAGGCTGAAGCGGCAGGCAGTTCTAGTAAAAAACTAAGAAATCCAAAATTTCAAGATGTAGTATTGAGCAATGTTGCAGTAGTTCCAACAGCAACATCTTAAAAATGTACCATTCTCTGGACCTATCGTAAAACTAAAAGCAGAAAAGTTTGCTGAACAGCTTGGCATTATCGATTTCGAGGTTTCGGAAGGATGGTTGGGGAAGTTCAAACAGAGACATGGTACAAATTATGGACAGATAAGTGGCGAAACCCATGATGTCGACCGAAACGTCACTAATGATTGCCTGGGGAAAACGTGGCCAAAACTAGCAGAAAAGTATCCTGCTGACGACATATCTAATGCTCACGAAACTGATATTTTTTACAAAACGACGCCAGATAAAACTCTTAAATTTCGAAGCGAAAAGTGTGTAGGTGGAAAACTTTCTAATGAACGTATAACAGTGTTAGTAGCTCCCAATATGAGAGGGAGAGAAAAATGAAAGCTAGTCGTGACTGAAAAATCAACTAACCCACGATGTTTTAAGAACATCAAGCATTTGCCGGCAAACAAGTCTGCATGGATGACATTGCAAATTTTTGAAGAGGAGATGGGATGCAGAATTAATGGGGAGAAAAATATTACTTCTCTTAGATAACTGCCCTGCACGTCTCCATATTCCAAATATCCGGAATATTGAAGTGGCACTTCTTCCAGCCAAAACAACAAGTGTATTACAGCACATCGATCAGAACGTAATAAAAAGTCTTAAGAGGCGATACCGGAAAAACATTTTAAAGACAAAGACAAATTTTCCATTAATATACTAGATGCAGTCAACTTTATTAGTACAGCTTGGAAATAGGTGACAACAGAAACAATTCAACCCTCCTATCGTCGTGCATGACTTATTAAAGCGACAGAATGCGAAGCGGACTTGGAAGATGATCAGTCACTAAGCGAGTGGATAAAGCAGCTTCAAACAACAATTACGTTTACGAGTGAGGAGTTGCAAGATTTTATGGTGATAGATCAGGATTTGCCTACAACAGCAGACTTGACAGAGGGCACCGAGAGGAAGAAGAAGATGAAGAAGTTGATCTGGGACCACCACCAAATATTCAACAAGCATATTCAGTTAAGCTGCTAGATAATTTTTTTATGTATCGTCGAAGAAATGATGAAAATACAAGCCAAAGTACGAGATGCCTATTGGCAAACTAAAAAAATTCAAAAGAAAATGACCGATTATTTGAAACATTAAATATAGTTCTTAAATATTTATATAAAATGTTGCTAAGTAACTGTTAAAATATGTATATAAAATAAATAAATATTACAGAACACATATGCGTATTGTTGTTTTTCAAGTGCCTATAACTATTTATAACGAAAGAAAAAAGCAGTCCCTTCAATTTCGCTATATAGAGTTTCGACTGTATATTATTATTATATTATTAAAATCGTTTTTATCACGAGAGACGTATAACGTACCAATTGGGAATTGTTTAATTTATGCCAGTCCAACCTCATTGTTTCCGACGAATAGGTTATAATTACTACATTTTCCAGTCCATTTTTTCGCTGATAGAACCATTCCACGTTGTTTATATCTTCCTCAAATTCTTGAAACATATATTAATATATTTTAGATTTTTGATTTGACAGCTTCTTACCAAATACTTTTGATGATACATTGAACCCGTCCTTGGTGGAATTTAGGGTAGTGGTCAACACAACCAGTTCCGAACTGTTGAGAATCCCCATCGTGTAACAAATCGCTCCTAACTCTAAGCTGCTCCATTTTTTGACCGCGTAATCAATTTTTAAAGTTTCGTCCGTTGTGACATTGGAAACTGCTATTTCTAAAATCGATGCGAAACACAAAAAGAAAGTCCATCTAGTATGTCGACCAACTTACCTTCCCTGTTAGCATCTTTAAAACTCTCCTCGATTTCATCCCATGCTACTTCGAGACAATTAAAGCACGAACAAATAAATAGTAAAAACACACAACGAATTATTAACTTCATTTCACAGACTGGGACCGCTATTTGACTTGAGGTGATCTGAGGCAACGAATCTTTTTTATTGGTTTTCTTTTGACATTTTGATCAGCAAAAAACTAAAAAAGAATAGTGAACTGAAACTTCTAGCTTGTTACTTTCGAAAATCGATGAAATCGATTTTTTCGAAAGTATCTGCGCTCGTATAAAAATTTTATATCTCGGTAGCGGTAGGTGCTATGGAATCGTCGTTGGTACAGAAATGATCACCGTCGAAAAAAAATTTTTTTTGTCTGTCCGTTCTCCGTTCTCAGTTCTCGACTTTTGGTTTTTCCTGAATAACATTCGAACCGTTAGTGCTACAAAATTGAAATTTGCCTCTTTAACCCTCCCCGAGATACATAAGCTTGTAACGCCGGCATCCATCTTTTTTTTCGCGATTTTCGATTGTTTTTTGAACATTGCACGATAAGTGTCCGAAATTTTAAGCAATCGACTTCATATTTGGCATATAAATGCAATTTTGCCCTGTGACGGACCTAATTGAAAATGGGTGGCGGAGGGTCAGGAAGTATTTAAAAAAAATTAAAAATTGCGTATTCTACATAAAAGACCATTTTTCAAAAACCGTTTACAAGGCCGAATAAATTATTTAACCAGAAGACGCAGAAGATACGGATCCATAAACTTTTATTCTTGATAATTATTCAAAAATATACAGGGTGCGCCAAAAATTCAAAAAAACTGAAAAATGGGCCCCCCCTACTATTGAAAATTGGCAATAATTTCAAGTCCGTGTTTTAGTTGTGAGTTTCTTTTACATGACGATATAGCGCATATAGAGAGCTAAAACTTTTGTATTTAAGGTTTTTAAGTATTGTACAGAGTGTTCGCGATATTCCGTGCAATATTTAAAAACATAATAAGTGCCCCAAATTTGCAGCGACCGACTTCAGACTTGGGAGAGAGTAAAAGCCTGAACCCGCATTTAGAATTTTTAAATTGAGAGCAATAAAATAACGCAAAGCATTTTTTTTAAATTTTTGAATTTTTTTTGGTTATTTTGGCATCCAGAAAAACATCTTTTCCTCCAAAACCATTCATCTGATCGGAAAAATTTTTCAACCGTAATACGTGGGAGCTATACCTTTTTTCCATTATATACAAGGTGTTTTAGTTATTGACAAAAATATAAAATACCTTGAAAAATTGTTCTTTTAGAGAGTAAATTATTAACCGTAACTCAAATTTCGTACAAAAAATAGCTCATCCATTTAAACAGTTTTATAGGCCGTATCAAGGGCTATAATTTTTGTATTTACGCTGTTCGAGATATTTGAAAAAATCCAAATGAAAATCACCATTTCTCGCCCTCAATTTAGACGCGATGACGTCATTTACTATTACCACATATTGCATGGTTTCAGAAACCAAGTAGTTTCTTGAAAACTATTTACTTCATTGAAAAAATTCGGATACCAGAAAACTAAGGAGTTCCAGGACTCTATTTCGAACATTCTTGGAATTATATACGGGGTACATCGTGCGTTCGCAAAAAATTCTTATAGATCCAAGAAATTTCCGCTTTTGTGGGTGAATTATTGGCGATAAATTAAAAAACTTTTAAAGATGTGATAATTTGATATGAACAGTATCGTAAACTGTGTCGAGAGAGAGTTTAAGGTTTCGTCTACAATACAGGGGACGCGAGACATTTGAATAAATATAATTTTAAATTGCAATTACCAGTACAAATTTTAATATTTACCGAAGTTTGCCGTAACTTTGAAGTTCGACGAGATGTGAAGGACACTTTATACAGGGTGTATTCACAATCAAATTACATCGATTTTGCGAATGTTCCATAGTGGTCCGCAGGAGCACGATTCGTGCTATTTGCTGCAAACTTGCCCCGCCCAGTGACGATTTTTCGAAAGCAATCTTATTAATTCGACTTTTATATTATTCAAATATTATTTACTGTATTTTCAGACTGATCTTTGCCCGAAAAGGTATTTCAAAAAAATAGCTGAAAGATCTTCTAATCTTACCTCATACTTACCTCAGTCCAAAAGCTGATTTTGGAAAAAAGTTTCAAAAGTTCAATTCGGTTTTAGTTTATTATAAATATCTGTAATAAACTATATTCGGTGCTTTGAATTAATCTAAAACTTTTTTAGGACACGCCGCAGTTAATGTTTATCCCGAGAGAGTTGCGTTTAACTGGCGTTTCTTTTAATTGCCATTTTTCAATTGGCGAATCGGCAGCTAAAATATAAAATAGTAGTAAGAATAGAGAAGATAAAATGGTGTTATTAAAAGGTCAAATCATGTATTTAAAAAAATACTTGGGGAAAGTTAAAACTTGATTGAACTTTTGATGCATTTTGAACTGAGCTAAAGTGTGAAAAAATGAAACTGAATAATACAATTCCAATCAAGTAAGAAAAAACCATTGTAAGATTTAAATATGTAACAATTTGAAAACTAATATTTATTTTAGTTGCCTAAAAAAACTAAAATGGTTGAATCTGATTATAAAAAACGTTGCTATGGTAGCAGGGATCATTACTCTCAACTAACGAATGAGCAATTTACTCTTTCTGCAAAAAATAACGATTTTGCGACTTAGAAATATGAAGATGATATTCGACCAGAGATTAGGCGTTCAACAAAGAGTAATTATCATTACTTGAATTACTACCATATTATTGAATTGAATATTGAATATTGAATCATTACCATATAAATCTCGCACCAGGAAGAACAGATACGAACAAAGAAAATTTATCTCCCTATCTCCACGAAGGTGCCATTTTCTTACCTGTTTCTGGGTTTATAAATGTCATTTGCTAATGAATGGCAGCTTATACAAACTCCGCTATAGAGCTTAAATTCTTAAGAAAATCTCGGAGGTATTCTTGACCATGAGGTCAAATAACAAAAGTATCATCATCATAGCATTGTGATAGTTCTGGTTTTATTTGGAAAGAGTCAAGGGCTTTCTTCTGAAAACCTTCCATAAATATATTTGCGATGACTGGTGAGAACCCATGGATGTTCCTCATATTTGATCATTGTTCGAAGAAAAATTTTTTCATTGTCTCAATTGAGATGACAAGATTTGATTCCAGATTCTCCGATTTTAATACATCTGAAATAATGTTGAGAGTTTCAGGAATGTGGACTTTAGTAAAGAGAGACTCTTCGTCGAAAATAACCAGAATATCGTTTGGAACCAATGTAATTGTTCTTAATTTGCCAATGAAGTGGAACAAATTAAGTACGAAACTGTCAGTTTCCCTGTAAAGTTTTTTAATATAGAAACTAGACATTTTGCTAAAAAATATATTGGAGAACGGTGCCAACTATAGACCGAAGGGGTAATCCTGGTTTATGGATCTTAGGGAATTCGTAGAAATGAGGAATTTTAGAAATTTTGTAAGTTGGAGATAGCACTTTGTTTAGGATTGTTTCGGCGATTGAAATGATCTAATACTTCGGATAATACTTGCGGCAGGACGGTGCTGATTTTTCAGTCTCAGAAAGTTGATGCGATGATACATTTACCACACTGGTTGGAAATGTTGAAGTTTGATGGTTTCACTCATTTTAACCTTAACCTTAACTGCGACTCAAGACTTCACCTTCCACCAATTAGGGAAACAATTATCGGCAACAATATGAGCAAGTACAGTTTCAGTAAAACTCTGAAGAAGCCAACAGGATGAATGTCGAAACGTCAGCAAGTTCGATTCGTCAACAATTTAAGAAGGAGCAGAAGATTTCTAATTAGTATTACAGTAGCCACTGGAAGTGTCTTTAGAGTTTGAAGAAGTCTATATTTAGTTTTTGTTAAGAAATTGAAGTTTATGAATGAAATTTATGAAGTTTTGAAAGGGACCAAATAAAACCAACCTTCACACGTTCGAGACTTGCTGAGTCAAACGGGTTGAAAATTTTGAAATAATATACTTATAAACCGAAAATTTCGTTTAATATACCAATTTACAAAGGTTATAAATTACCAAAACTTATCGACTAAATAATTGAGCAAATAAATATTTTATAATTAAGAATTAAGTACATGTTAGACTAGGGCACAGTGACTGAGAAAAATCTTTTAGGGTCGCCAACTTTCGGTTGAAAACGCAAGTTCACCCGTTTCCCTTTCTGGTCGTCGATTTCGAAAAACGAATTCCAGTCTAATAAATAATAGAATCCGCTTCTCCTCGCAGCTGTCGTGGTTTCGGGTGTTTCAGAGGTTGTACTAGAAGCGCTATCGCCACCAAAAGATTCTTCCAAATCTTTGATAGACGGAGTCTCTGATTTAGTGGTGGCGATGGGTGTCGTTTCAGATTCAGTAGAAGTAGTCGATTCCGTGGACGTCGACGACAATTCCTGCCGCTTCACTTCATTTTTTCTGATACTTTCATCTTCGTTTAGTGGATTTGGCGCCCTTTGTTGATCCAATTGAAGAAATTTTTCATTTTTGTTTTCGTTGAGGTAGCTTATTATTTCCCGTAGCTCATTAGTGTTGATTTTCTTCAAGTCATCTTGGGTAACAGTGCCTAAAAATTGCCGAAAACATTTTTTGTTAAAATAATTATGTACTTGAAATATCAATAATCATGAAGCAATTACCTTTGGAGTAAATTTCTAACCAAAGGTAATGAAATTTGATGACGAAAATATCGCCTGACCATAAATGCTGTCACCCCCCTCCACCGCTATTTTTTCCCGTTTTCTAATAAAAATGAAAATTATGATTACGGATTGTCATTTTTTAGCATAGGCTATGGAGCCATTTCGCTAAAGATGCAGCACAGCTTGATATTTGTTTTCAAAATGGGTGAGTGCCAAATTAAATATTTTTCGAAAACTTAATTTGTTCTTCCTACGCTATACGCCTGTACACAATAAGGAACTTGGCCACTTTTTTTTCTTTAGTACATTTGTTTGTGTATAGAAATAACCCATACCAAACAAAAAAATTCAAAACCCAATATTTAAATTGCAATAAACAAATCAACTTGTGAGGCCCGGCTATTCCTTATTAACGACACTAAACGCGCAGGAATGATTGTGACGTTATACCGCTGTTTTTCGATCGATACGGCGTCATGTAATAGTATTATTCTCAGGTCATAGCCCGAGAATTATATTATTTATCTTTATTTTTCGCAGGTGTAAAGGTGTTTTTGTATTTAATCTACGCCAGTTTGTATTTGTGCTTAATGTGCGTAGTATGCTTAGATGTTCGTCGTGCCATCGTGTTTGAGTACACCCGTAAAACGCCAGATAAACTAATTATTCGTATCATCATGTTCAGGGATCACTTTAGCCTTAACCATACAAACATTGGCGTAGTGATCTAGTATTTAGGTTTCCACTAGTTTAAAAAAATACTTTTTTTTTTGTTGAATTTGCATTTTCTTTGATATACCATTTGAATTTTAGAAACTAGAAAGCTTTAAGCTGATTATATATTGGAATAAAACTAGTGACTGAAATCTTTTGGTGTTTTGTAAGTAAGATATCCCCATAATGATATGCACGAAAAGTAAATTATCAGATTGACCTTTAAAAAATCGACTTCGGCCATTTTCAAAACTGACTTTTTGATACTAAACACAAGAAAACAAAAGCAAACGACATGATCAAGACTAAAATTAAAATTAAAACCACGAAGAAGAACGCATTGTCGTTCTCTAATGGCTTATCTATGCTACTGTCTGGCTGGGGCGTAATCTGACGAGCGAATTGACGTCACAAACGGTCACAGCCAATGTCAGTGTGTTTTAAAGAGGATTGAAATTTTACAATTTTTAATTGCTTATTTTTGTTACATAGAATGTAATCTGTGGTGCTTTTAATAGTATAAACTTACTTTTATAAGCAATATTTTTCAAATTAAAATTTTGTTCAAGTTCCCTATTATGCAGTGACTAGGCGTAAACAAAGTTTCACTTTAAAGCACAAGCTGTCGTTAGTGTGTCTGATACTTTAGTTATGGATTGCGATCGATATTATATGTTTGACTTTTGTCATTTCTGATTTTCAAGTCACGGGTCACTAATTCGCGCTATTTTACACAAATATACCAAAAAATTAATAGTCGTAGAACAGTAAACTAAACTTTTTCAGACACTCGTATATCAAACATTCGTTCCGCTAGTGCCTAAAGTGTCCTTTATAAAACCTGTTGCACAATAAAGTATTAAAATCAATTATTAATTGTTAATTATATATAGATAATAAGTAAAAGAGCTGAGTTCAATTTGATGACTCCTAAACCGTAATTTTAAAAATAAGTTGGGACTTGAGATATAACATTTAAAATATGATAGTTCTGGTTAGTTAATTAGTACCAGAATACTAAAACACAAACAAATTGTAAAAAAAAGCCAGATTTCCAACTTTCGTAATTACCCACTATTTAAAAAAAAATGTTTTTCTAAATAAGTAACATTTTGAATATATTTATGTATCTGTAATTAATAACCTGTATTTGTAATTAATAAGTTTGACTCTTAGTTAAACATATACGTAACAATACAAAACACTCTAATTAAAACCTCACCGTTCAATTTTTCTAATTTCTTCATAATATTCAACAACTTGCCCAGTTTTTCCATTTCTTCATCATTGGTGTGTTGACTTTCGACAGGATTAAAAACGTGTTGCTTTTCGGTGGTTCTTTCAGCAGGTTGTTCTCTAATCTTTCTTCCCAGCCTTTGCACTAACCCCATATCATCCAGCACTGATTGAAATTGGTGGGGAACCACATCGAGATTAAGTTGTTCGCTGCTATTTGAAACGCTGTTCAAAGACTTTTGTCGTCGGTCGTTTCTTTCCAGCAAACCAAATCGGGTAAGAAGGTCTTCCATTTCTTTCCTGCTGTCGGAATCCTCCGGGAGTGGTTTAAAACCGATGTATGATTCTGGATCTACGGATGCCTTTTCCGGGACGAAGTCTATCACTTGGTTCCCCTTTTGAGCGTCAATCTTAGAACCGGGAAGCAAACCGAAACTCATCAATAGCTCTCTCATTTCAGGGGACAAATTTTCAGCCACCAATTCTGCGTTTGGAGTCGACGTGGAAGTGGTTGTACTAAGAGGAATCACCCCAATCGAAGCAAGGATGTCTTTTATTTTCTCCGCATCTGCATTATTTGATGTCGGTCGTATGGCTGTTATAGTGAACGACTCCGGGTCATTTATACCGGCTAAATTAAGATCATTCACCACCTTTTTCAAATGATCGGGAATCTGAAACAACCACACAACATTGTAATTTATCGAAAACTATCTTCCTAAATACCTCAACTTCCATCGGTGGTAATTGTTTGTTTAAATCGACTAGTTCGGGTTTCAACACAGACTCCTTTTGACCACCCTCCTGAGGTTCCAGATCTACTAACTCGTAATTGATTTCCGACGGTTTAAATTTTGGAGCATCAATGATTCTAAGTCCTTCACTGGACTGTAAACTGGGTTCTTCTGGATACTTATGGTTTGGATGTTTAGTTGTAGTAGGTACTCTTCTACGTGGATTATAGGTAGTTGGAGATGGTTGAGAAGTTACTGGCGGCCTACGTCTTCTCTTGATTTCCTTTCGGGTAGTGGGCGTTATCGTACTCCGAGATACAGTGCTAAAAGGCCTTCTTGTCGTGGTAGTAGACGTCTTAAATTGAGTATTACCTGAAACAAACCGCATGAGGGAAAATGGTACTTCCATAAGTGCACATAATCCTACCTCTATATGGTTTTCTTTTCTCCGTACTCGCTACCTTCTTCTCTCCCGAGTCTTTAGTTGGTTTTCGTCTGAAATAGGTAATGTTTGCTTTAGTAGTGCTACCGTCTTCAACATTGTCCTTTTCCGATTCCACAATATTTGTGACAGGCGGTTTTGTGTAAAGGTCTTCGAAATTCACTTCTCCCGAACCAAGTGGAGTATAAGCCTTAACCACCATAATGGCTTTAGGATCCCTATCATTAATATCTTCAGTGATTTTCTTTCCATCTTCTCTTGTGATATTTTCCAAGATATCCAATATCTCCCCCTTGGTGAGCCTCGGTAGAGCTGGATTAGATTTTATCAATTCCTCGACCTCCTTTACTGTTTCTTCGGTCTTTTGTATTTCAACACTCCTGGCTATCGACCTTTGTTGTTGATTGTGTTCTTTGAGGGCATGCACCTCCTCGGGAGGTGGAAAATTTGTCAAAGTCGGCAATTGAAATCCTTGTGGCAGAGTCAGCGACGCGTCGAATAGGATCAGGAACAGTATAAGATTCGAAATCTGCGAATAATATAAAATGAAAAACATGTAACTTAACAGTCATAAAGTTTTTGACAAAAGAAGCGTCAGCACCTAAAATTATTAAAGAAAGGCTGGATGGTGTGTACGGTCAAAGTTCTCTTCCTCCTCCTCCTTTCTGTAGTGAAAGAACGGTCAAAACGTTTTCGAATGGGGCAGGAGCCCCTTGAAGATGATTCAAGAACTATTCGACCAATAAAGGTCATAACGAAAGATATTGTTGCGATTATGGAAGAGGTGCTATTCAGTGACCGACGTTTAAAGGTCAAGGATTTCTCATAAATTACTAAGCTTTCTGAGACAAGTGTTAGTGCAAGATGGGTTCCTAAAAACCTTTCGGCTATTCAAAAACAACGCCGTGTCGAGTGTGCGCGGTCTTTTTTGGAGCTCTGGAACTCAATGGAATGTCGTCGTAAGGGTGAAGCACCTCCAAGGAAATTCAGTGTCTGCCAGTCAACAAAAAAGGTGATGGCCACGATCTTTTGGGATTGTGAAGAAATTCTTTTGATACATTTTAAAGAAACTAATACCAACGTCAATGGTAAATACGCAACATTATTACATAAATTGCGAGACTGCATACATGTAAAAAGTCGAGAAAAACTGACCAGAGACGTGCGTCTTTTGCAAGATAATGCACCTGTCCATATTGCTGGTGTTGCACAAGCTGCCATTTTAGAGTGTGAGTTCCAACAGATAGATCATCCTCCTTATAGTCCAGATATGGCCCCCAGCGACTATTATTTGTTTGGATATTTGAAAAAGGACTTACGTGGACGCCGGGTTAACGACGAAGTTGAGTTGAAAGAGTCTGTTTTAGCTCATTTTGCAGACAAAGCAAAAGAATTTTTTTTAAAGGGATTGAGTTGTTAATGAAGAGATGTAATAAGTGTATTGAAGTTAGAGGGGATTATATTGAAAAATAATAGAATATTGTTACTGTACTTTGTTTCTTTCATATTCAGTCAGGGAAATTTTGGCGGTGGTTATATGAAGTAGCGCTGCTAGACCTTGCCATTTGTGTTATTTCTATAGTGGAATATTTTCTTTTTATATCTCAATAAAGACTATTTGTAATCATAATAATTATTATTATTATTATAACAACGCTAAAAGCAAACAACCTCCCACTGACAGGATATAGAAATTCTGTTTGCTAATAAATTAGTACTAGTAATAGTAGTTGTTGTAAAAGGCGGGAAACTAAACCCAATTTATAAGGGCCTAGAGCTAATTTACACAATACGCCGAGTTGTTTACTATTTTATATAAAAAAAAAATTAGGATTTAACTGATTGGAAAAACTGATAGTATAAATCCCCATTGTATACACAAAAATACTTTCGTATTTGTCTATTGAATGGAAAGTTAAAAGCATTACTGACATTTCGTAATTTTTAGAATGAATTTTAAATTGCGCAATGTGAAGTTTGCATATATCCACAACGAATATGAATAAATTTCAAAAAAAAAAGAAAGCAAAAAACGAATAATTTGACGTGTGAATAAAACGATATATTTTCAGCTGCTTTTCTATAGGAGCCACATAATACAAATAGCGTTAGGCGAACGCAATTTTACATCTGGTGGGTAATATTGGGTCAGAATAATTAATTTGTTAATGTGATAAAATGTAATGAAATGTATACGCGTGACAATTTACATAGTTTTGCGAAACCTCCGTACCGCAATAATCGGTAAAACGGTGTCGCGCAATGTTAACAGTATTCGAGTAATGAGATGTCGAGTTGAAGCTACAGCAATTACGTTAGGATGATATCTGAGAATAACTGTTCACTACTAAAACAGTTTAAATAACTTTTTGGGGACAGTCGTTACTCACAACCTCAATTTCATTTTCATATTTTACCAATTTTACACATATACGCGGTAGCAAATATTTGAAATAATGAATCCGAAAGTTCTAATCACACGTTATGTTTATTTATGTTATGTATATTAGGCATTTTTGGATTCTACGCTCTGTTTTATTAGTCGTTAACGTTAAGGTTTTTTATTGTAAAATTTTTCTAATTCTTAATTTATTATTATAATAAATGGAGCATCCAAAAATCACGAAAGCGGCAATTTTCAAGATCTTTTAGATTTTTTCGCGCATCATCGACACACCTTGTACATAATCCAAAAAATGGCCGTAGAAAAAGTTATATCCCTGGATCTTGCGCGTTTCCTGGAATATAATTTTTTTCGATAGGGTACATGGTTTTCGAGAAAATACATGTTTTCTGAAACGATGCAGTACGCCTTATTAGTAAAATGAGGTCATCGTCAATCTAGGAATGCGAAATATCGGGACTGTCACTTTGACTTATCATTTTCATAGCAACGACCGAAAAACAGTCAAAAATCGAAAAAAAGACACAGAAACTCCGGGCTGTTGAAAAGGAGCAAAATTTAAATCATCTAGCTCAAACCGTTCGCAAGCAATCGTCGAAAAAACCTGGAACAGAGAAGGGACAGACAAAAAAAAATTTTTTAGACGCCGATTATTTCGGTACGGTCCCCTAGGACCTACCGTTACCGAGATCCTTTTATGGCCGTCTATTATCCCAATATTAATGGTGATCTATTATAAAAAATTGTTGACAAACATTTACGGGGTGTTACTTAAAGGTATGTACGAAATTTAATATAGCATTCCTCTACTAATTTTTAGTGGAAAATGTTATATTACATTCGTCCTAAAGGTACAGTTTTTTTTTTAATTCAATCATTCTTTGTCGATATCGTTCAAAATTTGGCCGTGTTGTTAGTGGTAATAATTAGCTCCTTTAACCCCAAGTAAACTAGAGTAATTATGTACAGTTGCGCCCCACCGGATTTCGTTACTAATCGTATTCCAAAGAAAAATGTCACCCCTGACTTGTTGATGTTGACATTTTTGTTCAGATTAAGCACACTAGCGGCAGGAAGTATTTTTTTATTTTCTTCAATTCTTCAAAAAGAGTAATTTTAGTCAAACTTTTTTGTTATTTTTGGTTAACCTGTGCTTCTTGCAACCACAGTTGATCATAGGACGGGAGATTTAAAAAAAAAATCTTAAAATGATAACTCTCCCAATTTATTCTGTATATCTTGCGAATGGTGTTTAGGAGCAAAAATGTACAATGTGCTCTAGTTGTCGCAATAATGTCTATCCATAAATTAAAAACGCCGGATAATGTTCAATATGCAATAATCATATTTCAATTATTTGCGGTACTTTCTTAGGCATAAATAAAATGTTCAAACGAGGGAGGAGTGATGAGTGTTTTAAAACAAATTCTTGCAAACTACCTACGTTTTCGAAAGTATGTGACTTACCATAGTTTCATGTACTTTCATCCGGCTTTCTATTTATAATTAAAATAATAAAATTCGCATCTCGTCCTCGTACACTGCAAGCGATTTTACTTTCCTTATTTATAGCTCCTCCATAGAAAACAAAATTAAAAATTCTTCGGCACTTAATTAACGAAACAAACCCACTTATATTATAAGACGATAATATAAACGAACGGTTCAAGGCGACCGTCGATTGTGATTAAGGAAACTTTCACGAAATCCAACTACTCGCAAGAAGTGACCTAGCAAACTGTCTCGACGGAACTGTAGTCCACTCGAAGAGATAATTTTCCACTTCAGATGGAATAAAGCGTATATCGACGGGAGAAAAATCAAGAAAATTGTGCAGTAACTGAGTGTTATGTAAGACGTGCCTTGCATGCCGAGGCGCATTTGCTTGAATAATTATTGCAATTAAAATTATTGTTATTCAATATCGGAAGGCCGAATCGCCCCTTGTTTAGTGTACTTATTAGAAATTTTTGCTTGCTCTGTGGGAACCGCAATTCCTTCGATAACTATAATAATATGTTTTTGGCGGTTATCTCAATCTGAATACTGTTATTAAGCTGTAAAATTTTTGTTTACGTTTACGTTCTCTTACGTGATGACTACAATAACAGACAATCTCTAGAAATGGTTTACATAACAAATAAAAATTAAATAACAAGGAAAAAACAGTTTGCTGACTAAGATTTAAATTCAGCCACAATCAAAACCGCTCGCTAAAACTTGATAATATTTTATCCATATACCTAGTGATTTTACAGAAAAAAAGTTGCCACCATCGACACCCCTCTCTAAAACTTTTAAACTATATAAAGAACATGCCGGAATGCATCTCTTTCTGTCTACATAAACATTACCCCTGTTTAAGGGAAAAATTACTAGAGGAAAGCTAACTTAACAGTGACATATTACTTGAAATTCTTGAAATAATTTCTTCAAGTTCTTGAATTTTTGGGCATTCCTCTACAATTACCTAGAAAGCTTATGGAATTCCTTCGTACTCTACATCATTGCATCTACGTTTGATTCCTGGTACATATAACGGCTATATGCTGTATAAAACATTAAACACTTTTTGTGAAAAATCAATTAATAAAATATTTTGCACCAGAAAACAGGCACTTGAAACAAGCCATCGCAGTTACATACGGTAAGTCCTAAAAAAATGATGACGCAAAATAATTAATGAAGAAGAGTCAGCTATATTATCTAATTTCATAAAGAACTTGACGATTCAGACAACTTTTTATTATCGACAAAACGAAGTAATGATGCCCAACTAATATTACAGCAATAGAGAGAAAGAAGGGTAAATATTGGAAAAGTTAAAATAAATAGCAAAGATCTTTGAGAAAAAATATTATTTGCTGTACAATTTGAGAAAATCGGGATATTTCGAATTAAAATGACCCAAATATATATATATATATATATATATATATATATATATATATATATATATATATATATATATATATATATATATATATATATATATATATATATATATATATATATATATATATATATATATATATATATATATATATATATATATATATATATATATATATGATGACACTATATTCCGGGATATCATCCGTTCGCTCGTTGAACTCCGACTGGAATCCTGCATCCGACTGGAATCCTGCAAATCTTGCATCCGACTGGAATCCTGCAGACGTTTCGCCAAAATCTCACTTGGCATCTTCAATGCTCGCGCTCCGAAAACACTTCGAACACTGTTCGAACAGTGTTCGAAGTGTTTTCGGAGCGCGAGCATTGAAGATGCCAAGTGAGATTTTGGCGAAACGTCTGCAGGATTCCAGTCGGATGCAAGATTTGCAGGATTCCAGTCGGATGCAGGATTCCAGTCGGAGTTCAACGAGCGAACGGATGATATCCCGGAATATAGTGTCATCACATTTTTCCATCCGTGAATCAATACGTGAGAATATATATATATATATATATATATATATATATATATATATATATATATATATATATATATATATATATATATATATACACAAAACGGTAGTCGTGACCGGCTAGTTGAACAACAAATTTAAGTTAATTGGGGTATCGGTCCTGATGAGGGCTCAAATAAAAGGCTTTTGTGCTACACCAAGCTTTCGAAAATGTTTATTTTCTTCTTCAGGGGTGCTACAGTGCCATTATAGGCCAACACCAAACTCATCCGGACAACAGAAAGAATCAAATACGACCGTTAATTATTATAACCGAGGGCAGCCATCTAGACGAAATTGTTATTACATTTTATTTAAACGAATTTTACTTCAAACGCAAAACGCAAAAAAAAAAAAATTTTCGAAGTGTTTTCGAAGCGCGAGCATTAAAGATGCCAAGTGAGATTTTGGCGAAACGTCTGCAGGATTCCAGTCGGAGTTCAACGAGCGAACGGATGATATCCCGGAATATAGTGTCATCACATTTTTCCATCCGTGAATCAATACGTGAGAATATATATATATTTATATATATATATATATATATATATATATATATATATATATATATATATATATATATATATATATATATATATATATATATATATATATATATATATATATATATATATATATTCCAGGATTCCAGTCGGAGTTCAACGAGCGAACGGATGATATCCCGGAATATAGTGTCATCATATATATATATATATATATATATATCCTGTAGCATCAATTTAAATTCCATTGAATAAATCTTTTAAGTCATCTTCGAATAACTCTAATAGCAAAATAATGGCGCTATTGTATTTTTGTAAACTAACTAACCAACAAACTCATTAACGATTTCACAAGATACTGAAGTGTACCAAAGACAAATATTTCAAGAAGACACATGGCTTACTATTTCACGGAGGAAAAAAGTTTAAAATCTCTAAAAAGTCCTTGATTTAAACCCTATATTCAGTTTTGAATTGTTATACTTTATTTCACACACTGGCATTTCGCTTTCTATAAGTTACCTATGAAAGTTAAAATTGCATCAAAGAAAACATCTGAATATATTTGAATTTTTATTTATTTTCTCAATATACAACAACTACACTTCTCAATTTAAAAACTAGGTAAAAGACCATAACCAAACTGAAACCGATTAACAAAAGCAAAATTCCTTTAATATTCACAAAGAAAATAAAAAACGCAAAACATAAAGTAAAGCAACACATTTAAAAGGCATCTTACCCATCTTCAACACTATCCAGACATTTTTATAGTTTTATAACGTTTATTACTAATAAACAATATGCATTGTTAAAAATTAAGATACTTCCGTCTGCAACAATTTATAAGTACCGAAATTTATTACATATACATATTAAAATAATTTTGAATTTTTTATAATTATTTCCAACTCAAATTTAATATACATGTGCACTCATTTCCAGTATATATTTAATGATAATATAACAAACCCACGTCTTGAGTTATAACTAATAGTCTCCTGAAGTGAAGAAATGCAATGACTGGCAAAAACGTCACAAATCAGCTAGCCCTTTTAATTCAAAACGAATTTGAAAAACGCGTACAAGATACCACTTTTGCATACCACACGCGCCAGAACTTGTTGACCTTTGCTTTTGATAAACCGAATAAAGACGTAATAAAATTAATTTCACCCATCCTCAAAAAATATATATACCGCGAAATCCCGACAATACTTCAATCTAGAAAAACATTTACATCCAATTCGATGTTATTTTTTAAGAAAATTTAGAATGAAATTGGAAAAAAAAGTATTTTCGTCCATTTTCACAATAAGCATCTCATGTACGTAAATGAAATATTTTCGAGATTCTATCTGGAAAATATAGGTATTTATTATTTCAAACAACTGAATATGGCCACGTATTTTCATAACTCTCATTTTGTTTGGTGACTCAATTTATGCTGCCTGATACTCCACATTTTTTAAAAATATATTTGCAGCACAATCCCACAAACGGCCTGCGATAGAAAATATTGGTAGCAAGCAATACATTAACATTCTTTTGCGTTTGAGTTCTTTTTGTAAAAAACTGTGGCCAAATTCTGTAACATGATGTTATAAATAGATTAGTAAAAAAAAATAACAGCACTATAAAAGTATTTGTTTATAATCTCGCTTAAGATATAATATATTTCAAATGTTTTCAGTTTTATAAACCTCTTCTATCAGCCTTTTTTCTGGGAAAATAAAAGACACGGCGTTTCTCTAATCATCTTTCGATTTTTCAGTAGGGTTTGACTCATCTTCCTCATCTGAATAATTTGTGGGCACCTCACCTGGTTTCAAGAGTCTTCCCACATATTCATATTTATCTGAAAAGTAAATGTGATTTGAAGATTTTAAACAGTTCTGAGAGATTTATGTTAAGACAAGTTACTAAATATTAATACTTAATCTTCACATAACTCGATTAACCTTGCAAAGGAAAAGTCCAACAAATAATTTCCATGCAGATGAAATTCAACATATCAACATTCATATATATAGTTATATCAGCATACAATTTATTGTAGGAATTGCCAAAATCATTGTAATTTATATAACAAAGAAATTTTGTGAATTTATTACTATTGTGTATGTATTTGCTTTTTCTTTATTATTTTTTACTCCTATCCCTTGCCCTTGCTCAAATAATGCTTACAATGAAAAATTCAAATTAAGTAAAAAGTAACTGTAGGTTGGTTTAGTATTAACGTACAGGATTTTCATTTATATTTTTTGACACCTGCCTTCAGAGTTTATTGAAAACTTTTGACATAAAAGTTGTATTATTCTGAAGGTACCAATAAAAACAAATGAGCGCAGCAACTGTAAAAACAAGTGAATAAAATGAAAAACTTACTTTTTTAAATTGAACGCCCTGCATATTCTATTAACTTTAGATTAGATCGATTGCAAAAATATTTAGTTTGTGGGCATTTGCTTCAGTCATTTTTAAAACAACCTGAGTTTATTATACAAAAATAGAAGTTGGTAATCACCATATTTGTTGCCTTAGGAAACCAAAACATTGTTTGATCGCACCCTAACAGATATTAATAGTGTCATGATGACTAATTACAATTTCAAAACACAGTTTATAATCAACCTTTTTATTCACATAATGAAAACGTATTGCAAGTTCGACGTGAATATCGCCAACGTTTTCCTAGACAAGGTATACTGAATATTGAATAATAAACTCAATCCAGATGCAAAGGGCTTTCTTTAGTGAATAAAGAAATATAATGTATTCCATTAAAAAAAAAAAGTTTGCTTCGCCGTAAGTGAGTGAAATATAAAGAAAAACCCTGTACCACCTGTAACAGATATAGGTCACAAGCCTATCACCCATACTCCACAACATTGAAATTAAACCCACATATGGAAATACCATAACCCGCAACATACAAAAAAAAATACCAACAAAGATTTACAAAATAATCATTTTCTGTAGTGGCAGTTTTCCAGGAATGTTTTATTAAATGTATTTAACAAGTTGAAAAAATTGGTCTGATTTCTACATTTCCGATAATTTATGAGTGATATTATATTTAGTTAATTCATTTCATGTAACCTGGATCAAAAATAAACATAATTTCAATGCCAGTGGATAGCGAATTTGAAAAGGTAATTTTTTTGTCAGTTTTTGATAAATATTTATACTGCGTTGACTGGCTTCTTGGGTTTGGGTTTTAAGTAATAGTACTTTATATTTTATTTTCATTTTATTTTATTTTCAGTGTTCTTTCATTGCAGATTTTTGAACTACTACTACCAGGATTGTCTTAAAGATTGAAAAATACAAGCAATTTTGGCTTGTTAACTTTTTTTAATGTTTCTAAAAAAAATATTCAAAAACAGACAAATCAAACCCAGTTTTTGAAACTTTTTCTCTTTTTAATTTGCGAAATGTGTCGCAAGCTCTAACCTCAAATTGACAACCACAACATTAGGTAGGAAGATTCCTTATTTAAGAACAAGAAACAATTACAATAAAAGTTAATGAGTTTGGTAACATTGACAAAAATATACTTGCCATTAAATTGTGATTCCCACTCCCTAACTGAGTCCATCTCCATGGTGGTTAAATCGCTTAAGTCATCATATCCCTCACCTGAAGCTGAAACATTAAATGTAGCTAACCCTCTTGATGCATCCCGACCAGCAAAAGCAGCATAAGGGCCATCTGCAAACCGTTTCAACGTCAGTATTTTATAATTCTTGAATCATGGTTAAAAATTATAAAAAGTATTAAAAATACTCGTTAAATTACAATATACTTATGTTTAAAAAAATGTTTTCAACCTGGTCCGTAAAATTTTTTTCCTTTGGTCACATCATATACTTTTCCATTCACAGCCACAAGCACTCTGCCATCTTCCTGTGTGCCATCAAACTTTTTTAATTCTTCTACAGAAAAATCTTGTTTCTTCATTTTAGGCAAAGCTTTTTCTTCCGGCTCCGTACTTTTTTCATCTTGGCGACTTTTTACTATCCGATATATTAAAAACAATATTAAACCGATAAGGGAGAGGTTTAAAGGGCTTTGGACGATCTCCGAAACTACGGAATTCAAAAAACCGGAAGATTTTTGCACCTCTTCTGCCATGACGGTAAAGTTTAGGGGCAGATGCGAATTAAATTTAACAACCTTTTCACCAACGCAATTTACTAAACTTAGAGAATGAGTAGCACTTCCTTATCTGTAATTTTTTAAGGAAAATGACATGATGCCACCACAAAATCACCAAATAGTTATATTAAAAGCGTCCAATTTTTGGTTGCACTGGGCACTGTTCTATGGTCACTCACCCAAGTCGGTTCGGCTTTTTTAAGCTGCCTTATGCCCAAGTTGCAATTAGCGCAGAACAAGAATATGGAACATATGGTATATTGGATCGTGGCTCTTATGGGTTTCTTAGCTCCAATATACTCTTAGTCCCAAAGAAACCTCGAGCTTTTCTCAATTATTTGTAGACCTCACCAAAAATTGAAAACTGGGAGTTTAAAGTTGATGAATAACGTTTTGCATTGGATCGTACAGTGAGCCTAAGACCGATTAGGGTGATTTGATTTTGCACTATACTTGTGAATCGCCTTGAATTTCTTATTGCATGAAAATTGCATAGTTGAGAGTTTTTCATTCACTACCTGAATCAATATTACAACAAAAAAGAACCACATCTAACGAAAACTATTCAAATCTAACTAGTTAAAAGCACCTAATTTTTTTAATCCTGAAGTTTACGTCAATTTTCAAGTCTAGTGCAAAGTCAAATCACGTAGTCGGTTAATCAAGATAGTTACATCGATGATTTATTTGGATAGTTCAGCTTTTCAGTGCTATTTTATGTCGCTTGCAATTCAAACTTTCAGTCAGTTGGGGTTCCACAGGAATGTGGTTTATCAACTTGCACTTGGTCATTAAGATACAATTTATTTTCTGACAAACTACCTCAACATCCAAGATTGCATAACAAATACCATCAACCTACTAAAGCCACACCAATGTGTGCAACAAAAGCAAAATATATACAACAAAATAGTTACTAAACAAAAAATACCAGAATATGATTGGAAAGTCAGTAAGACTATAATTAGATATGTTCGCTTGTTGACTAAGTTTAAGCAGTTAAATGCGATAAGAACTACAAACAATTAATGTGTTCCAAAAGGTCGTCTAAAAATAAAAGCTGTACAAACGAAATGCAATGATAACAAAATCTGATGTGTGGCTTCACAATAAACACGTTTTTTTTTCTAAATTACAGAGTTTAAATCAGTTAAAAGTTGCAAACAACTTTTCACAGCTTATTAGCTAGTCATGCTCCAATAACAGAAATTGCTTCCTGACGTTCTTCTTCAAGTTCTTTGCCAGTTGTGTCCAACATTTTTCGTGCAAAATCATTAACCTGTAATTCTCTAACAATTTCCCATTTACCCCCTGTAATGGTAACTGGAAAAGAAAAAACAACATCCTTTGGAGCTCCATAACTTCCATCACTCAAAACACCCATTGAGACGAATTGTCCTGGTTGAGTTCCCAAAAACCAATCCCTCATATGATCAGAAGCAGCCTTGGCAGCAGACATGGCTGAAGACATTTTACGTGCATTAATTACAGCAGCTCCACGTTTCTGTACAGTCTCAACAAATTGAGAAGCAAGCCAAGTAGAGTCATTCACTGCTTCAGGAACAGCAGTCAATTTGCCGTTCAAATCAACAACAGCATGTGAAGCATCAGGAAATTGAGTGGAAGAATGATTTCCCCAAATTATCAAGTTTCTTACAAGTCTCACAGGTACGCCCAACTTAGCTGCAATTTGTGCTTGGGCTCTGTTTTGATCTAACCTTGTCATTGCCGTAAAATTTTCTTTGGGAATAGATGGGGCATAACGAGAACAAACAAGTGCATTGGTGTTGGCAGGATTGCCAACCACTAAAACTTTAACATCCTTTTTGGCATACTTATCTAATGCTTCTCCTTGAACTTTAAATATTTTCACATTGGCGCTAAGAAGATCTTTACGCTCCATGCCCTGTTTTCTTGGCATAGCACCAACCAAAAATGCCGCTGCTACATCTTTAAATGCAACAGCAGGATCATCAGTGGGGACAACACCATGAAGAAGTGGCAAAGCACAGTCAGCCAATTCCATTACTACTCCTTCCAGGACACTCATCATTGGGGGAATATCCAACAAATGTAAGATTAGAGGTTGATTGGGTCCAAATACATCTCCCTTTGCTACCATATACAGTAAAGAATAGGCAATTTGACCAGCAGCGCCAGTAACAACAACACGTAGAGGTTCTGCCTAAAATACAAATTTTAAATATTCCTATGCTAAAATACTTGCTGTTGGACTTAATTCCTAAATGAAAACCATGCAAAACGCCCAATATAACATAAACGATAAAATTTGTTCTTTCAAATCAAATACAGTTGCAGTTAACGCAAAAAAGGAAAAAATGTATTATATAACCCAAACCTGCTAACAAGATATATTTTTGAATTAATACAATATTTTTATAGCGCGTTTTGAAATTAGTTATTTTAAAAACCAAATATACTTACCATTTCAATTAAATTGTTATATAAATTTTAGACAACCTTTTGAGAATTTGCCTGAATGACAAAAAGGACGTATTTCACAATAGCACTTAACCCTGGATCCTCCTCACTTCTGATTCCGAATGGTCAGCTGATTACAACCACAGTTAAAAGGTAAGTGAAATGTTACAAAAAATATGCTAACTTCAGTCATGAACAAAAGTTAATTGCAAAAATATCTAATTAAAGTTTCTATATACAAAATAGTTTGGCACAATTTTTTTTATTGTATTTTATTCTATGCTCCTTCAGGAAGAGCGATCGTCTGCTTTTGTCAAAACAAAATCACAGAATACCAAGGTTAACAAAATGGTAGATGCACGGACATTACCAATTGGCTTATCTGACAAAAACTAGATATCCAAATCATAGAAAAAATAAAAAAAAGGACAGAAATTTATGTTTATGGGTTGATTGGAAACAACGTTGGAAATTTTTTCATTAAAATGTCTGAAGAAAGAACTGAATCAACAATGCTGGCTAAGATGGAGGAGTTTACCATAATAGATAAAACAATGTTTGCTAAACAACTGGTATGCAATATCTGTACCAAACCTTTGAACATACCACCCATCATCTACAATGAAAATTTGGGAAGTATTTGTGGCAGATGCGGCCCTCATACTTCGTTGAGTGGATTGGGGGCTGTTTTACGACAAAAAATTTATGAAGAGCTTTTAAAGAACCTTACCTTCCCATGCGTTAACAAAAGTTATGGTTGTTCTAGCATTTTAAAGTGGAACCAAGTAGAGCAACATGAGAAAACCTGTTCGTAAGTATTATTTAATACCTTTTATTTAAGCTCAATGCCTTCAGTCCTTAATTTTATGTTATTGTTACTTTTTGGACTGAAATTAACAATTTAAAAAGCAATTGGTTAGGTTGTGGCAATAGTGTTATATAATTTACATATGTAATTTTAGATATCGTTGTGCCAATTGTCCCCTGTCTTATAAACAATTCTTTCCTGATAAAACTTGCACCTGGGTTGGCAATCTGAAATTGCTTCAAGATCATTTCAAACTACATCAGGAACTTTATCTTGACCCTCCTCATTTTGATTGGCCAGTTGATCCGAAAAACGAGGTTTTTCTTACAAATGCAAGTAATCATACCATTATTGTCGTACTTAAACATGAGAAAGATTTCAAATATCATTGTGTGTTAATGGTAAATGGGACAGATTTAGAAAGTCAGTGCTTTAAGTATCAGCTGGAACTGTTCAACGAAGACAAGAGCAATTCTTTGGTACTAAGACGCAATAGATTAGAACCATTGAGTGATTTCATGGATCATTTTCATAATCCAGATAAATCTCTGGAGGTTGATTTAAAGATTGTTCGTGAGATGCTTCAAGAATCAGGGAAAATTTACGCCAAATTTGGAATTGTCAAAAAAAATAAAAAAGACATTACTCAAATAATGGGATCCAACCATTGTGAAATTTTGTCCGCTGTGAACAAAGTAAGCAAAGATAAATTAGGCCCTGCTGATGAGGAAATGCTGAGTGAATTAGAATGCCCTGTATGCAATGAATATATGGTGCCACCAATATTTATTTGCCCAACGGGTCAGTAGTCCTAAACGGTACATATAATAGATAATATTTTAAAACATTACAGGGCACAGTGTGTGCAGTGACTGCAAAGTCAAGGTTGGTAAATGTCCTAGTTGCAGATGTGATTATGCCGAGGGACGTAATTTCACTCTTGAGAAATTAACTACTCTTGTTAAATATCCATGTCGCAATAGGGATATTGGCTGTGGTTTCATATCAACCTCGGATAAAATTAAATTGCATCAAAATTGCTGTGAACTTTCTGAAAGTCCATGCCTTTTAAGGTAGTTATAAACAATGTTAGTTGTAGTATTTATAAATTGCTCTTTTATGTATTTCAGGTGCGGCTGGAAAGGACTTGGGCCAGGCATGTACAACCACTTTCTTGAAAAACATCCATCAAGGCTTCTCGAACATAACCATCCCATTTTAAAAGAATTTAAATCTGACAAAAGTATTAATCTTGATTTTTTGTATGTAATGGGTGAAATATTTTGTGTTGCTTTTGCTAATTGTAGTAGATTTACTATTAAATTCAGTGTGGCGCAAGCCTTTCCAGTGGAAGCGGAACCACAATATAAGTACACAGTTGAGTTTTTTAGCTCTAATAACAATCTAGGGCCTAGTTTCAGTGTATGCAATACTTGCCAACATTGGACAGATGTGCACAATGCACTGGATAATAGCATTATCATACCAGGTGAATTATTAAGGAGGGTAGTGTTTGAAAATAATTGTTATTATATTAAGGTTACAATTACCAAATTATAAATAAGCTTTTGATACTTTTGCATTTTATTCCCAAGAAAACAAATAAAAACTTGAAGGCCTGGAGTTTATATTCCATGAATAAATTATGTGAAACTATCCTTGTGAAATAGAAAAATGAGAAACCTGACTGATTTTCGTATATTCAGTCAATGAATAATTGAAGAAAGATAAATAACACACTTTGGCGAACTGCCGCAGTGATTTTGAAATTCGTTCGATCTATAATGTTATTTTTATAATTTTAGTAGTTTTGAAATAAATTATTTGAAAATAATTAGAATTTATTATTGTACCCTATTGACAAAAGGAATACTTCATTTCTAAAGTATTTTAGGTTTGGTTCTACAAAAAATAGAGGCATCTTGAGCAGGTATATTAAGAAGAATTCTATTCCGCGCATAAGTTCATTTGATTCGTGGTTACAAGCGGTTCAAAGTCACGTGATCATTGCCTTCTAACATTTTAATGCTGATAAGACAAAAACTTATGAAGCACCTATTAAAAACATCTTCCCCTGATATACATACATATCTCGAGCCGCTGCTCATACTTTTTGCAACGCTTACATTTTTTTATTTCCTCGAGTCCATTGGAAGATATATAAGGGTGTAATATTTAACAATTATATTGTAGCTTTGGATTAAATATGGATTAATGTTCTATTATTTTGTCTTAAAAAAATTGTTTTAGTTCATTGCATGAAAAGCCAAAATAATAGAAATCAAAAGCCTAAAACAAATATACTCCAATGGTTGGAAAATGTAAAACCGCTGCCTGTACCTTTACAGCTATCATTGTAGCCTCTATACATAGACGAGAAATCGATGAGGATACGACGAGCAGTGACGTCAGTTATTTCCTTCGAAACAAATTCCACGTGTGATGTAATTTTGAGCATTTAGTGCAGCAAATGGCGGTGATATGGCAAATTTCAGTTACAGAAAAATAAAAACTTTGGTTCCATATTTGTTGTACGCAACCTTAGCGGTGAGCTAGTGGGTTTTGAACAGGGTGCTTATGGGGGAAGTGACTATCCTCTTAGAAGATTGATGCACCAAGTGAAAAATGTGAAAATTAAGATTTGCAAAATGATAATGCAATTTATATTACTGAGGGTTTGTCCCAATCGTGAGGACCAAAATTCTTTACGGCAGCAAAGACTAACCTTTTTACTATGTGTAGCTCATATTTGAATTTATATTCCTTTTAGTATTCTGTGGTTCTTTCTGATCGTGGCCGGGGACGTTAACGGTATATTTTTCTCATTTTTATTTTAAAAAATTAGAAAATATTTCTCGAAATCATGCTATTGAAATTAATTGTTTCTGTATTAAATCGTTTCGTGCAGTTATGTTTTTTTGGTTATCTAGTTTTCTCTTTGAGGTTAAGAAAAACGTGTCTGTCTTTTTCAGGATCAAAATGCCGTCTGTTACTCTAAAGGATGTTGATCAACACAAATTCGTAAAAGCTTTCGCTTCGTTTTTGAAGAAGTAAGTTTGTCAGGAGAAAAATCACAGGATAACTTTAGGTTGTTAACGTTTTAGATCTGGCAAGCTACGTATACCAGACTGGGTAGATTTGGTAAAAACTTCCAGAGCTAAAGAGTTGGCCCCTTACGATCCTGATTGGTACTATGTTCGTTGTGCTGCTGTGGTCCGCCATATCTACATTAGATCCCCTATTGGTGTTGGGTCCGTAACAAAAATATTTGGCTCTCGTAAACGTAATGGCACCAAACCATCTCATTTCTGCCGATCAGCTGGCAGCATTGCCCGAAAAGCACTTCAAAGCCTCGAAACACTGAAGTTGATAGAAAAGTCACCTGATGGTGGAAGAAAATTAACCCAGCAAGGGAGAAGGGACTTGGATAGGATCGCCGCACAAGTCAAAGCAAAGGAACGCCAGGCATTGAAAGCAGCGGGTGTATTAACATTATCTTAATTTTACAAATAAATGAATGCTGTGTTTAACTTTTTTTTAATTTCATTTTACAAGTTGATACCACACATATATTGAACAATTTTGGAAGATTTAAATAAATTCAAAAATATTCTATAATTTATGATAAATATTGCTTCTATAAAAAAAAGGTTTTGCAATATATTAAAGCAATATAGTATGCGAAAAGATTTCTGCATCATATAAAGCATTTTGAAAACTTCCGGGTTGCTTGCGGTTATCTGCAATATTTCATAGAAAGTGTGGACAAATTGTTTTGGTAGGTAGAAATAAGAGGTCAATGTAACCTAATAACCACAGATTGTTCCACTGCAAAGAATTTCAATTAATTTTTGGAAAACTAACATTTGCTATAATGTTTGAAGATTATGCTGAAAAATTATATTCAAGATTGTTTCCAGACTCAATATTTTTCAAGTGTGAAGAATGCTTGAATTTATGATTAATTACAATGCTCAAAATGAAATGGAAGAGAAATACCTATTCACTTTAATAATAATTGCCTTCATTTTTCACGACAAATTAATACCAATGAATAGAAAGAAAGAAGGAATAACCTTATGTTAATGTGAGTTCGGTAAAACTCTAAATAACTTATTAAATACAAAATATCAATATTTCTTAACAAATTTTACTCTTATTTTTTGAAGATTATACACAGTGCAGTGAATAGGCCTTCTTTTAGAAAAGATAAATTGGAAATGAAACACATCTATAATTTCCTAAGAATTTGAAAAAATATGTTTCAATTTTAAAATACAGAGGTCATAAGTCACCTTATGGTTCGGTAAATGTCAGGACACCTTTGTCAGAGATTTTCTTCAATAGCTTCATAATTGCCATTTCACTCGAAAATAATTATTTAGTCATGTGCCAAATGATTTATACCAACCCGGATATTTGTAATTTCATTTAGTCCATATATAAAAAATATTTACTACATGTAAATCAAATCCCAAATGTTTGAATTTTATGTTTTCTCTAAAGCAAATATATATCTGGAACGGTTGGTACGTCTTAAAAACAATTTATATGTTGCAGATTACAAATTATGTCTGGCACGGCAATTATCTTAAGTATTTATTTTCTAAATGAATCTAAAATTTAACATTTTTACAAACTATAAGCATTGATTCTTGTTTATTAAAAATTAAAAAAACACAAGAACAAAAATGGGACTAGTTTATGTTAAAAATCTATCACAATAGGTAATAATCAGTCATGGAATGTAGACATCGCGTAAAATGTTGTAGAAAGGTTTACATCAAAGAGTAAAGAGTTTTGTTCCACACAAAGTGTTATGCACTGGTAGAAGTACAGCGTGCGTAAAAAGGGAAGTACCACCTGATTTGGGTAATCCTAATAGTTGGTTGGTTGTAAGATTTTTTTTGTATAAATCAGTCTTAAATTGGTGGAGTATACTGCCTAAATAAAAAAGGCACCTTAACCAAAATTATTAATATAATCAAAATATCCAGATACTCAAATCATGTTAACAAAATTTTATTTTAAGTGGTCTGTTTATTTTGGATAGGGTTATATAGAAGTATTTAACATGATTATGGTCTTGGTGGTAATTTATCAGTAAGTATAGTTTTTAATAAATCAACATTTTATACCCATCATAAGGCTATAGAATTGATAAAGTTTTTAGTGTCATTTAATCATTACATTTAATAAAAATCTACAGTAGAACCCCGATTATCCGGGCGGCATTTTAAATTGATCAACTGTGCGCGGATTATCCGTCGCCAACGGTCAGAGGTTGGCAGCGAATGGACGCTGCATGCACTGTGTCGTTCTTTTTGAAAAATCCCTAAATTTGTGTCGGGGAATCCATGTTTTAACCTATTATATTTGCTAAGTGCTGATCGACCGGCTCGTTAGTTTGGGTTAGTTAATTAACCGTAAACAGAGGCACACAGTTGAGCGTATTGGTGCTATGCATAAATGCAATGTTTTAAATATTGAGCAAAAAATGAAAATTTTAAGGCAATTTGAAAATAACATGTGTTTCTGTGTTGGCTAAAAAGTATAACATTGGAAAACAAACAGTTCGTGACATTGTAAAGAGAAAAGCCAAATTACAGAGCTTTGTAGCTAATAATAATGTAAAAAATCACTTAAAGGGTCTACTTTTCGACAACTTGATGCTATGAGCAGGTATGGTAGAATTTTGCTATGATTTTGTAAATCTTTTGACGGAGCACGACCTAAAACCTGAGCAAGTGTATAATGGGGACGAAACTGGACTTTATTTCAAAGCAATGCCAAAAAGAACACTTGCCGCAGGCTCAGGAACTAGTGGGCCAGGTTAGCTTTTCACACATACACATATTTTCTTTAATGTTTTTTAAATTTTTTTAGGTTTCAAAGCAAGCAGAAGACCGTTTAACAGTTTTGTACGTGCCAATGCCTCAGGAATGCATAAGCTTAGGTTAGCTGTTATTGGAAAATCCAAAAATCTGAGGGCTTTTAAACATATAAAAACAGTGATTATTATAATCAAAAGGGAGCGTGGATGGATAGAGTAATTTATAAACTGTTTTTTTTTAAAATTATACACCAAGTTCCAGCTTATCAAAAAGAAAATAATCTTCCACCAAAGGCTGTTACTGGACAATGCGCCATCGTATCTTAATGTAGAGCAACTTAAGTCAGAAGATGGAAACATATTCGTAGCACATCCAATGGACCAAGGCATTATAGAGACAATGAAAAGACTTTATAGAAAAGATCTTATGCTTCAACTTATGGAAGAACGTGACATTGTGAAATTTTGAACACGCCTAAATTTGAAAGGGGCAATATATGCTATATTTCGTGCTTGGAATGAACCATTTTATAAAATAATGACTTTAATTGAAGATACGGAGGATGAACACGTTATTGGAGATAATAATCAGTTAAATGAAGGTGAGCTATCGGTCGAAAACATAGCATCTATAGCCTTGCAAATAAATGGTTTGGAAGAAATAGACAATAAAGAAATACAGGACTGGATAGAATGTGATCACAAGGAAGCAGGGTATCAGATCATTAATGACGATAACATAATTTACAAGACCTCTGAAGAAAGTTCTGAAAAAGTAGTGATAATGATGAGAATAATTATTGCGAAATCAAGTCATCAAGAACCAAGGAACGCAGTAAACTACCTTATTCAATATTTTGAAGAACACCTTAAAAAAATGAAATAAATTATAAAGTGTAGAAGTTACAAAGCCCAAAAACAAACAAAAATCAGTAATTTTTTTAAGTCATTTTTGCAAACATAATTTATTGTATACATTTTGTACACACTATATTCTATTTTTTGTTACGTGTATGTTGTATCTTGTATTACGTTTGTTTGACACATGTATTTATCTAAATAAAAAAAAAAGTTTCCAATCACATCTGGTTTTCGATGTTATAACCTCATTTAGAAAAATTGGGAGATGTCAATGTAATTGCACGAATATATTTGTTAAGTTTGCTTTACGTAATTGAAATTCAGACAGTAGTCTATCATAAATAGGGGAAATTAGCAGGTACTGTTTGTAAGGGATGGGTTAAAAGCTTTGAAAATTCAGAATGCATTAAATTTTCATTGATGTTCCACAAACTATGAAAGCTATCAACATTTTAATTTATTCATTGACTAGAATATTCAAAATGACACAATCAGAGTACTGTTAATTATGGCTAGAACTCTATAATATACTTTTTATAACTTCTATATAGCATAATGTTTAATAGTTTTAAACTTTAAAATTCAACAATATTTTTATATTCATTAGTACTTCCTACAACCACTGAAAATGAATTTTAAAAGGCAGCAGTAATTCTAATCTTGTTTTAGAGAGAGAATTATTTCAAGGATATTTTCAAAATTCAATTTTATAAAATTATTTTTCACTAGTTTAATAATTTAACTTGATCAATTATTAAATCTAATATTCATAGCTGTAAGAAGGGCGTCATAATAGTATTCGAAATTGTATTGAATTTGGCCAATATTAGAAATTTTACAAAACCATTTATTTGCAATCCATTTTCTCAGCCATATTATTATTTTCATCATATCTCTTCAGTAAATGTTCTTCTTACAATTTCATCACATCATTTCATTTCAACTCAGTTTGCAATATTCCCTAAGCATTAATATTTCATTGATGTCTATTTAATAACAAACTTTCATTATATGCGTCCATCAAATCTGAAAAAGAATCGCAATGCTACATAATTTCCATCTTAACCACCGCGATTAAATAAATAATAACTGGAGAAAATCTCCAACCCCTAAAATACTACCCGTTTATAGATTAGTTTGCGATGGATTGAGATCAACAGTTGATTCCATTCCGGTTTGCCGCAACCAGTGTCTAAGGTTCCTAGTTCTTTCGACTAAGGTAGTAGTGGCGCCCTAAAATCCAATGCTCCAAAGTATATTGCAGCATATTTGGAGTAAAAAATACCTACCTGCGAAGCGTGTGTTACAACAGTACTCTGGGCATTGGCCAGAGCAACATGTTGACGGTAATTGTGCAATCTATCAGCTAAAGTTGGAATGGAAGGTGGGGCGGGAGGTACGCTGGCGGTGCCAGCCAGAACGGGCCACCCTAAATCTGGATAAATAAATGAGGGCATCGCTGCAAAGGGATAGTTTAATTTTGTTTAGAGGTTTGCGCATTAAAAACTTACCTTGAGCAATATTTGATTGTTGCTGTTGGGTTCGAAGTACATCCCAAATTTCTCTTATTTCAAAATTTAAATTTTCTAAACTTTGTATGATCTCCGATGACTCTTGGAAGTCGCCCCTCAAGAGAGCCCTGCTGCAGTTGTTCACCCCTTCTCCAAATTCAGTTGAGCTAATACCAGAACTTGCGCTAAAACGTATAAATGATGTGCTGCAAAATTCTTTATGAATGAATAATATCAATTTAAGAATTAATGAAGAAAAATCATATTGGATTTTTAATTAGAATTTATTGATAATTTTTTATATTTGTCTAATTTTTTAATTATTTGAAAGCTTTTTTTATTATTCCCAAATACCTGTGTGACGATAGGTCACTTAAGGTTGCCTCATCCTGTTGCTCATTTTGGGAATTGGCACGATGTAGTGATTGTTCTAAATGGCGCAACCTGATTACTTTTTCACCAAGAAGACTTCTAGTTCTGTGTAAGTTTACCTCCATATCTGTCAGCTCTTTTTCTTCCTAATCGGTAAAATAGATTGTAAAATAAGTTTTGAGATTGCTTGGAAATTATTTAAACTAAAAAAATAAACGAAAAAAAGTAAGAGAGATAACCTGGCATAACTGTTGCAACGTGTGCCTAGCCATAGTTCCGTGTTTCAATTTTAACTCTTTTTGCCTTTGTTGAAAGAGAGCCTTTTGAGTCCTCAAGCTTTCTTTTGCTCTTTTAATAGAGTCACGTTCTAAATGGATTCTGTGTCGGAAAAACTCCAACTCGGAACTGCCCTCAAATTTTTGATTATCAGAAAATGGATATCTAGAAAAAAATCAAATCCCATCATGGCATCGTAAAATTCACCGCTATTCTACCCTACCGCAAGTGATAGGTATCCGATTGAGAATTCTGAGGAAACTGATCTTCCAAATCTTCCAGTTTCTGCAGTTGCCGTCTTAAATTTTCAACAGGAGAGCAAGAGCGCTGCTGGCCCTTTTTGGATTTTGAATTTAAATTTATTCTAGAGGTAGACGAACTTTTTAACCTAGTAAAGTAATATATACACGTACTCAGTAAGTTATCAGAAAACTCGGGACTTACCTGGTAAATGACTTTTTTCGACTTCGTCCCGGATTTGTGCTGTCCGATGAATCATTTTGATTGGTTTTCTCATCACTTTGATAACAATTATCGCTCAATGAAGTATCTATATCTTGAATGATCACCTGTTTGGTTTGTTTTGATTCTAGCTTTATTGGGTGACTGTGGGTCGGGGGTTTTTCCAAAACTTTTCGAGAAGGAGAATTTAAAGGGGTCCTGTAATTGATGTTTTCTGGTAATATCTATAGGTAAATGTAACTGTAACGAGGCACACAGGCAGAAAGCTAATCAAAACATACACCAAAACTAACCATTGGAGAGAATTTGGGAAAAATATTAGAATTTATTATTGTTTTTTTAAATAACTATGAAAGAAAGCTCTGGAAATAGGACATTAATAATATAACAGATTTAATTAATAATAAAATAATTAAATTATTATGGAGGTGATTTACATCCTCCAATAAAGCAATGAAAAAATGTACAAAAATCTTTTCAGAGATTTAAGAAATTTAAACGGATATGGCAACTGGGGTACTTTCTAGGAAGAAAAAATTATTTCTACGCTGTTCCTGAGTTGAAATCTCTACATTACTTACTTAAGCCGCATGATCATTTTAAATTCTGTTTAATGAAATTCAGAAGGAGATCGACCCGAGAGTATGGTCTGTTCATAGATATAAGAAAGTGACCAATTGCTTTTGAATCGGATTATACAAGAGTGGTCATTAACATACAATGCAACAAGATTATTACCTAAAGTTTCGGAATTTAAATTCAGGTAAAATTGTGGTCCGTAATAGACAATAATTTTATACATACCTGTGTTTAATATTCTTTGGTTTGGTATACTACTTAGTTTAAGTTTATTAGTAATCATTCTTATTTCGTGTGTAATACAGCGTGTGGTGAATCGTGTGCGAATTATGCAAAATATGTGCGAGTCTAGTGTATCTCAGGAGATGCTCCCGCCCAAATGTAGAAAATACTATTCTATTGAGACTAAGGAAGTTATAAACAATGCTTATTTGACTCTCATTGAACGTGGTGGCAGCAAGCAAGCATATTTAGAAGTAACGGCCACATTGACGAAAATTTCAACATCAACTGTATGGAAAATTGTGAATAATCCCATTTCAGCGAGGAAAAAAAGAAGCGATAATTTTTAAGTAATTTAAGTAGGTAATAAAAATAATTTGTAATTTGATTTTAGATTTAAACATAAATACATATATAAATAAATAAATATTGTTTAGTATATTTCCTAACAAAACCCCAAATAATTAAATTTTAAGCAAAGTAAGGACTGGTTCGGTCATATTTCATTCTTACAGCTTGCCCGGGTCTTTCCTTAATTCGTATCAGTTAGTCACTTTCTTATATCTATGACAAATTGGTTGATGACAATAGTATATTAAGCAGGTGCGGTAAACGGCATTTGACTCGAGCGAAGCGCAGCGGAGCGAATTTTTAATAAACGAGTGAGTTAAAAAGTTTACCGAACGTGTTGCATATTATACTTTTTCTACGACCGTTAGTTTTTGGGTCCATTTTTGCAAAACAACACGAATACATTCACGGACACGACAGTCAGAATTGACAAACATCAAATTTCAAAGCGTGGGAAATATCTCCGAAAACATCCGATTGCTCCCAAATCCGTGCGGAAAAAGCCCGGAAACGTCCGAAGTGGCTCGGAGTCATGGGAAACGAAACTGACGTGGTAAAGTGACGCTTCCCGCACGCTAGATCGGTGGGTAATTAGGTATTTTACAGATGGGAGTAGAAAAAAATATTAACATAGAGTTCTCCAAACACTATACCGTTTTTCTAACCTTTTTTGGTTTTGATTTCGGAAAGAGTTTAAGACCCGCCTGTTGTAAAGCGAAAGGGATCATTCTTTTCAGCACCTGTATCACAAGCCAGGGTCGTATTTAAGATGTTGGCCGACAATAACTGTGCCATGCAGACCCTTATATTTTAAGAGTAGGGAAATTTTCTTTGTGTGTGCTTTTTATAAATCTTAAGTCTCAGAACAAACCACACTTCGTCGAATTTTAAGTTCCGAGGCAATTAATAAGAAGTGAAGTAGAAAAAATATCTGCTTCTAGCTGGAAAAAATGTGGAGAACATGTCATCGAAGAAGAAAATCTTTACAAAAGTCGACTAGTACCAGAATTAATTATTAATGAGGGGACCCAGTGAAGATTGTGATTATTTTGATGTAGAATAACTTTTTTATAACATTTTAACGTAAGAATAGATTTTTCACTGCATGGACTAATAATAATCGAGGAATCTCACCGATGAAACTCAACACAAATCCGTGACCTTTCAGTATTTGTATTCACGAAGTACCGAAGTACGGTTCTGGAACGTCATTGTTGAATTGGGAATCTATTTATTGAGGGTTATAAAGAGAAACCCGAACGGGGCAGGCCTGCGGTTAGACCTTCACAAAAATTTATCAAAGTTAAATACCGGATTATGTCGTAAAAACGGTATATCGTCCGAGAACTCCACCACATTAATCAAGGAAAGATGGCGGTTACGTCGTTTAAGTCAAGTTAAGTATTTGACTGTCTAAGCTGCTGGATAACACAAGGAGTCTGAAATCTCGAAAATTTGGAGTTGCAAAATTTAAAAAAATCAAAGTTAAATTTTTCTGTAATTCGATCTTTCTCGAAAACCCTAAAATATATATTGTAGATCGCAAAATTATCTACAAAAATCGTCCTTGTATTGCCACGTATCTACATGTCGGGTATTTAATATATGTAGAAATTAATATTTTTGGTGACTAAGCGGATGAAGAGCATGGGGTAGAAAATCATCTAAGAAAGTTATAAAGTTGCAGGAATTGTAAAAAAATAGTTGATGGTCATGATAAATTATAAATTATAAAAATACAACTGAAGTGGAAGTAAACTTGTAGAATTATTATTACAGAAAAGCGCGGAAAATTAACGTTTATACCCGGAATAAGAAATAAAAACAAGTTTCTTGTCTTCTTCCAAATCGGCTTCTACTCATCAACATTTGTTGCGACTATACTTTATCAAGTTCAGAGTTACGGTACTCAGCGGTGCCGCCTAAATTGTTAAGGCCAACCTTGCTCGAATATTCCATTGAAAATAAGAATTCATGTGATTGTGATATTGATGAAAAGTAATATTTCTCGTAATTTCATAATTTTCGAACGTCTAGAAAGAAGAAAAGCAAGATGAAGAAATGGCTGTCGACCTTATAGAGTATGAACAAATTAAAATATTAACAGAAATCAGAACTACTGGGCGGTGTGTTATGGTTATTCCTAGGAAAATTCATAAAGGTCATCTTCTAAAGCCTTTCAAAATTTTGACTTCTTAACCATGATTCACTATGATTGGGAGTTTGGTTAACTTATGTTAAGGCAGATGTACCAAATTAGAAAAAAATGCATTTTCCTGATTTAATTTAATAATAACAAAGTTAGCGACAATTCTTATTAGGACGTTAAACTGTCAACGTTGGATTTCATGTTACTAAAATCCGTGAAATTTGAGATTGACGTGTTATTGGTGATTTTGCGAGTTTTAATAAATTTTAACAGCTGTTTGTGTATTAAAAGTAATTTGACGTGCGCATTCTATCGCAATTATTTGTCCACGTTGACCACAATTAACTTTCTTCAAAACACCTTAAAATGAAACCTACTTTTTGTCGCCAACCAAAGCCGCTATTTATTTTGCAACCCGTTATAAATCAGTGTAGGAAGAAATAAAACGTCTTCTTAAATATCTCCGCAAATATACAAAGTTTTAAAACCTTCTGGAGCAAAATTATTCCAATTCCAAGGTTTTCGAAATGCCAACTTATTTGTAAATGAGATTTTTTATCGATAAATATAAAGCGCGGGAACCCGCTTTATGTCGCTCGTTTAGATGTCAACGTCAAGCTTAGAATATGTTTTCGTTTTCGGAAAATGTGTATTAACGACGCAACAGTACAGATTCCTTGATTATATTTATGTATTAAAAGTTGGGGTCACTTCCAATTTAAAACAAACTCATTTTGTTACCATTATACGAACACTGAATGCTCCCACCTATCTTTGTTGTTGGAATGACTCGGCTCAGTTTCGGATCCAGTTGTGTTTGTGGCAGTAGTGTTCGTGCTACTTTGCTCCTTCCTCTTGTTTCGCTTCTCAATAGTTATTTTAACGTCCGTTTTCAGCCTTAAATACTTCTCCTTTAGGCACCTGTACTTGTCCTCCAGCAACCGTTTTTCACACCGAAGTTTTTCAAACTGTCTTTCGTCAATTGTACTCTTTGCTTTCTGAGATTCCATTTCGCTTTCAAGTTTTTTTATTAACGTGGCCATTTGAGTTTGATGTTCTTGTTTTATTATTTGTTCCTGAAAAACACAACAAACAAAACAAACTTTTATTATAGGTTTTCAAACATATTTTTTATGACAACCAGATATATGCAAAACAAAGAAAGCTTTATACATACTTCAACTCTGAATTCCCTTCTGAGGTCTTCAATGAGGATGGCATGATTTTGCTTTAGCTGTTCAACATTTGCATTATGATTAACCACCATCTCTTCTTTAGTTTTTTCTACTTTGTCTGCCAGTTCCCTTTCTATATCGACCAGCTTTTCTTCATAATACTTCTCCAACTCTTCCTTTTTTAGTTCAAAGTGTTCTTTCAGTTTTTCTTCTTCGGATTTAAGTTTACTTTCAAATTCCTGCTTAAATAACTCAATTTGGCCTTCTAAATTCAGTCTATCTTCTTTGGTTTTTAAATCTAACTTTAACTTAACTTTATCCATTTCGGTCTTTAAATTTTGTTCATAGTTTAACTCTTCTTCCATCATAATTCTGTTTAACTCATCCTTATGAGATCTTTCAAGGCTGCGTTTGAATTCTAAAAGTTCTTCATTTTTATCCTTCCAAATTTTCTCTTTCAGATCATTTAACTTCTTTTCAGATTTCTTGTTTAATTTGAATTTATCTTTCTCGTCCGGACTAGAATCATCACTATCAAACAATTCATTGATATCCTTTAATTCTAATTTCTCAAGACTTTTAGTATCCTCATCTGAGTCTGAACTCTTACTGAGAGTCAGTTTTGGCTTAACAAAATCCCCTGGGTTTGGCTTGATTAATTTTAGACTCCTCAATGGTTCTGCAACAGGTGAAACTGAAAACCGGCTATTATTGGGTCTTATCTTAATGTTAATAATTTCGTTTGGCTTTGGCTTATCACTTATATTAATATCATCCTCACTAGAGCTTTTTTCTGATATCGTTGTACCAATCTCCGTTGTATTGTTATCTAGATTAAATCTAACACTCTTTTTGTCTTCATCATCTTTCTCAGACTTCTCAGTTAAAGACAGTTTATCAAACTCCATACTGCGTGAGTGTTCCAAAATATTTCTATCACGTAAAATACTTTTCGGTAGGTCTAGCATGTCAATTTTTCCAGATGAACTAGGAACTAATTCACTTAACTTCTTTGTGTTAGACTTTAAAAACATGGAACCACCACCAGATACTTTCAATTCCAATTTATCCAGAACTTTTGGGTGCTTGTCTAATGTTCCAACATTTTTATTATCTTCATCTAAACTGTTAAATTTTTTTATTAGTTTCGAAGATACAAAACCACAATCTTCGGATCTTTGTCTGAGCAGTTTAGACTCATGTTTTGGACTAGGAACTGGACTCATTTTCAAAGGCGATAATCTGATTTCCTTTCTTCTGAGTGGCAAGGGTTCAAGCTTCTTCGGTAATGATTCATCAAAGCTAGGCATATCATCGTCTTTAACAAATGTTGCATCTTCTGTGTGGTCGTTAATTGAAAAAGATTGACTTTCATTTCTTGCTTTTTGCACCAAAGTTCTATAGATATCATCCAATGGGTGTTCCCACTGTGTCTTCTTCGTAATATTGTTATAGTAATAGTATGATTTTGATTTATCATCATAGCTAAAAATGAAAAAGACACATGTAATTATTTTTAAAGCATTGGATATATTAAGTATGTAGACCCACTTGAAATTATTGGAAATATTTTCAAAATTCTTATCTTTGATTGATAGTGGTTTTGGTCTTATTGTTGAAAAATATAAGCTATTAAGCTAAATAATATATTATATCAATATTTGGTAAGTCGATTTAAATTTCAAATTATTTAAGAAAACTGTTTTTACTTTTCTTTATTCATAGGCTGTGTTATTTTTATATTCTAAACTTTCAAATTTGATGCGATGTACGTATAACAATATTCTAATTCACCAAATTATTTTTAAACATTAACTGAATCCAACACTCCTCCAATGATGATACTGGTTAATGCGAAGATTTTATTACGGACCTGTTCGATTTTGAGGTTTGTTTTCCCCGTTTTTCAACTTATCCGTGGTACTTAACCTAACTTTCTTTACGTGAGCTTCAAAAAGTTTACGGATTTTTAATCCCAAAAATTGTTTACTAATGAGATATTTTTTAAAAATCTTGCCACCGTATTTAAAGAAACTGTCTACGGGTATAGTAAAAACAGACACACATGCTTGCTTACAGGTATACGAACCAATTATGAATAAAAATAAGGAAGTTAGGAAACCCCGATACGATGGCCGGACAAAAAAGCGGCAATGGGAAGAAAGACGATCGGATAAAGGTGAGGGTCTTGATCCTACTTTGCCAAAATTACAAAAAGTCATCGATAAAATACCAGCATCAGAGAAAACATTAGCAGACAAAATTAAGAGGAGGAAATATGCTATTTTATTGGGTTACTTGGGAACTGATTATTATGGTATGCAAAGAAATCCACACACCAAAACTATAGAAGAAGACCTATTTAAGGCATTGCTGAAGGCTAATTTTATTTCTCAAGATTGTTATAATCAGGTACAGAACATGCAGTTTCAAAGAGCTGCTAGAACTGATAAAGGAGTCTCTGCTGCAAGGCAAGTAGTTTCTCTAAAGTTAGGCGAAAATTTTGACATTGGTAAGGTGAATGTTGAGCTTCCTGAAACCATTAGGCTCTTTAGTCATAAGAGGGTAACTAAAGGTTTTAACAGCAAGTCACAATGTGATGCAAGAACTTACATTTACCTTATGCCGACCATTGCATTTGCAAAAAAAGACAGTGAGACTCTACAACGAAATTTCCGATTAGATGGAGAAACTTTTAAAAAGATAAATGACCTGCTGAGGATGTACCTAGGGACAAAAAACTATCATAATTTTACAGCAAAAAAAAAACCTCAGGACCCCAGTTCCAAACGTGTCATAAAGTCATTTGAGTGTGAAGCACCTTTCATAAAAGATGATGTTGAATTTTGTATTTTAAAGGTATGTGGTCAAAGTTTTATGATGCATCAAATAAGAAAGATGATCGGGTTAATTGTGTCCATTGTTCGAGGACAAACGTCTGAGAATATTGTTAATTTAGCATTATCAATGGAGAAGGTGAATATTCCAAGAGTACCAGGTACAACTACTTATTTTCTATCAAAAATATGATTTTGCTAAAATCTGCTGCAAAAAATATTTCTTTCAAAACATTTTTTAGGTTTAGGTCTGATACTGGATCAGGTCCACTATAATTATTACAATAGTCGCTATGGATCTGATGGTATGCATGAAAAACTCACATGGGAAGATGCTGAACCCGAAGTAAAAGAATTCAAAGAAAAGTACATCTTTCCCACAATTATCACAACTGAAATAGAACATGAATCTATGGTGGATTGGCTCACTAGCAAATTAAGGAAACATTCCTTTACTGAGACGGAAGAAAAAGATGGCAATGACAGTGATGAAGATGCTGAAGATGATAATGATAATGAAGAAAAAGTACAGAAAAACAATGTGTAATTTTTTAAGTTCAATAAAATTATATATTATTATGCTAGCTCTAGTTTCTCTATTGCTATTTCATTTAATCACTTATCACAAATCCTCAATATGTTTTAAATCAGTTTATGGTAATTTATGTGCATTTTACATAAGTAGTAATATGTATACATTACTGAAAACTAAAAAAAAATAATAAGTAGAATATGTTTTTCCACTGTAAAAATATGGAGGATCTACTTACATCAAACCTCTTGGAAAAAAATTTTGATTATTTGAAATTATCTTGAAAAGGATCTTCAGTAAAATTAATATTTAACATTTAATTAATTAATATATAATCTGTAGTATATATGTAATATGTAAAACAACTTTAAAAATGTCTTTAAATATTACCAGGGCTTCCAGCCAGGAGGCAGAGCTTTCATTAATCCCTCAGATGCAAGTGGCAGTAAATGTGATTCAGAATCAGGATCTATCCCAAGCTTTACTGCATAGTCTCTTATTTCTGAAAAATTAGTATTTTGCATATATGTATTGACCACAAAAATTAAAATTGTTTCACAGAATTTAATCACCGGTATTGAAATTATTTGCTACCTTCAGCAGAGGGGTGACTCGCTTCATCAAATATTTCTTCACAAACAACAGACATCTCGATGCTGTTAATGAGTAACCGAGTATAATTGTAGTGTATCCATCATATACTATACAGCACTTTTATTAATATTTGGTGCACAATAAAATAAAAATGCTTATTATTTTTTGACAGTTGCACCACTGGGTAAAGACCTTTGAAGTTAAAGGGGTAAAAAGTAAACAAATGGATGACCCGTCCCGCCATCTTTACCAACAAATACTAACTTCAAACTTCTGGTGGTGTAGGGATCATCTTAACGAAGCAATATATTTGTTATTGAAAGCTACAGAGGGCTTTTCACCCGATTTATTCAGAGGAACCTTTTATTTAAAATTGCAACTAATGCAAGCAGCTTTATAAAATAAAGCCTTTTTTTAGTCCTTAAGCAACTTTTGACTGATAGCTGTGACAGTTTTACACCAAATCGAGAAAAAAAAACGCCAGTTGAAAAAAAATCAAACCGAAACTTTTTTCAACTCTTAGTTTTCCAACAGTTGCTGTTTTGTTTTCGTTTCCCGATTAAATTTGGTCACTTCAAAGTTGCTGCGAATATTGCAACCCCGTCAACTTTGTGTGAAAAAGTTGTACGATTGTTTAGTTTCTGTTAATAGTTAGGGGGAGCAATTGCGTGATGAGGAGGCAAACTACAAAGTGATCGATTTTTCAACCTGATAATTAAAACGGAAAAATATGTAATCAATACCTTTTCAAATTATCTATTGAAAAATAACTAACATACGGGTGATTCAAGTTTGGTGACCTGGAGACTTGAGAAAAAAGAAGCGTTTTACAAACTACTTTCTTCTCGTTGACTGACAAAGAAATAAATTAAAACAAGAACACTAAAACTGTTGCTCTGCTGCAAATAATAGAAAACAAAAACACAACAGCAACTGAGCTTTGTTTGATCTAAACAGTCATTCCATTCTTTGTAAACAAAATCTACTATGTAGAGATGGAAATTCTTCATAACCTTCAAACCCCAATTTGATACGCAATAAAAACAGTTCTTAAAAATCGTTAGAAGCACTAGCAAATGTGGTATTATTTTATTTAAAAGATATAAATTCTGTTTAACTCATTACAAATTTACTTAAATCATATAGATCCTTTCGTCTTCTGTAGGACTAACGTTAGTTTCACTGACGTAGTCCGAAAAAAACGCATATGAAGTGTTATACTGAAATATTAAAAAAAAAGTTTTTTCTAACATTTAACAGAAAATTAATGATAAAAAAAAGCTGTACGTATGTTTATACACAATCTCATCTTGCACTTATCTGTAGCTAGTAATGTTATATTTTCTACTTATATAGATATTAAGTTTTGCGATCTTGTAATGTTTATTGTAATTATATAAAGCGATTAGCGCTTGGTAAACAAACAAGTTGGAGAAATTATTTGGTTTTATATTTGATTTACGCTTAAAGCGAGTAGCGCTTGGTAAATAAACAAGTTAGAGAAATTATTTGGTTTTATATTTGATTTACGCTCTATGTCCACGGAAAAGATTTTTTTACCACAGCCAAATTTTCACAACTTCCAAAATGCTCCAAACTTTTCAAAAATACCTCGTAGCCCTTAAACGTCTTCACATAAAATCCAGATTTGGTTTTCACTTTTCCGTTTCTCTTGTTACAGTTCTTTGTGTAGATCTCCAGGAAGCATCTAAGTTAAAGTTCATTGGGTTTTAATCTCGGCTTTAGTCCGGTAATTTGTAGCGCGTAGTTGGAACTCCTTTGATTCACTGAGAACATAGAGGTATAACTCGATATACCGTGCGGACGTGTCTGTCTAGTTTTATTTTTCTTGAAAAAAGTGTCAACTGTATTTTTGAAACCATCATTGACCATATATCACTGATTAACTATATATTGAGCTAAAAAGCAGAAAATTGAAATTGTATGGAAATATTGGGAAAAATAGGACTTTGGTGTACTATTGTGTACCGCACCTTCAGCCGAATGTTAAAATGAACATTATAGGGATATTTCAGCTCAAAATAAGGCGATTTACCATTGACTTTAACTAGTTAGTTCATAATTAATTAAATTAATTATTATGTAATTTATACAATTTAAAATGCGCATCTTTGAAGTAGTGTTGGACCAAATTTACAAAAATTTATTAATAGACCTTTATTGAATAATGTTTAAAACAGTTGGGTCGACTATTAAAAGACAACAACCGATCGCACGCGTTTCTTAAGATATTGTAAAAGTGGCAGTGTGCTTGAAAATAGTAAATAACTTTTAATATAAGTTGTGTTAAGTGCACGAGACATTAAATTATATATTTGCATTTTCTTTATTTACCTACCGGTAGGGAATCAGCTTTTATGTTCTTAGTTCCCGACCTAGGTCGAGAACAAGGGTGACATGCATATTTTCTTTGTTTGAAATAAATATGTTATTAAATTTTTTGAAATAAAATATTTTGCCGATAATAGTTGTACTCATAAAGAGTGTTAAAATTGCTTTGCGACCACGCCCTTGGTATAATTAATTAAAATCGGTGATCGAAAACCAAATTCAAAATTGGCAAATTGACGAAAACGTTCAATTACCACAGCAACCTAAAAATTCCAACACATTTCTTGTGTGACGCACCCGCTACAAATTGAAGTATAGACTTATCAACTGAAACAATATCTAAAGAAGACGGAAAATAATCGACACCAAAGTTTTTAACAGCACTATGAACGATTTTGAATTTTCTGGGTTAGGTTTGAAAAGCTGTTTTACACCCCCCATTTCATAGAAAGTAGAAAAAGGATTTCAAGAAATAGAATTGCCCAATATAAATATTTCTGGAATCGATATTATTCAGAATGAACAACGAAGAACGGAGGCGCAAATTTGTAGAACTGAAGTTGGTAATTCAACTGACTACCTGACATTGTTGTTAATAATTAAGAAAGCAATAAATTTATTAATAAACAAATTAAATCATTAGATACTGAAATAAACGATAAACAATAATACTCCACTTATCATTGCATTTGAAAATCATCTTAACTATCCGGAACTTATTAAAAGAATCAAAAATACAAAAATAAAAAAAAGTGAAAATTCTGCTTCAAGTGCTATTTCTTCTGGGGAAGACACAGCAACTAGACTAGAGAAAAGGAAATTGCAAAAAAATAAGCTAAGAAAGAACATGGATTCAAAAACAGTGACAAAGAAAGTTCCAAAAAAAATCCACAACAAAATTTTAATAGTGACAAAGAAGAAGTTGACAAAAATATCGGTTGTGAATTCTGTGACAAGTAGTACCATAAAAAATGCCATGAATTTTATTGAAATTCCTAACGATATGAAGCAAGATAAGTGCAAATGAATGAACGTTAAAAAAACAAAGCTAATTTTTGATTTTTGTTTTATTTAACTTGGGTTTACCTGGTTTATCTACCTAATTAGTGTTCCCTGTTTGACCGGCGGTCGGTGTTCGTAAAATGACTAAAATGAACTTTTTTAACAATAATTTAATTTACTTATTTATTACAAATAATATATTTAACTTATATAAACACTTATTTTGACTTTTGAATTTTATTAAATTTATTACATCTGGACCTACGGTTCCTTCATTCGTTTAGGTAGAAATTTTATTGCCTCTTCGTTCGTCAAACCTTTTATCAAAACGACTAAAATTAACAGAGAAGAATTTTTAAATTCGAAACAAAATTTTAAAAAATTTCAGGGTAAAATACTATGAAACTTTGTGCTTATACAATGTTGATAACTCCAAACGGGCATTTTAATAAATTTGGGGTCGTTATAGGGGACTTTTCCGAGGTTACCAATCGTGATCTGAGATGGCGTTTTCTAATATAATAGCAAAAAAGATAAGTTTCTAAGGCTCAATATCCTAGTGCAACCCGCATCTCAATATCTGTATTCTAACCTAAAACTCAAAAAACTTTAGGAATCATTTCCAGGGTACTAGTTGTTATTAGCACCTAATTATTCCTGATTTAGCAAAGAAAATGACGATTTGTTATTCAGGATGCCGAACGATATTTAAAATAGAAATAAAATTTCGCTATTTATCGTTATTACTTTTTTTCACAATACCATCGACGCTCATAAAATTACCACAATATCGGCATTATCATTAGAATTTTTTTTTCTGAGACAAAAAAATTTCACCAACTTCATCATTATCATCATCATCATATCATTATTGTTATTATTTTAACTCTGGTTACAGGTTATCAGGACTTCGTCAGCTGCGGGGCATCAAGACTACGTCCTCAAGCGTTCCCCTCGAGGACCGATCGGGCAATGTTCACTGCATCCAAGAGTGCCGACTTCTACATCATACGGTAAGTATTGCAATTGAGACCCAGTCTAATTAAGTTTGTTTTCAGTTCAGTCTGTACAACACCCATGCTGGATATGATCAATGGGACGACCTCCACTCTCTCCATGTGCTACAGTTCTTTAATTTTCCATTATTATTATTATTATTATTATTATTATTATTATTATTTGTATGCTTTTACTTGTTTTTGATATCTTGCGACGTTGCAATGTTTATTGTAGCTTGTAAATAAACAACTTTACTTAAAACAAGGACCCAACATCTCAGTGCAAACCGCATCTCCATATCTGTAATCTAACCTAAAATATGAATGAACAACTTAAAACTTAAAAAAAAAGGACTTTGGGAATCATTTCCAGGGTACGAGTTGTTATTAGTACCTAATTATTCCTAATTCAGCAAAGAAAATGTCGATCGATTCAGGTTGCCGAACGATATTTAAAATAGAAATAAAATTTCGTTATTTATTACTTTTCTCACAATACAATACAATACAGATATTGAGATGCGGTTGAGAGGTTTCCATTAACTTAGGAAAAGCCTAAAAGCTTCAATAAACATTGCAACATCACAAGATATCAAAAACAAGTAAAAATATACAAATAATAATAATAATAATAATATGATGATGATGAATAGTTTATTGTCTCAGAAAAAATATTTATTTTTAAAAAGCTTATAAAATACATAATACCATCGACGCTCATAAAATTACCACAATAGCGTCATTAGTATTATGTATTTTATAAGCTTTTTAAAAATAAATATTTTTTCTGAGACAATAAACTATTCATCATATTATTATTATTATTATTATTATTTGTATATTTTTACTTGTTTTTGATATCTTGTGATGTTGCAATGTTTATTGAAGCTTTTAAGCTTTTCCTAAGGTAATGGAAACCTCTCAACCGCATCTCAATATCTGTATTCCAACCTAAAATATGAATAAAAAAACTTAAAACTAAAAAAAAATCTCAATTCCAAGTTACGGGTTGCTTTTAACATTTAATTATCCTTAATTTACCAAAGACAACGTTCATTTTATACTATAGAAATAAAATTTCCTTATTTATCTTTTTCATTTCCCTTTTTTTGCAAGCATTATTAATAAGAAAAAAATTCTTCTTTGACGCTGAAGTATTCATTAATAAATTATTTGTATATTTTTTAGTAATTTAGAGAACTTCTTGTATGAAAGGAAAACTTTCCCAAATTAACAATTATTGCCACCGTATCAAAAAGTTTTTCAAAGACCCCTCGTAGCCCCTTAATCCTCATCACATTATCTACTTCACTATTCCACCTTTCTTGTTATTGCGCTCAGTTCAGTTCAGTCCAGTGTTGCTTTTGAGGTCGTTCTGAAATTTGATTTTAAATTTTTATTTTCTATTCGGGTGTTTAGTGGTTAGAATTGACTAACTAAAATTCAACAAAAGTTAGACCACTTTTTGCAAAGAGCATTTAAAAAAAATTTCTTATGGTTTTTTTTTGACTAAATACAATAATACACACAAATACACAGATCCCTTGTCAAACATGAATGAGTTCTGTAGGTAAACAATTAATTGTTTCGCTGTGGCGTGGGTTTCAATAACGACCATAGACGAATTCCTAACGAAATTTCGTTATTCGTTAGCAACTCGCGACTCTGTATAGAGGATGCTGCATGCGGTCTGGACCGCGCGCCTTATTGATCCACCCCTCATCCCCTTGGATCTATATAGAGAGGCAACTCGGCGATCGCAGTTCCAATCTTCCACACCCGCGAGAATCTACCGATGCCGCGATTTGGTGCCGTGTGCCGTGGCAGAAATTCTGCACAGCGACGAGATAAATGATGTAGAAAAATGGTTACCAGCAGGGATGGGGCCGTACATCAAGAAATGGGCTTAAAGAAAAAAACGAAAAAACGGTCCTGTCCGTTTCGGGACTACCTCAAAAATATTTATCGAAAAACCGACGCGAATATCGCGCTCCTTCGCACTTGATTTCCCGATCCTGTTTGGTTTCGTTTTGACGTTTAGCAATTTCGCAAGCATAATATTATCAAAATTCTCAGTTGTGATAGCAAGAAATTAATAGACTTTAAGGGTTTGACTGTCTCAATTACTTCAAAACGTAAGTATTAAGCGTTTGGACGTATTAGCATTCGTAAATATTTAAGAAAGTTTCGATATCAAGGGGCCTTTCCCAAGGCCCTTTGAATTTTACAACGAAAAGTTTCTTAAAATCTCGTTTTATAGCAGAAATTTCTAATAAAACTAATAAATCGGTTGGTTAGTGTATCCTTCTATTTATACAACATTATCAGCACGCAGTCTTTTAACATGGCGTTCAAAAATCAGATGTTCGAGGGTTGATCTAGTCCTATTTCGTCGGTTATGAATACGCTTATTATGTTGAAATCTAAATACGAAATCGATCACTCTAAAACTGTTCGATTGATTTTTTTTGACTTGATCGTCATTAAGGCAGTTCCGATTTTCAATAAGTCTATTTCGGTAGCATTTATAAGGAAAGCTTTTTGCAGAAATAACATTTTTCGATTCCTTTGAAATTGGAAGTATCGTGCACCCTTGTATCCTCTCTCGTTGAGAAACGTCTTTAACCGTTTGTGAATTTCCTGTACTTCTGGCCAAAAAATATTTTTTAAGATATGCCACACACCCATAAATCAGTAAGAACAACCAACTTTCCAAAATTTACTTTTATGACTGCTCAAAATCAATAAATAAATATTAACAAACATCAATTCATTACGAAAGATCATAACATCATCTTAATCAATGTCTTTCGCATATAGGATGGAATGTTTGTTCTTTCTTACTTTTTACTTTTAGAAAGTGTAGATATATTAGCTTTCATTCACACGTTTTAAGAGATTTTACAATTAAGAAATCTACCAACTCTGTGCAACATTTCTTCTTTGTTTCAGATTTCCCGTCATCCGAATCATGGTGGATTTAGGAGGCTATGTAATCATTCTGGTCGAAACCAAAGATAAGAAAATAAAGCTTTACGGTAATTGCCAAATTTATATACGATTTTGACTGCTTCATAACCTCAAGGCTCAGCTGACTCATCCTTACGGTAATTTTAGGTTCACCGGCAGATAACGATAACTTGGAAGTTGGCGATGAAATATTGGAAGTTAATGGTAAAACTCTCGAAGACGCAACTCACACAGAAGTTATTCACCACATTCACCAGGTACAATAAATACTGCAAAAAGATCCTCAGTCTCAACCACTTAAAGAGGTAGCAAAAATAATTTTAAAGAATTACTTCCTTTCGCGCATTAAAGCAACATGTCGTTTATTTATTTGCCAAGCGTCAACTGGTGGTTTTCAGTGCACGGTGCCAATTTTCTAAAGTGTAAGCTCGATTGTAACATAAAGCAATTTGGATCATTAACATTTATGCAGATTGGTTTAAAAGTTATACAGATTTTAGTAAACTTTTTTAAAAGCTAGTGTTTAATTTTATTTTCTTATTCGTAGTGTATCAGATCGAGAACAATATGTCTTCGAGTGAAAAGAAGAAGTGGTGCTCGCTTGGGTAAGTTTGGACAGAAATTATTCTTTGGACAGAAATTATTCTTGTGTATTTTGCAAAACTACGACACTAAAAACAATTAAAAAACTTTTTTTGTAATTTTCCTAAATTCAGAACTCGTCAAGTACATGGAAAATTCGAACAAGGGTCACGTCATTCCTAATAGAATCGGCTTGTCTCGTTTTTCAATCATTTATTTACAAGGGATAACTTCAGCCATTTTGTTTGGTGCTTTTTCGATTATATATAACCTTGGCAATGACATGTTGAAATTTGTGAAGAGATTAGCAGTTACAATAAAATAAGTAAATAAAAAATATCACGGCAGATGATTTGGATTGGATTGGATTCTGTATCTACATAATTTCAAAGTCCTGAACTTTCTTAATAAGTTTGTTCTACCACTGATTAAAACCGAAATAGGGATTTGTAATCATTCATATTTGGAGGATATTTGAAAACAAATCTTTTAAATTCTGTTCATGTAATTCGTAGACTGTTCACGTTTTCATCAAGCAGTGTACGCATTCAATTTTTCGAAGCCCATTTACACTAGGCAATTCAAAAGTTCGAGTTAAACTTTTGCGTCGTTGCCACGTTTTCTTTAAAATAGTGTAATGTTTATAAACCTTTAAAATTAAATAAAATTGAATGTAAAATCAATACTACTTTTCTCAATAGAAAATAAATAATTATATAAATTTTATAGTTACAGATAATGGGGCAATATTTTCATATAATTTTTTAAGCACTTCTTTTTCTTGGCAAAACTCAATTTTAATCAACTAGGTATAGAGATTCTGATATTGGTAGTGCATCCAGGATTTTCCCCTAAATATTTGTTTAACAATTCTAAGAGAGATACTACTCTTTTCCGCTAATACTAAGACAGCTGCACAGGACTCACCTGACAACACTGTTTCGTTTAAACTGGGCGCTGACCACCTCGGGCGAGCCCTTACAACTAGCCAATCAGCGTCTCGGATTCATTTCATTAGTCTATATCATTTTTGAAAGAGTTTAAAAGAGTTGAAATTATATACGTTTATGAATATTTCTTGGAGTGTAATATACATTTTTCTTTGCGATTAACTTAAAATTTTCCGCTGTTCCCTCAAGAGAAAAACAAATTTTAGCCCTACTATGGTAACAATTGTTGCGGTATTTTCGTAGAGAAGGTTAGCTAGGCATGCCTCTACATTTCACCCACTAACCTGCGTGCCATTTTTTTTCTAAACATCGATTTACACACACTAAACTTGTTTCGAACGAGATCTAGGCATGTTATGAGAAAATACTGTCGTAAAAATGTTACATCAAAACTTACTGACGGTCTGTCAGCGGCCATGTTGGTTGTTGGATACCGCAAGGCTTAAAACGAAATTTATAAATCTGACGCATGCGCATGTTGTAAGGATCTTGTTCAGAGCACCTTAGCATTTTTATATTTTTTTCCGGTTCCTACTCTGAAATACTTAATTATGCACTGATCAGGCGTACTCACTTTAAAACACCAGTTTCATTAAACTTTATTTGAGCGTTTCCGGTACTAGTGACTGGTCGGTAGCGATCGGATATTTTCGGTAGATATCTAAAGACGGATACAATTTTCGCACTTGCCAGTTTTGATGTTTCTGCATTCTTCACGCCATTCCGTGTATAGTGTAGAGTATAGTATGAAACATATTTATAAAACTTCTTCAGATAAACGTGACTAAAATAGTGGTTACAAAATTTGTTCCTTAATATACTGTTTTATACTACCCGCAAACTGCCGGTTTAATTAATTAATGGCCATAAATACTGCGTTGCCTTAGTCTGCATAGGGTTACTAATTAAACACTGACCAAACTTAAAATTTATACAGGGTAATCCATTTTCGACGCTTTTGCAAAATGTCTTCTTAAAGATACGCGGTTCTTACAATTGTATGCCATCTTTTAGTAAAGTAATGTAAGTTCTCTATATAGCCTTCTTTTATTTGCATTTCAATGGAATATATTGCTTATTTCTCTTATATGTTTACCAAAAATGTAGATAAACCATTTTATTTAGCAGAATACTGGTAAATATTTACCAAATTTGTAGGGATTCTTAAAAATTCTTTGTACAATGTATAGTTGTCTCCACAATAGCGAGAATCCAGTGAAGCTAAGGATTATCTTAATCGGAAAATACAATTTGTTTTATTTTCACTTTGGATTTAATTTGTGTATGAAAGTTATAAAATAGGGTTTTTACAACTAATCAGGATTTGCTCCGTATGTAACACAAATTAATTTGAAACAATTTACAACGTTCTATTCACTTGTTGCAGTGGAGTTTTCCAATAACAGTAGGTTTTACCGTTTTCAAAAGTTCGGACTCACGTGGGTCGAAACATCTTGCTTATCTTATTATAAATGTATTAAATACTCTCTCATTTCTAAGAGATGGCTAAAAATAAAACTATAATTTGTATCTGTGTATTTGAAATAACATGTTGATTAAGGTGAGTCAAAAAAACGATTTTGTTTTTGAATTTGACACAAAAAAACTGGTTGTTAGTTACGTCTAGAAAGTACTTACCAAGTATGAGCTCTTAATATTAATAGGAAGATTATTCTCATTACAGTTTTGCATTTTCAATTTAGTCTTGTATATAAATTATATCTTATCACCAAGAGATCTTTAAGCCAAATTTATTAATGGTGTAAACTTTTTCGACAAATTAAAAAAAAAAAACTTTGTTGACTGATTTTTTTTTTATTTTGAAATGTTTTCCATTACTCTTGTAGGTAATTTAATCCTCCACAAAAAAGGTCTCTTGTGGTTTATCGATTACTCTAACCGTTTTGAAGATATTTGTATTGGAATCCCAATGGGTACTTATATTCATAGTTTTGAATAAATATTTTCCATTTATTCATTGAATTTGTTACCTATTTCATAAAAAAAAATCATTATTCAAGAAATATCAATAAATTCATTAATAGAAAAAGAATTCTGTTTCACCATATGAAATTTTATACCTTAATACACTATTAATAAAAAAATATAGATTTTTTAGATTTACTTATACAATACGACATTTCACTATATTTTTCAGTCAATAACAAAATTCAGAACAAAAAGTTATTTTTTTTTTAATTTTGTCACCTGGAATATCTTTGAAATGGCTCGATTTATCGAAAAAGTATAAGAGACTATTTTTGTAGAGCGTTTGCTGTCTTAGTTATCAATGAAATTGGCATAATGATCTATTGGTTATAAGATATGATTTTTTGTATATGAGACTAATTCGAAAATGCAAAACTAGAATGACGATTAGCTTTCCATTAACATTAAGAGCTCATACGAGGTAAGAACTTTCTAGAGAAAACTAGCAACTAATTTTTGTGTGTCAGATCCAAAAAAGAAAATGTCTTTTTTTTGGCTCACCATAATATTGATAGATACTTAGCAGTTTCCTATTTTCTGATAAACATTAAATAATAATAATATTAGTAATAATAATAACTAAAAATATTTATTTCTTTATATTTATTTATATTGTGCGTCATGTCGCCGTCGCGTCGTTCTTACTAAATGGAGTCGATATTTTTCTTGAAATTCCCCGAATCGCTCAATTGGACATCAGAAACGCATAATAATTTATTAAAAAATACTTTGTTATTATTAAATAATAATAGATAATACTCTGCAATTGCAAGACGTTCTTTAAAACATTTTGATTTTGCCCAAATAAATTTGAAATATTCCATTCCAGTGTTCCCCCCAGTACAGTATAATTTATTAAAATAGTAAGTTAGAAATTTGATGAAGCTTCCACCATGATTAATAAAAGCGCGAATAGAACGCCAACGACTCGCGGTTTGATTCGTGAAATGGAGAGAAGTCGATTTCCCTCGACTCGTGGTCGCTCGGCTATTTCCGTTTCGCGGACAAACAGGTAAATGGAAAAATAAAGGTAAAATACTTGTTTAAACCGCGGCGTACGGCGTACACTTACGTCGACGTGAAGTTTACGTTACTACGGCGAAACGAAACGATCGGGTTATAGGTCAGAAAGCACGTCACGAATTTTGGAAATTCCTGCCGTTTTCCGGTTTAGGCGGTTGCAGCAGTGGAATAGTTCAAAACGTACGGGCGGTACGGCGAATAAGCGACCCCATTTTCGTACGGGTGTGCGGAAATTCGGTCAGTGCTCGTTTAAGTGAATCATTCGAAAGTGGCGAAATTGATAAAATCTGCGTTGCGAGTGTCTGGAATATTATTTTGACGTCGGCGCTAGTTCGAACCGATCGAGTAAGTTTTTCGAAACAGCTGGCCAAAGTTTCAGGTGCCATCTTCTGCAACGTGACCTAGAATTAAAGTTACCGTTCGAGATACTCCTAAACAATCTTTCATATTGCGATATGGTCGGTGTGGAACAGTTTTCAGATCGATTTTCACAATCTTTTTGCTCTATAAGTTGGTTGGAAAAATAGCCGACTTAAATCGTCTTAAAATGTAGAACTCAAGAGACAATTTTTTTAACATAACTGAACAAAACCTAGATATATTGTTATTGTCGTATTTTTTATGACTAATACACAGATGAAAATTAGCAAACAAGCAAGAACAATCAATGCATTATGCATTGGTAATGTCGGACATATCTGATTTACAAGCATTATTATAAATGACAATTACTGTCTCTTAAAAAATACCATTTTTCACGTTAATGTACTATTTCTATATTCCAAAAACTATCTGGAGAGAAACAAATTTATTAAAAAAATAAACATTTTGATATTGCAGATTTGAGAATTTAAACTAGAAACAACATGTTTACATTTTTTCAACATATTTTATAATAACAATAATTATAATCTCTATTTTCCATATCGACAAATACGGTGTTTGTATTGAAAATTGTCAAAGAATAAATAAAATGACGCATAATTCAAAATTGCAAACAGTAATCTATATGCAAGGAAGGAAAAAGATTTACTTTAGTTAATGTACTATTTTTATATTCC